CAGGAGAACGGAAAGTCGGCTCTGGTTTGCTTGAGCCAGCCCAGAAGCAGCAATCACATCCCACCTTGTTCTTTCCGCGGCCCTCCAGTCCTCCCGGATCTTCTCACGTCCTCTCGGCTCCAGAACCCCTGCGGCAGGAAACAAGGACGCCGGGCGGCACGCCGCAGCCCCTGGAAGCAGAGCCGGGCTCCCCACGCCGGCTCCGGAGCAGCAGAGTTCGTGTCCTGCACAGCCTGGCTCCAGATTTGCCAGTTGGTCAGCAACCGGTGGATTCTTTCTCCCTGCTCAGTGGACGCCACCTTCATAGCCAGTGAATGTACTCCGTGGCACATGGGATAGACCCCAGACGCCAGGCTTTGATCCCGTATTTACACCGGATCTCATTCGAAGGTTTAACGTGCACTTTACCCAGAAAAGATGCCGCCTCCTCTCTTGACACAGTGCAGAAGGATGCCTGGCTCGTTCGGTTGACTCTTGACTGCCGTGGGTAGAAGGCATGCCTTCAGAACTGCTTTCCGTGGCTCAGGTATTGGCTTATATGGTTTACCTTCCATGCACATTTCCAGCGCATGGGGCGCAATTGCCGGAAGGCTTTTGTTGGACTTGTGAGAGCTGCGCCACGGAGGTTGGCACCTGAAGCAAAAATACCTATTTCCTTGCGTCTTCAGGCTGTTTTCTTGTGTCTTTGGCGAGTGTGTGTTGGGAAAGAACCGATCCAGGCATTTATACTCTCCCCACACATCTTCTTGCCCAACTTGGAGGGTTCTTGGTGTGTTTGGAAAGTTCAAGGGTGGATGTACTCTGTGCTGGTCATTCTTGCGGGGCTGATGTGCACACCCCTTTGACCCCCTGTCCTTCCTCCATTCCGCCATTCCTTGCAGACCACTGAAAGAGCCGTCACAATCACTGGCAAAAGCCAAGAGGTTTTGCTCCGGGCCCGCCCCTGCGAGTGCCACGTTATTTCCTCAGGAGGCGAGGGCCGCTCGAACCCCCGCCGCGCATGGCTTTGCGGCCTTGTGCACAGGCCGCCCCTGCCTTCGATCGCCTGGCCTTTGTTCCTCACCTCCCCATCACACGCCTCCCTCCTTCGGCAACTTGCTTGGGACAAGAACCGCCCGGCTGGGGGGGTGGGGGGAGCAGACGGGGTGGGGAAGCTTTGCCGCGATTCATGCGCCGGGTCACTGGAGCACGGGGGCTTGGCTGCATTTTAATTGAACTGTCTTTTCAGCGAGATCTATGCCTTAACCACGTTCCAGGTGCTGGTGCGCTTCGGGAAATCCAGTGGCAGCACGGGAGCCGTGTTAAGACGCATTCGTTGCTCCTTCGGGCGGGGGGGCTTTGAGAGACGGACGGGGAGAAGGAAAAGACCCAGGGGAGAAGGGAAGGCTTCGATTATCCAATCCATTTTCGCTGCCCTTCTGTGAATGATTCCAGAGGCAGCCTGGTTCGAGTCTGCTGCTGTGCTGAAGCAACCGCGATCACTGTCGCACCTTAAAGACAAACAGATTTGTCGTGGCGGCACCCGCGTCATCAGAAAGCTTTTGCCGTTACAAACGTGCCACTCTGCTCTCTTTTTGCTCTTCCGTCCGTCCTTCCTTTCTTCCTCGCTCCCTCCCTCGCTCCCTCTCCTATATAAATAAATGAAAGAGCACAAGGCACGGAAATACGAATGCTCTCCATAGGACACGCGGCAGGGAAGGAAAGCAATCTGGGACTAATCGAGACAGAAATGCGATTCTCTTTAAGCCAGGCAGACAAAGGTGTGGGTGGCCTCCATGTCGGGCCGTCGCCAATTTTCACGCCTTCCCGGGCTTCAGAAATACGCCACCAGCAGCAAAGCACAGCAACCAAAATAGGAAAGGGTTGCCCTGCTTTCCCAAAGAGAGGTGGCTTTTGCCCATGAGGAGATGCGCTGCTCTTCTTGCCGCGTGTGTGTTGGGGGCTGTTTCGATGCTGCACCCGAGAGCTGAAGGCACACTAGTGAGCTCTGCTGAGAAGGACGGGGCTGCAGGCCTTGGCAGGGAATCTTCCTCGAGCCGAGCCGTGCATGCTCGCCGTGACTGGGCTTGATCGCCGTGCACGCGTTGTTGAAAGGACGCTCAGCAACGCGTTTCTCTGCACACAGGCCGAGTGGCGCTTTGCAAGAGAACGCACAATTGCCCTTTGCCGTCTGCTCCAGGACATGCGCTCTGGACGACGGACTCACGTGTCGTTCCAGATGGTTATGCATGCGGGTCGCGTCTTTTCTGGTGAGTGCTTGGAACTCACAGCCAGCCCGCAATCTTGAGCAAAGCGAGTGAGCGACTGTTCGGGTTCTGATCCGGTCCGTGGTCCTTTTTTCCTCTTGAGGGGGACAGGAAGCACCGCTTTCTTGGCGGCAGCACAAACTGCTGTGGGCTTTGGCACATGACTGCAAGAGAGGCTCTTCCCCAGCTCATGCATGCATATCTATGCAAAATAAGCAATATTTTACCAGTTTCTCTGAATCACGCACATCCCACTTTCCTGTGCAAAAGCCAAATGCCCAACGTGCAGAGATGGGGAGAGAAGGCTCAAGAACCATAGAAAGGATTGTGGGGGCACCAAATGCCAGCGGCAGAGTGAGGGTCCGAAACCCAAGCCCCTCAAAAGCGATTCCCCCTTGAACTTTCCAAACTCACCCGGAACCCTCCGAGTTGAGCAGATCAAAGGGCTAGCGCGGCATTAGGCGTGAGGGAGGCCGAAGAATATTTGGGAGGCCGGTGGGGAAAGTAGAAATGGTCCTTTTGCAGCACTAAGACACAAGTTCATCACGCGATCGAGTGTGCACAGAATCACTCTGGGGGTGGTGTATGTATGCAAGCTCGCGTACAAGTTGCTCTCCGCTGCTTGCACAGGTCCTGACAGAACACAGGAGATGAGGTAGGCGAGAGATGAACCAGGACCAGGCCTTGGAATGCAGGTGCTGCATAAAGGCAGCCTGCTGGTGAAAGCATCGTTTCAGTGGGGGCCCTGGGGGAACACCGGAAGCGAGCCTGGCCTCGGATCTCCACGCATGGCAGCCCTCCTCAGCCAGGAAGCACGGCAAAGCCCCATCCTCGTCCCAGCCGCCCGCCCCGCGTGCCCCGGTGCAGAACCTGCGCATCGTCAGCAGCTCCTGCCGAAAACGCAAAACCGGGGGCGCCCCCAGCCCCCGGAGCGGCAGAGAGCTGCAAAACCCAGGACGGTTTTATCTCTGCAGCTCCTCGCTGCTCTCCCAATCGGTGTCTGCTGTTGAGAACAGACAGTTTCCAGATGGTGCTGTGCCAGTTGCAGAGTATGTGCCGGCTGAGGGATGTCGGGAGGGGAGGGGAGGGGAGGGGAGGGGGAGGCGGTTTTGAAGAGCATCCAGGCCACAGCCTGCGAGGCAGCGAGAACAAACACCAGAAGGAAAGATGCTGTGGATTGTAACCAGATTATAGGATCCAGAAATCCCAAAGCAGGGGATAATCTCTCTCTCTCTCTCCGCTAAGTGATTTCGAAGAGTCAAAGGTTTGGGGCAGGGGTCCAGGAATCCAGACGGCCAGGCACCACGGATGGCTCTCGGACTGAGCCGGCGTGGCACGCTGTAGAAGGCAGGAAACGGTGACCCCCCTTGCGGCGGCGTGTGCTGCAGGCGAGACCCGAGCGTGTCTTTGCTTTCGCCTCCGCTTCCTTCCCCGGTCCCAGGCCAGCAGGGGTAGAACGCGGGTCCGGAAGGTGCGGAGAATCTAAGGATGTGTGTGAGCATATGCAGAGTGTGAAGGGGAAAGGGGTAGGGGAGGGGGAGATGGTCACGCAGCAGTGGAAAAGGAATCCGGTTCCTTCCCCAGAGAAGAGCGACGAGGGCTCCCGCTTGGCCTCCGCGTGCAGCAGAACGCCGAGTGAGAAGCCGGGGCCGCCAGAGGGATGGCGAGACTTAAGAGGCACGTTTCTGAAAGCTCCTTCACACGCCTCTGCATGAAAAGCGGCTCACAGAGTGTTAGGATGCCGCTGCTGCTGCTGCGGGGAGTCGGTTTGGCATCGGGATCGGGATCCGTCCCCCGTCTCGGCTCTCCGCCACCTCATTCTGCTATGCATGAGGGCAGCCTCAGTCGTGCCCTCTGGGTAAACTCCGCTCAGATTTGTCACGAATCGCTCCCTGGTTGTATTAATAAACCTTTTTTGCATGCCTAGGCATAGATGGGGGAAATATTTATTTGTTAATTTATTATTTAAAGCTCTTGTATCCTGCCCTTCACAAAGTTCCAGGGCAACAGCGCCGTGAAATAAATTATAAACATCAATATAAATGGTACATTATCACCGAACAAGTGAAATCCTAAGTAAAAACATGAATTAACAGTTAAAATAATGGGGAAATGGAAAGGTTTCGACCTGCCGCCGGAATGGAAACCGTGCCGGTGGCAGGCACGCTTCTCTGGGGAGCGAGTTCCAACGCTGGGGCGCCACCACAGAGAAGGCCCTTCTCCAGGAAGCCACGCTCCTGATCTCCTTCAAGGGGGGCCCCTGAAGCAGGACCTCTGCCCCAGACTGTAGGGGGCGGGCAGGGGCAGATGGAAGGAGGCGCTCCTTCAAATGCCCAGGACCTACGCCGTCTGGGGCTTTACCAGTCATCGCCGTTAAATCGGGCCTGGACATCCGTCAGACGCCTGTGCCGATGCTTCCGGACCGGCGTCCTGTGTGCTGTCCCAGCCGGCAGCCCGGCCGCTCGCTTCTGAGCCGACACGCGGCCGGCCGGCCGTTCTCCTCGCCCCTCGGCTATAAGAGCAGGAGCGCTGCACATGGCCCGGAAGCCTCCGTGAGCAGCGGCGAGCCCACCCGTCATCCCCCCTCCCTGTTTGTGAAGCAGCAGCCCCCCCGCCCCCACCCCAGGTGCCCCCCCCGTCTGATTAATTTGCTTTTGTTCTGTCTTCAAGCAGAACCCGCCGAAAAGGCACGGCGAAATGGTGGAAGGGGAAGCAAATCCATTCATTTGAATCCTCTCATCTCTCTCTGCCTCTCCACAGATAACAAGGCCCGGCCATGCAGTCCTTTCGGGAAAGGTGTGGTTTCCATGGCAACCAGCAGAACTACCAGCCGACTTCTTCGCAAGATTCATCACGCCTGGAGAATTACAGGCATCAAAGCCAGGCCGGGCCGCACTGCGAACGCCAGAGGCTGGTGGCGAAGGAGTACTACAGTCAGCCGCAGCCACAGCCGCCGCCGCCGCCGCCGCTGCCGCCGTACCCGGGCTACGCCGAGAACAGCGCCGTGGAGAAGTACCACGGCCGGGGGGGCAAGCCGCTGCGCGGGCCCCCGCTGCCCGGCCGGCCGGCCTCCTTCCCCAACTACGCCGTCCAGGAGAACAGCCCCTACCCGGCCCGCTACTCTGGGGAGGAGGGCCTGCAGGCCTGGGGGGCCGCCCAGCAGCAGCCCCCGCACCCCGTGCCGGGCGGGGTGGCCAAGTACGAGGAGGGCGTGCTGAAGAAGAGCGCGGCCCCCGCGGGGGCCAGGCCGTACCACGAGCAGGCCCCGCAGCTCCCCTTCCGGACGCACGCCCTGCACCTGCCGCCGCCGCAGCAGGCGCCCCAAGCGCCGCCGCCGCCGCCGCCCGCCCTGGCGTACCCCAAGCTGCCCAGGCCGAAGCTGCAGAATGACGTGGCCTCGCCTCTCTCCTTCCCGCAGGGCGCCCACTTCGCCGAGCACGCCCAGGCCTTCCCGGCCCCCTCGACCTACTCGCCCGTCCCGAGCGGGAGCCAGGCCACCCACTCCTACAAGAGCTGCAACGCGCCCCCCGCCCCCGCGGCCCACGAGCGGACCCTCGGCAGCGCCGCCAGCCTGCCCTCCGCCCAGCGGGTCCAGAGCCTGCACGGCTACCAGCCGAACCGCCTCGCCTATGACCACCAGCAGCCCCAGCCGCCGCAGCCGCCCTTGCAGGGCCGGCACCACACCCCGGAGGCCCTGCACTACCAGAACCTGGCCAAATACCAACACTACAACCCGCCGGGGCAGAGCTACTGCCAGGGGGACACGCCGGTGCGGACCCCGGACCAGTACTACCAAGCCTTCAGCCCCGGCTCCGGCCACTCTCCGGCCCGCTCGGTCGGGAGATCGCCTTCCTACAGCTCCACCCCGTCCCCGCTGATGCCCAACCTGGAGAACTTCCAGTACAGCCAGCAGTCGCTGGGCGCGGGGGCCTTCCCGGCGAGCCTCTCCGACCACAGCCACTTCATGCCCCTGCTGAACCCCTCGCCCACGGACGGGGCCAGCCCGGACACGCAGCCCGCCGGGAACTGCAAGAACCTGCCGAAGGAGAAGATCCCCGAGAACCTCCTGTCGGACCTCAGCCTGCAGAGCCTCACGGCGCTCACCTCCCAGGTCGAGAGCATCTCCAACACCGTCCAGCAGCTGCTGCTTTCCAAATCCGCAGGGATGTCCCAAAAGAAGGGCATCAAAAACTCGCCGCGGACACCGGAGCAGCTCAAAGGCCAGTGCTGCAGCCCCGAAGGGAACAATTACTCCGCGGAGCCGGCGGGGACGCCTCACTCGGACTCCCTCAGCACCCCGCAGTCCGTCCACGCCGAGCCCCAGGACGCGGATTACCTGAGCGGACCCGAGGACCACCTGGAAAGGGGCTTCCTGTTCTGCAGCCAGAGCCGCAGCCCGGCGCGCATCAACAGCAGCGCCAAGGCGAAGTCCGAGTCCATCTCCACGTGCTCCGTGACGTCTCCGGATGACATGTCCACGAAGTCCGACGACTCCTTCCAAAGCATCCACACCAGCCTGCCGCTGGACACCTTCACCAAATTTGTGGCCAACGAGAGAGACTGCCCCCGGCTGCTGCTCAGTGCCCTTTCTCAGGAGGAGCTGGCGTCCGAAATCATCGGCTTGCAAGATGCTATCAGTGAAAAGACAGAAAAAACCTGGGCCAGTTCCCCTGCTCCGAACAAAGAACCGGACAAATCCCCCTTCCACTTAGAGAATCACAGGACCTGCTTAGATTCCGCCGTCAAAAGTCCGTGGTCCAACCAGGGAGACTCCAATGCCCTTCCCGAACCCCTGAAACTAGACAAAGCCTTGGGAGGCGGAAACGATGGGAAGAATTTCTCGGAGGAGGTTTATGAAAACTCCCAGGTGGCCTTCACAGCCACCGAAACAAAGACTTCTCTCAAAACGACCAGCTCTGTAGGTTACAACTCCAAGCCCAACATCCCCGCAGCCACGTCCAACTCGGAGGCCCCCGGCTTCAGCTGCTATTCCAACGCCACGGCCAACTCCGTGGGGTCTGAAAGCGCTATGGAGAATTTTGACTGGCCAGACGAAAACCTCAGCGATACGTGGAAAGAACTCGGCTCGAGCCTGCAAGGATCAGACCTTTCCAAGAGTTTGTTCTCTGGCAAGCTGAGCGAGACCCCCGAAGAGAAGAAAACCGCCTGCTGTCTCAGCCTCTGCAATGCCGAGGAGCCTGCTGAGCCAGGCCAAATGGAGGGATTCAGTCAGCAGCAGCCTCAGGCCGGCAAAGCGGAAGGCCTGAGCTACGAGGAGCCTGGCAGGGCCGACAGCACCCGCTGGCTCGAAGACGCCACCCGGAACTCCTGCTCAGGTGGGGACTTCAGCGAGCTTCCCATGATGTCCTCGCCGGACCTTAAGGAATCCGACCTCGAACCAGAGGAGTATTCGTCTTTGTGTGAACTGGCTGGTTCCGAGCAGAAGTCCCTGACCTACGATGCGTTCACCCCGAAGCCAGCAGAGAACGCCCCGGCCCTTTCCCTCCAGAACACGCCAGGCTCTGCAGAAGAAACGGCAAACTTGGTTGAGAAAGAGAGCACGGCCCCTTCTTCCCATTTATCGGACCCGTCCGTCATCCTCTTGGGTCCAACCGTTGGCACCGAGACGAAAGTGAACAGCTGGTTCGAATCTTCCCTGCATCACCTGAAGCCCGAGGAGGAGACAGCCGTAGGCGAGAGCAAGGTGGAGACCGCAGGTGCCTTGCTGGCAAAGAAGCACCTCTCGCCAGAAACCGTGCCGATCATATCTGAGCCGACCTCCAGGGGCAAGAGTCTTCGTAGCAAGAAGGTCCACTGCAGGCTGTCGGGAGGAGAAGAGCTGATCGAGCCCATGTCGAGCCCGTGTACCGGCACCCAGGCAGCGGGCATGGTGGCCAGCGTGTGCCCAGACGCCGGCAGCCTGATAGACATTCCGAGCAAGAACCCCCATGCCCAGACGCCCCGGTTCCCAGCAGAGGGTCTGCCTGCCAGGATGTGCACCCGGTCCTTCACGGCCCTGACGGAGCCCAAGATGCCCGACCCTTTGGAAGGCGCAAAGGCCTCGACCCCTCAAGAGAAGCTGGGCAAGAAGGCGGCTTGTCTTCTGAAGCAGAGAGCGGCGTTCAGGGCCAGGAAAGCTAATGGCAAGCCAGTGCCTCCCCTGGCCGCCCACCTGGTGCCGAGCGAAGACTCCACTGGCCATAAGGTCAAGGAAGCCGAGGCCATGGAAACGGAGGGGAAGGATCAGCAGTCCATGATCCTGCGCTCCCGGACCCGGGCTCAGGAGGTCTTCTACTCAAAGAGGAGGAGGGAGAAGAGCGCGGTGGAGCCGGAGCTCAATAGCACCAAAGCACCCAAGAAGGTCTTTCCAAACAGCCACTTGCCCAGTTCTTTCAAGATCAGCCCGCAAAGCCGGTCCGAGAAAGAGAGCAAGCTGAGCAAGAGGGTGAGGCTCTCCAAAGCCCGGCCTGAAATGGGCAGCAAGATGCCCGAGCGGCCGCTTCACGCCCTGAAGAGGAAGTCCGTCTTCATCCCTCCGGTTCCGGCGAAAAAGCGCAACCTGGTCCTCCGTAGCAGCTCCCAGGGCGGCTTCGCCGTGCCGGAGGAGAAGCCGGAAGCGTTGCCCGGCCCGTTCAAGAGGGTGCCACCGGCCAAGAAGGCCAAAGCGAAGCTGTGCCCCAAGAGCGCCTGCGAGGCGATGCTCAAGCCCCCTCAGGCCAAGGAGAGCCCCGGCGGCGTCTGCATCAAGGTCGCCTCCCGGGCCGCCTTCCAGGGGGCCATGAAGACCAAAGTGCTGCCGCCGAGGAAGGGCCGGGGCCTGAAGCTGGAGGCCATCGTGCAGAAGATCGCCTCCCCAAATCTGAAGAAGTTCGCCTGCAAGAGCGCCATCCCCGCCGCCACCGCCGTGGCCGCCGCCGCCTCCCAGGGTAATCCCCTCGGCCCTTCCCTGCCGGAGAGGGAGCAGGTCTCAAAGAGCGCGGCGGTCGCCCCAGCCACGGGGGAAGCCAGGCCATTAAACCAGGCAGTGTCACAAAAGACTCCCCCGGCTCCGGCAGCCGAGCGATTATGCAGGAGCCCGAACAACCGATCCTTCAGAGGAAAACTAATGAACAGCAAGAAACTGTCCTCCAACTGTTTCAAGGGTGAGGCCTATTCATCTCCCGAGACGTTGCAGCTTGGCGGCGGCATGGCTCTGAGCTGCTCCAGCGTGCTGCCCAAGAAGAGAAACCGAAAGGGGAAAGCGGCCGCCTTCCGCGTGGCCAAAAATAGCCTGGAGAAGTGCCCCCACCTGAGCTCCGCGCTGCTCCTCGCCTCCCGGGAGAAGGCCGCGGCCGCGGCGGCAGGGAAAGTGGACGAGGGACAAAGGGAGGGGAAGAAGCCGAAGGCCGAAGACAAAGGCTCGGCTGGGGCGGAGAGCGCCGCGGGGAGACCCTCACCGGCCCAGACCCGGGCGCAGAAGCAGCGCGCCAACCACGCCAACTACAACGGCTACACGAAGAGACAAAGGAAGCACCTCTCCCGCCGGAAGGCCCCGAGCGTGCCTTCCCGCTGCAAGGACCGGGCCAAGCGGCGGCACCCGCAGCACACGCCGCTGCTGAGCCCCGCCGAGCCCGAGATCCGGCTCAAGTACGTGTCATGCAAGCGGCTGCGGACGGACAGCCGGGCGCCCCCGTTCTCCCCCTACGTGCGCGTGGAGAAGCGGGACGAGTTCGTCACCACCTGCACCATCGTCAACTGCCCTGCCGAGGAGGCCAAGCTGCACGGCGACCAGGGCGCCCCGGCGGCGGCGGTGGCGGGCCAGGCCGGGCCACAGGGGGCAGCCGCGTTGCAGCCCCGGGCGGTCCTGCCCCTGTCATCCACCATGCACCTCGGCCCGGTGGTCTCCAAGACCCTCAACACCGCCTGCCTGGTCTGCTGCCTGTGCCGGAACCCCGCCAACTACAAGGACCAAGGCGACCTCTGTGGGCCGTACTACCCCGAGGACTGCCTGCCGAAGAAGAAGGCGCGGCTGAAAGAGAAGGTCAAGGTGGAGGGGCCGGGCGAGGAGCCCCGCTCGCCCTCCCCGGCGGACAGGCTGCTCAAAGCCGCCGACGACCCTTGTGCGCCCAGCGCGTTCGGGGGTGGGAAGCCGCCGAGGCCGGACGGCGGTGGCGGTGGCGGCAGTGCTGACCCGGCGAAACAGAGCGCGCTCCGCTCCAGCTCGAGGGGCATGTTTAGGAAACTACAAAGCTGCTACTGCTGCGACGAGAGGACGGACGGCGAGGAAGCCGTGGCCGCCGAGAAGCCGCGCAGGCACGAGTGCGGCACGGCGGAGTCGCCCCCGCCGGACCCGGCCGCGGAGACGCAGGAGCACTGGCTGCACGAGGCCTGTGCCGTCTGGACCGAGGGGGTTTACCTGGTGGCGGGGAAGCTCTATGGACTGCAGGAGGCCATGAAACGGGCCGCTGACGTGGTAAGAGGTCTCCCGTGGCGCGGCCCCGTCTGTCCGAGCAGGCGCCGAGGAGCGCCGGGGCGGTGCTTCCCGGCTGATCCCTGGGGGGGATGCAGAGTGGGGAAGACGGAGTCCGGGGCACCGTCTGCTCCCCCACGGTGGAGTTGGGGGCTCTGGGGTCATAGTCCAAGAGCCGAGTGGCCCAGCCTGCCCGCGGACCTGTGCACCCCCAAGGCCGCCATCGGCCCGTGCTGAGTTCGGTGCAAGATGTGTGGGGCTGGTCAGGCCAGGGTTATGTCCTGAGGCGTGCGGTCCCGGGGCGTGGATCTCGCTTGCCGGTTGATTTGGAGCCCGTTGCTTGGAGAGGGAGGGTGCCGGGGAAAGGGGCGGGAGAGCTCGGCACGCGCCTGGTCCCCCCTCGCCCCGGGCACCGTGCCCACCCCAAGAAGCCCCCCAGCAGCATGGTGGGAAAGGCAGTTTCTGCCTCCCCGTGCTGCTGGCGGCTTTTTAGCCGTTCCTGCCTGCGTGGCAGGTTCGTGATGTTTTCCCTGCCGATGGACAGAACGGCGCTTCTGGTCCCCAGAAGTAGGTCACGAGACAGTGGGCGTCCCCTCGGCGTTCCTCCCCAGGCACGGCTGGGCTGCGCTCACACTGCCCCTGCCCATGGAGGTTCCATTTAACCACGTCGAGAAGCGAACGGAGAGGCTGTGTCATCGAAAGGACAGTGGCCCTCTATCCCTGCCTTTTCTGCCAGTGTAACCTGCTCACTAATTGCTCCAGTTTTCCCAGCACTTCGTTGTGGCTGCAAAAATGTAATGTGAACAGGAGATGCAAAGGGCTTCCATGTAGCCCCAAGTGCCTGATCCTGCCCAATCTGGGAAGCTAAGCAGGGCCGGGCCTGGTAGAAGTCTGGATGGGGGACTTGAACACTACGAACTGCCCAGAGAGCTTTGGCAATGGACAAAACAGAAATAATAGATAGAGTTATTGGTATTACAAGAATATTTATAATTAATAATATATAATAACACCCCCTTCATGGATCACTGCCTTGCCATGGAGAAGGAGCTTGTGTAACGCAATGAAGCCATGAGCTCTGCCATGCAGGGGCACCCAAGATGGATGGATGGCGATAATTAATATTGTGTGTATGCAAATCATTAATATATATAATATATTATTAATAATAATCAGGCTGCAAGGATGCAAACAGCCAGCCAGAGCAGCAGGCAGCAGTTGTGACGAGATGCTCGGCTCACACAGGGGGTCTTGCCCGGGCCCCTGACAAGCCTGGAGCTGGCTCTGGTTCAGAAGGTGACTGCAGGGTCCCAGCAAAGGCAACCGGATTATCATTATTTTCAATTCTATACTGTCTGTAATCGAAGCTCTCTGGGCGGTTTACTGCCGAATATAAAACAATAAAACAAAAAATAATCATGCTGGGAGTTGCAAAGCTTTCTCCAGGACTGCCCCAGAAGCTGGGATTGCCCTGGGAGCCAAGGCGCAAGCAAAGGACCGTCCCACGCCAGCCGGGGCAGTCGAGAGGCCTCCCGTTCCCAGCATGCCCAGCCAGCCGTGCCGGGGCATGCTGGGCATGCGAGGCCTCCCCTTTCCGTCTGAGCTTGCTCATGGTTCCTGTGGGCAGCACCAGTGGCCACCCCTTTCCTCCCAAGCCAGATGCAATTGCTGAGCAGGAAAAGGGGGCCCAGGCCCCACTTGGGGGGTGCTGAGCCTCGTCTGTAAGTGGGGCAGACCACACGGAGAGGTGTGGCCCTGAGAGGCTTCCCCCAGGAAGCATGCCCACGGCCTGCTCTCCCGGGCGACCGGTCGCTCAGGGGCACGTGCCGACGGATTGGGACCGCATTCAGCGGAGCCCCAAGGTTGGACCCAATTTCAGAAAAACGGGGCAGCCTTCTCGAGGACACCATCCTGGTGTTGGATAATGCCAGAAATAAGCAGGGCAGAGCCAGAAATACCAGCCTCCTTCAGCTTAAAGCGGAAGAAAGGCGTCTCAGCCTTTGCGAAGCGGGGAAGCAGCAGGACGGTCAAGCAAGCGCCGGACATTGACCGTGGGGCGCACGGAGTGGCCCTCTGAGCGTCCCGGGAGCCAGACCGGGGCCTCAGAGCGCACGAGCGCGGCCCGCCACCGGAGGTTCGGCCCCTCCGGCTCACCCCTGGCTCAGCGCGTAAGAAACGCCACTGTGCCGGAAGACGCCTTAGCCCGGAGTCCTGCTTAAGTGTCCTTATCGGCCGCTTCCGACTCGCCTGTCCCATGAGCTCTGTCCTCCTCAGCATCTTCACCTCTGATGCTTGTGCTGCATTAATACACTTCACACTGATACACCTCACACTGATACACCTCACAGGGGGAAACAGGTGAACTTTGCCAAGGTCCAGATGGGATGCAGGTGAGAGCCAAACCCCGTGTGAATTTAGTAGCAGCCGCTTTGAAGTTGGGAGGGGATGTAATGGGCGCATGAAGATCTCCTCCTCCTCCTCCTCCTCCTCCTCACTTGTTGTAAAGCAGTGGGGGGGCATTTTAATTGGGACTGAGGCCAGGGAGAGAAGAGTTAAATCTCCCCTCCCCGCAACTCGGCCACCCTTACAAGAATCCCATGCCTCCCAGACCGATTAGCTTTCCCAAGGGACAACAAGCACGGAGCCATGGCGGCTTCGCATGCTATGAAAGGAACATCTGGGCTGGCCCAGAGGTTTGGACCGAGCCTTTGGCCTGCCCGGTGCCAGTTCCTTCTTGGTTTGGCTCCGAACTGATTCGGTGAACGCCTTCGCAAAGGAGGACTGCCGTGACCTCCGGGGATTGCGTATTTCCTGGCCACCCTTCCAACTGCCAGTCCAGGCTCCGTGGATTATGGATTATAGGCACTGCTGTCTTCCTTCTACTCCAGGAAGTTCTGTGCCCATCGTCAAAGGGAGGCGTCATCAGCATCCTGGTGTGAGACCACAAGAGCGTGCAGCTTGGCCTGTCCTTTCTAATTCCACTCAGAAGTGCACCTGGTCCCTCCCTGTTGTTTCCACCTGGCGGAATGGCCAGAGATGGCCATTCTGCTTCTGGCAGAGGTAGACTGCCTGCATCAGTGGAAGCTCAGCTTACCAACCATGGCTAGCTTCTCAGGGATAGCTTATTCTGCTCCGTGGATTTGTCTTGCCCGCTTTCCCAAGCTATCTAAACAACAGCAAGTTGTGGCAGTGAACTCCATTCTCTTTGTGGCATGTAAAGACTTCCCTCCCACCAACCCCCATTTCCCTCGGCCTGCTAGACCAGCCCAAGCCCTACAGCTTCCAGCATCCCAGGATGCTTTCCTGTCTGAACGTGCTCAGCTGCCCCCTTGTTCATTCATGTATAATATATATGCAGCCTGTCCCCACGGAGGCCACCCCCATACCCGGTGGGAGGTCCAGAAGTAGAAGAGAAATGCAAGAGCTCCCTTCGACTTTTGTTCCCCTGCAGCCAGCATGCTGCCACTGGTGGTCATGAGGACTAGCGGGCACCCATAGCCTGTTGCAAAGCCGTCCCTGTTGCTGGCCGTGAGTGACTGCGTGTTGCAGGAAACAACCTTGGCGCGTTCTTGCTGATTCCCACAAGTGCGATGGAGAAGGCGTGTGTTTATGCTTTTCTGCTGGGGCTCTGCTGAAACGCCACGAGTGTTCATGACCGTGCGGTTGGCCCTGGAACAAGGCGGGTGCGGCGAGCTGCTTCAGGCGGCGCCTGGCGAGCAGACAGAGGCAGCCTTCGCAGGTCTGCTCGGTGCAAGGCCTTCCAAAGTGTTGGCCAACCGCGAGGCCAGCGGAGGGAGAACGCAGCCAGTGGGTTGCATTTCAGGCTGCAAAACATCTTGGGCTGATACTGAAAATTGCTTTGGACGAAGGTGTTGCACGGAGCTGAGCTAGTTAGCAAACAAAGCATTAAAAGCAGGCATTAAAAATGCTCGCCTCACCAGGTACTTCTGCTGCCCCGTCCACGTCTGAGGTGCTCTCTGTGGTCCCTCATCCGCTGCTCGGTGCCACGCGTCCCCTCCAGACTGGCCACAGCGAGCCACGCAACTCCGGCGGTGCAGGAGCGGGGCTTCCTCTCGCCAGGCGTGAGGTGGGGCCAGTTGCAAAACCCTGTGGGTCATCCTAGCCCATCAGGTTAACAGCCACTGGGACGCAAAGGGAATCAGAGGAATGGCACAGCGAGAGGATTTCGGAAGCCCCGATGGCAATGCCCGAACGCAGATAAGATAGGGCGACTGCCGGGGAAATGGCCCAGGCCGGGCAAGGCCTTTCGTCAAAGCCTCTGACCGAAAGCAACCTTTTGCAGCCCAGAGCCGCCTTAACCTCTTCGGCTAGAATGCCCATCATCCCCAGCCAGCATGCTTGACAGGTGTAGTAGTCCCAACACTTCTGGGGAACCCCAGCGGGGAACGGCAAGAAGGAGAGCTCCAAAGGGTGGCCTCTGTTAAGGACAACCTAACCCATGAGGCAATGCAAGCCCATCTCCAGCAGCAGCCAGAACAAACTTGGAGCAAGGGGTATTTCTAAAGCTCTCCCCCCACCCCACCAACCGGTTTTATTTGTGAAGAAAAGGACATTTCCGGAAGGTATGGAAGGCAATCCAAATGTGAATGGTGCGTTTGTGGTTGAGATTTATCCACGACTCCTTTCGTGTACAGCAAATAACATAGTCTTGCGACTTGCGGTGGGAGCGGATTTGGGGTGCATAATAAAGATCGGTTTGTCTCCCTGGGCTTCTGAGCGAACAGAAAGGGGTGCTCTCTCTACCTTGAGCTCCCCCAGCCACAACAAACTCAGGTAAATACTACCAGAAATTGTGACTCACTCAGGCCGTCCTCACTCAAACCTTCCTGACAAATGGAAGTGGCTAAGAAGAAGCAGCTTTGCAAAACTGGACCACAATGTCAGTAGATCTCATGGAAACCTCTCTCTTTTTCCCTCCCTTCTCTCCTGCTGACTGCAGAGGTGTTCCAGTTGCCAGCAAGCAGGGGCGACCGTTGGCTGCTGTTACAAGGGGTGTGCCCAAACCTTTCACTACACCTGTGCCATTGATACAGGTAAGACCTGCATCACCTTGTCTCTTCTGTGGTGTGCAGAAAGAGCATCTTCACTGAAGAGTAAATTAATAAAAGCAAGAAGGTTATCCAGGCATGTCCCCCCTGCTGCCAGTGAATAACAACCGGCAGAGTAAAAGAGACAAGCACCCCTGCCTCATCCCGGTTGCTTGCTCATATTTTAAGTTCAGGAGAAATCCCAGCTTCAAGCATCAGCCTCAAGGCCTTCCTGTGTTCACCGTCGGTGAGAGGAGGCCATTTTAAGCAGTGCTGTTTTTAAACTGCACTATTTATAATACCCACATACCATCCAATAATTACATTCTCTGGCTGATTTACCATAAAATATTAAAACCATTAAAAGATGCAAAACACACACATGAAATCTAAAACAGACTAAAACCATCAACAGCATTTGGAAAAAGTAAACCCAGAAGCAGCAAATAAGATTAGCACAACTAATTGGAAAAGCACCAAAAGATTCCAAGTTCGAAACAGTCGGGCAGATGAAAAGGGTGGTCATCTGGAATTCTGTAGACCATAGTGTAGGGCAGCCAAGAATTGGGGTGGGGGATGGGGGGACACTGTGCTATTGGAGTGTTGCTACTGCAAAGGGTCTCTCCCTCTTTTTGGGGGGAGGGATGGGACTGGACATGCCTCTTTTCCTGGGTTTCTCCCATTTTTCTCTTTCCCCCTCTCTTAAAAGACAGGAGCTCTTCTGCCGCACCTCTGGTCCCACTGGGCGCAATGGTGTGACCAAAGGCATTGTTTTGAATGACGGAAAATGCACTTGCTTTGTGTGTGTGTGTGTGTGTGTGTGTGTGTGTACACATGCAGGGGCTATTAATCCTACGACTGAAGAAGGCAGAAAGTGTCAAGCTGTGTTCTGCTCTGTTTGCAGGATGTTTGTTAACCGAAGATACCTTCTTGCTGAACTGCCCCAGGCACAAGGTAGGTGAGCTCACCTTCGTGAACACCTGTCCATAAACTCTCTGCCCTTCCTTACAAAGGTGCCACTAGGAGAATGGCTTTAGATGAAGTTAGACCACTAAGGGTCCACTTAGTCCAAGATTATCTTCTTGGAGTGCCAACAGCTCTCCAAAAGAGATGCCTTCCAAATTTCCAGCTCTTTTTCACCAAAGACACCTGGGACCTTCTCCATGCAGAGCATGGATTCTCTCATTGCAGTGGGACATTAAAATATGTATAATGATTTTGCAGAATTCAGTAGGTTTAGTAATTTGGATTGTGATTCAGAGAGGAGAGAGAGAGAGAGAGAATCAATTTTTAGCTCTTAAGAGTATAAAAATTATGTGTTGTCAGTGCCAGCTGAAATCCCAGAAGTCAGAGAAGGGTCTGGACAGAATTTTCATTATACGGGATGTTGGCTGTTAGGGCTGCCCCCTTTCAACTTTGCATGATTCACAGTAAATTCTATTCAAGGTGGCTAAGAAGTAAGTCCAGTTGACAATCACCAATACTCAGGTTTGGGGCAATCGCTGCTGTTGAACTGCAGATTGTTGGCTGTTGGGTTGTCTGAACACGGCGGCATTACCAACTCATGGCTTGCTCATCCATGAACAGCCCAGGAAGAGAGCCCCACGATTTGCTGTCGGCGTATGAACCGTGGATTGTTCACGCTTCCTTTGTTATCTTGGCTGGGTTCAAACAAAACAGTCAGCCGTATTTCAACAACAGTCCACGGTTTACCAATATTTAGTGACCAATAACCCATACTCCGCCCTTGACTGTGAGTCTTCGTGTTGTCTGAACTCAGCCGCTGAATTCTACGGGGCTCGCTCCCAGGTGGGTGGTTAGAGGACTGGACTGCAGCCTTTTCTTTACTCCAAAAGGTTACACTGGCAAAGAACCTTCGCGTTCACACAGTCCTGCCCTCTTGCTGCGTGCGCACTGATGTACCCTGTTCCCAGAAACACAGCCAGGAGTTGCCTGAGGACGCATTTCCTGGCCTGAGGAACCTTGCAGCTCTCTTCTGTCTGGGCAATTTGGGGCCCTGCCCAGGGCCTGCATCCCACAGCTCTTGCCTGCCATTTTTAAGCATCACACGAAGACTTTTCTTTCATCCATCCTGAACTGACCACCCGCCCATTGCAGAAGAGGGCTGAGGAAGAGGGTGGGGGGAACCCGCTGCCCCTCTTCGAAAGCTCATGCAACCAAGAAGCCAGTTTCTTAGGAGCATCTTGATTCTCGAAACTCTGGGATAAACATCGGCAGCCGTCCAGCAAGCAAGCGCATGTGGCCCCTCCGTGCCGGAGGCCGGTGCCTGCCAGCCAGAGGAAGCCTCTGGGCAACTCTCATCCGCAGCTCCGCTGAGTCTCCAAGCACGCCGCTTCCGCTTCTTCGGAAGAGCCTTCCATGCCCAGCTCTGTGGCCTTCCCGGTGCAGCCGCAGCCTCCCTTTGCGCCCAGGTTCCCCTCGCTCCCTTGCCCAGCGCCTTTCCTGGAGGGCTGAGGAGCAAGTTCCTGCTGCTGGAGGCGGAAGCCGCCCCTTCGGCTCGTCTCCCAGGGCCGCCACGTCCGCCCTCCTCCCGCCTCTCTTCCCCTTCGGAAGCGGGAGCCAGCCACTGGCGCAGGAGGCCTTTGTCTTGCCTCCGAAACCGCTGACCAGGCCTGCGAGATAATTGAATCACCGCGGCCGACCCTTCCTGCGGCCGCCTCCTGCCATGCCAGTGGCTGCACCTGGTTATTGGCAATTTGAAGCAGACGCGGCGGGGAGGGGGCGAGGGGGAGGGAGAGGTCCAGAGGGGGGCCTGGGGAGATGGATTCGCATTCCTCAGCAACAGGCAGGAATCGGGAGGCTGGGCAGGCGTCCTTCTCACCCGCCCTGCTGCACGGGCCTCTCCGGCGTCCCCCCTTCTCCAGGCGTGTTCCCCCTCAACAGGCAGCCCCCGGAGCAAGCGGCCCTGGCTGAGCCACACCAAAAGAGGCGACATGAGACCTCTGAGCGGAGCACAGGCCTCCGAATAAACATGTGGGCTTCCCGGCGGTCACGGTTCCAACAGCGGCCTTCGTTTCGCTGCATCCCCTCCCCTCCTCGTGCTTGGGGGGCAGGGGGTGTTGCATCCCGCTTTTGCAAAGTGGACCAGTAAAAGGGGTTCAGCCCATGGAGGGGAGAGCAGTGCGACCGGTTTAGCAGAATCCAGAATCCCCTCTCTCTGGCTCTTTCAGGAACGGCTCTTCCCTCCTTGCTCGCTGTTTTCTGTTTAGTCGGGTCTAAAAGAAAGACCGACTTGAGACGGGTCTGAAGGAAAGACCAGCTTTAGTCAAGTTTAAAAGAAAGACAAGTGAAGAAGAGCAGGGGTGGGGGCTGCCGAATAAGGTGAGGTGTCCCCCCTCCACCAGTCCTGGTGCAAAACCAGGCAATTTTGAACAGAGAGGACCTGTCGGGGGGTGTGCTTGGATGTTCTGCTTTTTATGGCTTTTTGTGCTCTCCACGTGGCTTAAGGCGTAACTTGATGCATGCAGCAGAATGCACGAGTTGTAGGTTTTTTTTCCTGTCCAAACACGTGTGGATTTCACTCTTAAATTGTCCATTTCACTGATGTCACAAAATGACAGTTGGACAAAGGTGCATAGGAAGTCGAGTCCCATTAGACGGGAGAAAAGGAAATGCACCCACCATCCATGCTGGGAATTTTAGGATTTTTTCCTGTCTAAACTTGAACATGGACAGTGAAGAAAGCCGGCAGGAAGAAAATGGATGCGGAACCTGGTTCTGGAGAAGAGCTCTGAGAATACCCTGAGAGACAGAAGGCTGCAAAGGGGGGTTCTGGACCGAATCAAGTCAGAACCTGCCCCGGAAGCAACAGAAGGACAACGGAGGCTGTTGTACTTTGGACACATCACGTGAAGGCCATGAAGAAGACAATCAGGTTAGGGAAAGTTGGAGGCAGGAGGCGAAACGGAAGGCCAGAGATGAGATGGATTGAATCCATAAAGGAGGTCGCGGCCTTAAACTTGGAAAAGCGGAATGGAGCTGACCTGCGCTGGACATGTGGAAAGAAGGCTTTCGTTCATAAGCTGGAGACAACCTGATGGCACGTAACGCAAAACCTTGGGACGCTAAGAAAGAGGGCTGCATAAATGCTTATTATTACTTGTTGGTGATGATTAGGTTGAGATTAGAGAATTGAGAAATGCAATGACACGTGCTGGGATTCCAGGACATTTTTCTGTCTAAACGCAATGGATTGTGCCCTTGCGTGGTAGAAAATAATGTAAAATAATTGCAATTTTTTTAAAGCAGAAAGTAAAGCACTATGGAAATGCAGCAGCTCGCCTGCACAGTCCTGCTGGGGCTTGTTGCTGATGCTTCCGGACACAATCCGACGTCTGTTCAGACAGGAAACGGGCCTACGGTTCCCAGCATGCCTCAGCCAGATCCGTCTGCCTGAGTTTGGGGCAGGGGTGGGACTGCGTTCCCCCAGTCTGTGATGCCTATCAACAAATCCCCCCTTTTAGCATTCATGCAGCAGTTCTTTCTTCGCTTCTGACCCATTCGCTGACCCTTGCAAGACCCCTGTGACGTACGGGGCTGGTTTTGCCTGCTCGGTTTTTTAAGCCCCATTGTGCAGATGACGGAGGAGACCGGCCGAGCTGCAATTGCGGGAGAGCATTTCCCAGCGGCTACCTAAATTTGAATTAACGCCGAGGACTTCACAGCACAGATGGGACAGACAGTCCCTTTCGTTTGCTCTTTCAGACATGCAAACCCCTGACACTTCGAATGTGCACTTGGCTTTCCTGCTCCGAACCGTGTCCCAAGGCCCTCGATGGCTTTTATCCGCTCACAACATTCGCTTCCTGGCCACCACGTTCCTTCTGTTTTTATTTTCAAACAACGGCTCTTCCCTTCTCTGCTCGCTGCTTTCTATTTCCATCTTGCGCATTAACAACATTTATGCGAGCGCACCAGTGTGCCTGGGAAGCTGCAAAGCGCTTGCAGTGTCGGGGGGTGAGCAGGCGTGGGTGTTCAGTAGCCCCAGGGGGCCTCACAGTACCAATTAGCAGAGGCCAAACGGAAGAAGGAGAGGGCAAGGAGACACCCAGGAACTCAAGGGGAGCTGGAAACCCAGCGGCTCTCGCCAGCGAGCGCTTCGTGCTGCCCCCTCGTGATAAAGCGCCAGCCCGGATTGCTTTGAAAAGGGACAGGAAGGAGGGAGGGAGGGAGCAAGCGAGCGAGCGAAGGGGGCCATAAATGCGTCTCCGTCTCCGCAGCCTGTCAAGAGCATGCTTTCATTTTTTATCAGGGACTGATGCAGGCACCTGGGCAGGCGTTAGCTGCATGAATTATTCCCTGCGAATGAACCGAGGGAGTCCTCAAGCTGTCAGCCACCAGCCCACGGCTGGGGCTCTTTGCGGTCACTCGGCGGCTGCCAAATCCAGGAACAGAATCCTCGGAGAGGGGCACGCCGGAGGGCTCCTGCTTTTCCACGGGGGGCAGGGGGGGGCGGCACGGCTGGGGAGGGTGGGGAGAATAAAGCGGCCCCCGCTGAGCAGAGGATGCCCGCATCTTTCCCGCCCCACTCTGAGCCGCTTCTCTCTTTTCTCTCCTTTGCCTCTCGCTTGCAGAAGCAGCCGTTATAATTCGCCGAGAGAGAAAGGAAGCCATCGCCTCCGCAGAGTCACAACCTGAGAAGCGGTGCCGCATCTTGGCAGACCCCTCGGGCGGGCCGCGGCTGCGAGCACGATGGACTCCGTCTGGGAGAAGCAACGAGAATGTAATCCAGCCGCGTCGCCCTCTCCGCCCCTCCCGCGCCCCCCTTGCAATAGTACTTCGACTGTGAACAGACCTGGCCGCACGCGGAAGTCTTTGGCCCAGCTCCACGCCGCCGGCTTGGGCTTCCTCTGCCGTCTCGCACGGAGCTGGCACTGAGGGACACGCCGCGCCGGCCCTCCTCCGGACCAGAAGCTGGGAACCCTGCGCACCCCACAGTGGGCCGACCCAGGACCGGGCTCCGGGCTCCGGCTACCACCAACGCCTTTCGAGTTCCCCCTAGAAGCCCTCCAGGTCGGCCCTGAAGCAAAACTCCAGTTCCGGCTTTTCTCCTCCTCGCTCCATCCCTTCTCTGAACGCTACCCAGAGCCGCTTAGGAGAGGAACGCGATTCCATGTCCGGGTTTTGTTCCTCCCCATTCCCTTCCTTCACCGAGGAGCTGTAACCAATACTGATAAGCTAACATCTTCTACCTGGGACCTGGCCTGGCGCTGCGTAGGGTCTCCTTTCCTTTCCCGCGTTTCCCCAGAAGAGAATCTTGAGGATGCCCCGTTACTTTGGAACTGACCCCCCTGGACCCAGTCCCAAAGCACCGCTCCCGTTTCCAAGCGCCCTTCCTCTGCACCAGAGAGGAGGGCGCAGGGTCGAGGCCAGGCAGGCAGGGAGAAGTGCAGCCGTGTGCCACGGCTCCTGCCTGCATCGTCTCCCTCGAAGCGCCGGACTCCGAGAGCTCTCCGAGCCCTCCGTCTTTTTTCTGATCTGATCTATTTTTGCCTTCAGCAAACCTCATGGTGCGTGTGTGTGTATGTGTGTTTCTGTATATATATGTGATCAGCGTGTAAAAAGAAGCACCCCAATGTTTTTGGAAACAATGCGCGTCGCTTGGGTTCGTTTGCTCGTTTGTTTTGCTTTGGTCCCGGTCCCGGCCCCTGCCATGGCTCCGCCAGCCCGTGCCACTTCTGTGTGCCCTCTTCCCCAGTCCCAGCTGACATCAACGCCTCTCAAGCGCAGAGCAGCGAGGCTGGCACCCACCCGGGCTGCGGAGAGCAGCCAGGCGGCCGGAAGGTCCTTGGATGCCTCGCGGGAGGCTGTGATGCAGGCGAGGGCCGTCCGCCCGGCTTTGGCTGCAGGAAAGCTTGAGGGCTGGCGTCTTGCTGAGGCGAACCGTCGGCACCATTGCAAGGGTGGGGGAGGCTCGTCCTGTGCAGAGATGAGCCAATGGGCTTGGGGGCCAGGGGGCCCCACACACCTACGTGGAACCCACTTGGTACCATGCGAATTGGTGCTCTCCTTTCGACAGCCCGCCATCTCGGCCCACACCCGACTGTGCGTCTCGGGGCCCCCGAGCCGGGATGGAGGGCCCCCGTCGTGCCCGCATGCTGGGGGAGGGGGGCATCGTGCCGCACCGCCCTACTGGCCACAGGGCGTCTCCGGGAAGGCACCTGCCAACTCAGTTCCCAGCAGCTGCCCTCCCAGGTGCATGCCCTCCAGCCTCCCACAGAATGCTTCAGCCACAGGGCCCCTCCCTCGCTTCCTGTGCCCCACACCTGTTTCCAGCAGGTGCCAAGGCCCAGACAGGTGAGCCGATCCCTCGTCACGCTTGCCCTGGTGGGAAGGAGGCCCGGCCCCCTCACCAGAAGCTGCGAGAGCCCCCCACCGGTGGGTCGCCCCACCCACACATCATCACGCCTCTCCTCCTAGCACCGGGGACTCTCCAGAAAGAGGCCGCGCCGACTCGCCCGCTCCCTGGCTCTTGGTAGGGTCCAGCAGGCCTGCATCCGTGCGGGAGCGTCCGTGGAGGAGCCGCCTTCCCAACCTGGGCTGCTGGCTCCTTTTGCTCAGCTGGCCTTGCTGCCGTTCCACCACTTGGGCCCCCACGAAGGCCCCACGTCTCGGAGAGCCAAGTAGCTCCCACCTCCAGCGAGGTCACAGGGAAGCGCGGAGACACCACCGTGTGGATTTTGAGCCAGTGTGCAGATTCCCTTGCTGGATTCCTCCTGGAGACCCTCCGGTTCGAAGAGAGGCACTTGCCGAGCAGAGTTTGGCTGGAACGGCTGGGGTGGCGCTTCTCAGAAAGGGACCTTAATGGGAAGCAGGCAGCCCTGGCCATCCCCTCGCACCCCCAGCTGTACCACCGAAGTCACCGGCCTCCCTCCAGGCTGAAGCTGGCTCCCACCGCCCTCCGTGCCCTCGCCCCTCTCCCCCGGGCCTCCTTATCACCAGACCCTATGCAGTGTGTTTGTGCGACGTCGCCTTCGGACTTCTCCCCCCAGGCTGGCTCCGTGACGGAAAACGGAAAGCGCGGCTGCAGTCTCCGCGGCGGGGATCCGGGCGAGCCGCCGTTTCCGTGGAGGGTTCTGCGCATCCTCCGTGTGGGTCGTGCCGAGCCAGCGCGTCCCCCAGGTCTCTGCAGCACTTGGGGGCAGAAGCTCCAGGAACAGAGTTCGGCTTCCACGGGTGCCGGCAGGGAGCGCGCCGTGGACTCGGCACCGAGGAGTCGCCTCGCCTGAGGTGGGGTGCTTGCCGCTCGGCTGCCGGAGCGATGGCTTGCCCCCAGGGTTGTCCATGCGATCGGCGTGGAAATCAAGTTGCCGTGGGACCGGCCCCCTTTCGCAGATTGCGGTGGATGACGGAACCGACCTGAGCAGAAGGTCTCGGAGTGCCCCCCCCCCCCCCTAAGAAGACACGGAAATCAACAGATGGCGAATATTCTCCAGAACCTCGCGCTGTACAGGATGTATATATGTTTCAAATCTCCATTTTGGTGTAGCACAACCCACGAAGGGGAGTCCTCCGGCCACCGTTCTCCTGAGCCTCCGTCCGGGCCGTTTCCCTTCCCAACTCGGGCTGGTTTCCGCTGCCTCCGTTCAAAGCAAGCCCACTGCCCTTCACTTGTAACCCGTCTGCCCATGGTACGAAGTGCGCTCCACCGCCACCGTCGCCGTGCTCGCCCGTCTCACCCCCAGCTTGCCGGCACCGAAACACCCGTTTCAGAAGCCCACCCTAGGACGGCCGGTCGCGGGAAAAGCCCCGTGCCCACGGCGTCGTGAACTCCATGAGCCTGGCTGTCTTTGAAGAGCATCTTGTACATAATAGCTGTAAAATGGCGAACCGTGTGTATTATATATTGCTTCATTCTATAGTGTATATATATGTATACATATACATATATAATATATATGAAAGATGTAAATGTTAAAACTAGTGTTCTTATTTAGTATATTGCTTCACACTGAAGATTGTGTGTAACAAGCTGTTTCTAAAAGAAGTTTATTTTCCTTAAGAGAAAAAGAGAAAAGAAAAAAAAATCAGGTCATTGCATTCAAAACATCAATAAAGATTCAACAATTGTTTTGGACTTCTGTGGAGTCCCCTGGTAACCTGTTTTTCTCCCAGCGCTTCCGGTGGGCCGCCAGCTCCCCCAGTCTGTGAAATGCATTGCGAAGGGGTAGACCCAGGTCTGGTCTCCCTTCCGCCAGTCCGGCCGATTGATGTGCGTTTTAGGCGGGGGGTGCGCCAGGCTTCTGCAAAAGCCCCCCCCCCCCCCCCCCCCGTCGTGGAGGGCAAGGTGGAAATCCGTGCTTCACACAAGGGCACCGTCCCCTCGGCCAGTGCCAGAATCTTTCCCGCTGGGTGGAGGTTTTGAGGGTCGGGACTGGGGGACGTGTTCTTGTGCGAGTGGCTGTGGGTGCATGGGGGGGGGGCTTCTCAGCCCAGGGGTCCCATGGCCTTTCCCCCCAGACTGGTGCCTTGTTTAAGGGTAAGACAAAAGACAGGGAAGCCAGTGGGCGGACAGGGTGGCCCAGGAGAGCCGTCTTGGCCTCGACCTCCACAAAACTTGCGGGATGGAGTCGGGTCGTGTGCCAGGTTCACGTCTCCTCTGGAAACGGAATGAGCGAGCGCACGGCTTCCCAAGGGAAAGCAGGGCCTCTGCTCCCGATGCCGGGACGGCGCTGCACAGGAATTCACCCACGCAGCCTTGGCTAGTGGGAGGCTAGAAATGCCATCCAGCCATCCAAGGCCGCTTGAAGGCCCGGAAGGGCTCGGATGCGTCCCTGCCGCTTCATCTCGGCATCCGCTTAGCGATTTGGACACCACGTTCACACACGCGCTCTGTCGCCATGACACACAGGGATTGCTAATCGCTAGGGATGTGTGGGAATTCCGTTTGGGAACCGAAAACCCGACAGATTTGCTGTTCTTGTCAAGGAACGCGTCAATTCCCCAGCCTAGCTCTTTCCCTGGGGAAGGACCAAAGTGGCGGATGAAACAGACGAGCGATTTGGCAAGTGTGGAACCCCTGCAGGGCCGAGGGGAAGAGTGTGTGGCGAGGGTGGGGCAGGAGGGGAACCTGCCTCCGCAGGACCTGCAGCGGAGGCCGCGATGCGCTGCGCACTTGCGCCCGAGCGGCAGCTTAGAGAAATCGCACAAAGCAGTGACATCCTTCCTGCAGATTTCAGGAATTCCAGCAAGAGCCCCTTCCCCGGGTTGTTGTAGTGGGGATACGACTGAAAGCAGGAGGCGGCGATGCACGGAAGCCACTTCGACTGTCTTGTAAGGAAAAAGGGGGGTATATATCTAATACATACGTGGCAGGGCCCTTTTTTCTGGAATTGGGGAGAAAATTCTGCCGCACTTTGCCACCAGTCGCTGGAAGAGAAATGCTGCGGAGCGTTCCATCAGGCTTCCGCGGAGAGATGGAGAGAAAGGGAACCTTCAGCTCCCCATAACTTTGGGGAAAAGGTGATATATTGCTCCGGTGAGGTGGAGCTTAGCGGAGGAGCGGAAGGTTTCGTTCCAGGGGCCGTTAGGACCCTCGAAAGGGAGCAAGCGCCCACAAGGCCGAACGGGGCTTGTTCTCGCAGTTGTTCTCCCCGGTTGGACTTTCTGTTGGAATAAAATATCCTGTGTTTCGCCACAACTCAGGCGTCCTCCAATTCCCCACAACCTGGAAGTCAAGCCGCTTTCCAGCTCAGTCTGCCCCGTCCCCTTCCTTCGACCAAACACCACGGGACTCCCAAATATAAATAAGTAGGATTTTATTTCATCATCTGTACAAAAAGAGCTCGCACTATGAAAATAACCTTTACATGGAAGAACGGTGGCCAAGCGTCGCGGTGGGAGGGGAAGGGGGTGCAGTCCCTGCGCATGGGCCTCTTCGTGCGCAAGCACGGACACGCTGTGCCCGATTCACTCCCATCCTGTGTGTGTGTGTGTGTTTTTGGGGAGGTACAGCAGCGTTCCCAACGGAGCACGGTGGGCCCATTGCAGGGGGTTGTGGTAGCAAAAGAAACAGGTCCAACCATCCAGACACCTCCCTACAAACCCGGATTTAACGGGCCTCCGCCGCATTCCGCTTCCGGCCCATTCATAAACCAAAACCACACGCGATCACCTGCCTTCTCTCGCCTGGGGCTGGGACCCTTTCCCCAGCAGAGCTCTTGCAAATAACAATCGCCCGACAGACTGACACCCAACAGGCGAAGAAGCACCTGTGCCCTGCCCTGCCCCCTCTCTGCCACCCGACGTGCCTCTGGACACACTAGCCAGAACACCTCCCAGCCAAGGGGAGCATCACCTGTTGGTCTGGTGGGCAGGCATTCAACCGGTTCAGTCCTGCAGGTGGCTGTGTTGCTGGGACCACGTCACTCCAAGGCTGCCACTGCCTCAAGGCAGGATTACGCAGCAGGAGCGTGACCAGACCACAAGCACCCTCGGGCCCTGCCTCCCGTGCCCCCGGTCTTGCTGCGGGGGCCGCCGGGAAAGCACCCCTTGGCCTCCCGCTGCATCGTGCAGGCCCAGGAGGCGCCCGCCCTGGTTTGCTCCGTCAGGACGGCACCGGTTCCGCCCCTGGTGGGGCAAAATGGTCCGCAGCAGCTGGGGGAACAGGCGGGCACCCGCAGTCCCGGGAGCGTCCACCAGGGGTCGCCAGAGCCTTCTACGTGGGCAGGAGCCGGGGTGGGGGGGCAACCACAAGTGTGGGGGGAGGAAGCCGTCAAGCCATCCCCCAGCAGGGGCCTCCACGCCCCCCCGGGGGTTGTCTGCAGCTGTGGGGTGTGGCAGCGGGGCACAGACAAGCCACAGCCAGCTGCCCCTTCCCCCTCAATCCCAGGGATGCTCAGCACAAAGGGTACCCACTTGTATGTGTGCACACACACACACACACACACACACACACACACAGACCCTCCTGGAGTAGCAACGCCCCAGGAGCCTGGCCCGACCCATCACCCCCTGCACCCCCACAGGGCCCCTCCTGCCCGCCTGGCCCATGCCCACCCCGGGGGCACGTCCTGCAGGCACTGGGGAGCCGGCGGAAAAGCCCTGCCGATTCAGCCAGGGGGGCCAGGAAGCTCGTCCGCACGCTTGCCCACATCACCCCGATCGGGGCAGCGCCGCCCCGCCCCGCGGCGCCCCCTAGCTGGAGGCGACGGTGGAGCCACTGCCCAGGCGGACGATCATCTGCTGGCACTCACACAGCGCCCGCTTGTCGCCCAGCTTCTCCAGGGAGCGGGCCGCCTCGGCCAGCATGCCCACGCGCTGGCCCGGCCCCAGCAGGAAGCCCGGGGGCAGGTAGGAGCAGGCCAGCAGGAGCGCCTCCGCTTGCTCCCGCGCCGAAGTGCAGCTCTCCGGCGCGCTGCCTGGAAGGGAACAGCGCGAAACTCAGCCGGGGCAGGGGAGCGGCAGTGCCAGGGGCGGGCAAGGACGGGGCCCGTCGCCACGCACCCTCAGGGCCTGGCGGGGGACCCGCCTGGCTGCCCCGATGCCAGCACCCTGCGCCGGCCGAGCCACCACCGAGCGTGGCGGACGAGGCCCCCCACTCCGCGCCCCAGCGCCGAGGCTGCGCTCCGAAGGCCACCCGCCCCCACGAGCTGTGTCTTTCCCTTCTGTCACTGACCCGTCCCACAGCGGGTGCCGGGAAGCCCCGGATGGAGCGTGAGCGAGAAGCCAACTTGCGTACCTCCCTTGCTGCCGGAAGCCCCCCTCCGGCGCAGGCTCCGGTCGAGGAGCTGGTGGGTCCGCGTGGGGCTGGCTCGCGCCATCAGGCGGGCCGTGGCCTCGTGCAGGAAGACCTGGGAGAGCCCAGAAGTTAGCCTCACACCGCCCCCCCTGCGGAACCGCAGTGCCGGCCCTCCCCGGGGAACTCGCGCCCCCAAGCACAGAACCCGCCTCCAGGGTGAAGCCCGCCAGGGAGGCGGACGCCCGCTGCGGCTCAGGGGTCACAGACGAGCGCCGGGCCGGCTCCTGGCCCCGCGAGAGGGACCTCGGCGCAGTTCCCCGGGGATGTCGGCAGGCCGGCTGAGCCGAGCCCCTGCCGGCGGCTCACCCTGTGCATGGCGGGCTGGTCCGCTTGCGCCAGGCGCCGGAGGCTGCTCAGGTCTTGCTGGAAGCCGCGGAGCTCGAGGGCGGAGGCCTGGTAGGGGGCTCCGGGGGGCGGCGCCGCCTGCATCTGCTGCCGCCATAGCCGGGTGCGGGTGACGAGAAGCAGGTCACACAGGAGGAGCTGCAGGGCCTGGGCGGGAGGAGAGAGAGGGTGGCGGCGGGTGGGTGCAGGGGCCAGGCCTGAGGGGAGGGGCGGGGTGGGGCGGGGAGGCCCCCAGCCCCTGGCTGCCCCCAGAGCGGCGCTGAGAGGGGCCACCTCGAGGCTGCACTGGAGGGGCATTGCACAACTCAGGCACACGTGCAATGCAACTACAATGCACCCCCGCCGCCGCCATGCTCAGCCGGGGTGGCGGCAGCACGTCCGCCGGGGCAGCGAGGCCGGGAAGCGAGGCGCTGCTTGTCTTCCGGCGGCTCCAGGCCAGCCCGCCCCCCCGGACCCCGCCCCGTTCCGCGCAGAGCCAGCCCCCGCACCCATCCCACGCGAGGAGATGCGCCAGCAGGCCCTCCCCAGCCCGGCCCTTCGCAGAGCGGCTCCCACGCCCGAGACGTGGCCCCTGGCGTGGCGGCACTGGCCCCCCCGGCGAGGTGCTTGGCAAGGGCTCTCAAGCGCTCCGGGACGGCTGCCTGGCTGCCACTCGGGGCCGCCGGCCGCCTGGGAAGGCCGTTTTTCGAGGGGACGCACTAAAGCAGGCAAGGAGCTTCCGCAGCACCTGCTCAGCACGGCTCCAGAAGGGAGGGGGAAGGGGATGGAAGCCAGGCAGCCGGGGGGGGGGGGGACCCAGCCCAGAGCCCCACCGCTTTTCTGCAAAGGTGCCCAGGGACAGGGGGAAAGGAAGTACAGGTGAGACGTGGCACTTTGCACAGGCAGCCTCGGGAGCAGGGGGGTTCCAGCTTAACTTCGGCCCTTCCCAGTAACTCCTGGGCCCACCTGGGCCCCTGGCAGCTGCACCCCCCACCTCGTCCAGAATTCACTTCCCCCTCGCACCACAAGGGGCGCCACACGTCAGCTGCACCCACGCGCCAAAGCACCTCCCAGAGCGCCTGCCGGGCTCCCCCGCGACCCCCGTGGAGACTCACTCTGTCGATGGTGCTCGGGGGGGCGCTCCCCCCCAGGCTGTCACGCAAATACTCGCTGGCTTTGTCGCACTGGCCCAGGCTGCAGTCCAGCTTGCCCAGCAGCATCCGTGCAGCCCTGAAGGTGTGCAGCGCCGCCCGGGGGAGAGGGCTCCTGCGGCAGGGAGAAGGGCGGCTTGAGCTGGCGCTCCGGCCCGTCCGTCATTTCGGGAAAACCCGCCTCCCTTTCCCACTGACGGCATCGCTTCAGCAGCTGGGCAGCCAAAGCGCTTTGTGAAGTTTTCCGAGATTAACATCTTACGAGTACAGTATTAACACAATACGCACACATGATGCAGAGAAAGAAACGCACGCATCCCAAAGCAATTTTAAACAAGAAGAAAACTTGGGAGTTCATTGCTTTACTGCGGGGAAGTGGATGGGCTCCACCAGAGAACGGCGAGGAAATTATCAAGGTTCAACGAGCCGTACCGTGAACTTTCCAGCGTGCCAGACTTGGGATAATTTTTTAGAACGATGCCAAGGCCTTACAGCTTTCCACTTCTTAGAAAGAGCACCAGAGAACTCTCTTGAAGCTACTTCCCTTAAGTATATTTCCTAGACAAGAGCTGCTTTTGCAGGGAGAACCAAAACTGTTTGCTTTACCAGCTCATTCGTTTGTTCGTTCTTGCATTCATTCAATTTGTTTGAAAGCTGCTTGCTAGCATCACACTCTCTGGGAGTGCCAAAGCTACAATTAAGGCTTGGGAAGTACGTTATGTCCACAAGTCTGCGTCAGTGCACTGTGAGCCGGAGAGCGGCAGCATGTGGCTCGGTTTCCTAAAGAAATCCCTGCTTTTGTTTGCATTTGTTTTCAAACCGGGTTTCTAAGCCTTAACGTTGTGAAGGAATACTTGAAGACACGCACGCCTGCAAAAGCCCACTGGATTAAGCGCCGGTGCAGAGCTTCCAGCCCGGCCTGGCCCCTTGCCTTTTCCCGGCAGACTGGAGTGTGCAAAATAAGAAATACGAAAAGAAACGTACAGGAGTTGCAGCACGCGGCTTCATGCACGCTAGAAGAGGATTCAGATCCTCCCCATTCCCCCCTGGCAGCAGGGAGCGCCCCGCTCTGCTTACGCCGCCGATCTGCACCTAAAACGGCCTCGTGGGAGGTGCTGCGTCTTTCCGCTCCCCCGTGGTGCACTTACTCAGAGGCCTGGAGGGCCTTCGGCATGGACTCCACCAGCGGGTGCAAGCGCTCCATCGCCTCGGCGTCCCCCTGCAGCCCGTGGATCACCATGGCCACCACGGACGCCCACCAGTGCGCCACCGGGTCGGTGCCTGGGGGGGGAAAGAGGGGCGGTGTCAGGCAGCTCGGCGCACGTCCAGGTGGCCGGCCGGCCCTGCCCACTTGCCCCTGGGGGGGGGGCCCTGCCATTCCGGGGGGGGGGGGCACTTTTCTGTCCAGGACCGCGTCCCCTCAAGGGGAATCTCCTGGCCGCTGTAGATTGAGGAAAAGCGTGTCAAAAGCCTGCGACGGGAGGGCCAAACCAAAAGCGGGCCACCCCGTCTTCCTTCCTTCCTTCCTTCCTTCCTTCCTTCCTTCCTTCCTTCCTTCCTTCCGGCCACGGAAGGAACAGGTCACCCTTGCCAATCGCGTGCAGAGGGCTCTTGCAACGGGGCCATGGGCTGCGGGTTCCTCACCCCTCCCTGGACCCCTGGACGCGGGCGCCCTCTGCACCAGCCAGCCCATGCACCCGCTCCAATTAAGCGGGCAAGAGGACCCCTGCTAGACGGGGCCAGCGCTCCCGCCGTGGCGGGCCAGCAGCCCCGAGACTCCCAGGCCCGCTGCCCTTCCCCAGCACACTGCCCCTGAAGGAGGGGATCCCCTTCGTCGCCCCGGCCACCAGCCATGGCCAAGCCCCCTGAAGTCACAACATTCTCCGGGAACAGAGTCTTTCTGTGGCCCATGCAGAGTCTTTGCCCCTTTTCCTGAGTCCTGGAATTAAGGGGAAGGGAGAAAGAACCTTCCGGGCTGCCATGACTCTCCTGCACCCTTCCTGCTCCCGTGCTCGCTCCCGCCCTGAGCCCTTCGGACTCGCTCTCGGCTCAGCAAGGCCCACCTGTGGCCGCTTCCATGTTGGGGCTGACGGCAGGTGCTGGGCTGGGGACCGCGTCTGCGCAGCTGTTGAGGAAGTGCAGGTACTCGAGTGCGTCTGAAAACTCCCTGCAGCACAAGCGGGAAAAACAGAGGCGTGCTCAGGATGCCGGTTCCAGCTCAGACTTTCAGGCCGGTGTGGGAGGAAGGCTCCCCAAACCCTTTGGTGCGCAGGCTGAATTCGGCTTCAGCGGAACTCTCTCCATTTTCTGACTTATGCCAGGGCTGCAGGTAACCAAGCCCAGAGCTGGCTAAATCCGCTTCATCTGTTCAAGCACCTTTCATTTTGCCATCTGACGGGGTGAGATTCTGTTTCCCAGAAGGCCCCGGAGAGCAAAGCTTAACTGAGGCACGGGTTCCATGGGAGGTGGGGTGGGGGAAGCTTCCGGCACGCTGCCACCAGGTGGAGCTGCCAAGCTCGGCCTGACCGTTTGAAACGGGGGTGCCACCCCTGCGTCTCACTCCACAGTCACAGATCTGGGGGAGACCCTGCAGAGAGGAGACGCGGCACACCGGGTCTGTGGGGCAGCAACGCTCAGACGGGGGCCTGCAGAGCCGGGGGGGAGTGTGGCCGGGTCCCCGCCCCCCGTACCCCTCACTGCGGCTGCCAGATGTTGGGCTCTCCAGCCTGGACACGCAGGACAGGGCTTTCTCCAGCAGATGTTCCCGGAAGAGCTGCGTCACCTGAGCCAGGGGGTCGGCTGAGAACAGAAAGGGGGCCTTGTTAGGGGGCTTGGCCTGCGTGGCCTCGATGGGTCGCAACGGAGCTGTGCCAAATCCATCCCTCCTGGGCTCGAGGGCGTCCTCTTGCGCTGGGCCGGCTCTGGGAGAGCGCCAAGTCGGGAGGAAGTCTGTGCATGCTCAGAGAGCAACGAGCAACCTTCCTACACATTGCAGGATGGCTTCCCCACAGATCTCTAAGCTCGAAGGCCCTCCCAGGCTGCCGAGGAGCCCAGCGGAGAGGTGTCGGAGGGCCAGGAAGCAGAGCGAGTCCATTGCCCTCTGCCGCATGCACTTCCTCGCCCTCTCACCCTCACAGCAACCCCAGGAGGTGGACTCAGCAGCCAGCAAGCCCGCCATGGGTGCTGCGGACGGTCCCCGGCCCCGCCCCCCACGTCTGGCCCCGCCAGGCTCGCCCGCGGCCCCCACCTGGATTGCTGGCGGCGCTGTAGAGGGTCTCCCGGGGGCAGCTCTTCACGGCCCAGTCGCCGTCCACGAAGAACCGGTGGCCCACCGGGTGGCACAGCCACTGCAGCGCGGGCGGAACAGTCCCGCTGTGGGACAGCAGCACCTGCCGGGCGCTGCTCAGGAAGAAGCGCTGTGCCGCGGGAGGGGAGGGGAGGGAGAGGGGGTCAGTCGGGGACGCGGGGGGCCCTGCCCCCTTGCCCCAGCCCCAGCCCCAGCCCCAGCCCCCTTCCGCCAGAGCCGTGCCTGGCTCGCCTGGGTTTCCTCCTGCGCTGGAAGACCCACAGCTTCCCCACTGAGTGTGGGGGCCTGAAGATGAGACGCAAGGGCTGCTCCGGCCCCGCCCTCTCCCCCTGGCCCCGCCCCCTTTGCATTAGCTCCGCCCACAACCACTTGGCTCCACCCGCCACCAGAAAGTGGTCCCCGGGAGCTGCTTCTACATGTAACTCAGCCCAGGGGCTTCAGGAGGCGCAAGCCGGGCCTCGCCACCGGCAGCCCCCCCCCGGGGCGGCCCCCCCACCCGGGGCAGTGGGCTGGAGGCCGTGGAGGGGCACACGGAGAAACCCACCGCCAGGAAGTGGCAGCAGCTGTGCAGGCTGGTCTTGACCCGCAGCGCGGCGGCCACGTAGACCTCGGCCAGCGCTGCCACCGAGATGGCGCTGCCGGCGCACTCGGCCAGGTTCACCGCGCTCAGCGCCATGTTGATGGCCGACAGGCGTCCTGCTCCGTGCTTCCCTGCAGGGGTGGCGGCAGAGGCACCGTGAGTCCAGCCTCAGCCCCAGAATTCGGGGGGGGGGGTGCAGTTCCCAGCCAACATGGCCAGCGGCTGTGCTGGCTGGGGCAGATGGGGGGGGATGCAGCCCAACGCATCTGGGCAGCAGCTGGTGGCCAAGGCCACACTGGGAAACAGACAGAGCCACTCGTCTGCGTTTTTAAAGAGAAGCACGGGCCCAAGTGGGAGACACTGGTGTAAGCTGGGAAAGGCTTCGGGCTCTGGCACAGCCCAGCTGCCCGCCAGATGCTGGGAACTGCAGTCCAGGCCCACTGCACCCTCTTCTTTGGGCTTCTTCAGGTTTTCTGCCCACCGTCCCCTCTCCCCGCAGGCCCCCGCGGACCTACCCGTCATGTGCAGCTGGTGCAGCTGGTGGTACACGAGAGCCGCGTCGCAGGCGCTCTTGCGCACGTCGGCCTTCAGCTCCCGGTCGCGGAAGAAGCCGCCCGCCCGGCCCGCCAGCCAGCGGCCCACCCAGAGCCGCTGCAGCAGGTGCCGGAAGAGGTTCCAGAGGAGGCTGCAGGTCAGGTCCAGGTGGGAGGTGGGCAGCGGGCGGCCCAGCGCTTGGAGCGCCGTCCACAGGTTCTGGGAGGCCTGCGCAAACTCCCCCTGGGGAGGGACAGGGGAGGAAACGCCTGAAGGAGCCAGGACGGAGCGAGGCCAGCCGCGGCTTTATTTTTATTGATACCTATCCTTTAAAAGCTTTGCTAGGCCACCCACGACAAGGCTTGCAAGAAAAAGAAAGGAGAAAACATAAAGCCCCCAAGACAAGGCACTGCATCCAACCTCAATCAGAATAAAACCAATCAAACGTTAAAATCCTGGGAAAATAAAAAGGTTTCACCTGACGCTGAAAAGAACGAAGCGACGGTGCCAGGCGAACCTCCCCGGGGAGCTAATTCCAGAGTCGGGGCGCCACCACCGGAAAGGCCCTGCTCCAGGTAGCCACCCTCCCAGTCTCCTTCACGGAGGCTCCCGGAGAAGGACCTCCGCCTCCGACCTCAAGGGGTGGGAGGGCACCCAGGGAAGGAGGCGCTCCTTCAGAGCTTTCTCTTAGAGCAAACCTCACCAGACACAGAATGCAAAATGTGCTTTGATCAATCCAGGCCACTTTTTATAGCAGAGAAACAGAGCGCATCAGAAGGGGCCTCCCGGGCCATCTAGTCTGACCCCCGGCTCCCGCCGGCTCCGCTCACGACATGCAAAACAAAAGACGCATCTTGCCTGAGAGCAGGATTTCGGGACACAGAAAACTCTGCATGTCCTGGATCTCCAGGGGGGCCCCTGGACAAGCGGGGGACCTAAATCTGCTGAGCCGAGCGGCTGGTGCCAGGGACCCCCCCCGGAGAGGCCCTCTGCGAAAGGCAACCGCCCCCCGCCGGCTTACCCGGGCCAGGTCCAAGTCCGCCTGCTTGCGGTGCCTCCAGAACAGGACGGACGACTGCGAATGGGGCCGTGTCACGGGCTCGCCGTAGATGAAGAGCCGGACGAAGGCCCCCAGCACCACCAGGGCGTTGATCAGCCAGAAGATCGCGGTGGGGAGCAGCCACTGGGACCACGTGGCGGGAGCGTCTGCGGGGAGGGCGCCGGGCGTGAGCTGCCGGGGCCGTGCCGGGCGCGCTTCCCGAGCCCCCACGCCGGGCGCGCGCGGCCTCGCAGGCCCCTCGCACTCACCTCTCGCCTCGCTCTGGGCCATGATGCTGCGCCCGAAGCCGCCGGGGCTGGCCGGGTCGGGGGCGCCGGAGGAGCCGAGCCCCCGCAGCAGGGCGGAGAGCGGGTTGAAGGAGAGGCAGAGGAAGACAAAGGCACACAGCGCCATGCGGGACCGGTCCAGCATCCCCAGGCTGCCCGGGGGCAGCGCCTGGCACGCCTGCTTCCCCTGGAGGAGACCATATATATTAAAACATTTCTATGCCGCCCCATTCACCGAAACCTCGGGGTGGCTCAAGAGACCATATATATATATATATATATATTAAAATATTTCTATGCTGCCCCATTCACCGAAGCCTCGGGGTGGCTCACAACATAAAGTTAAAATACAAAAAATAACAATATAAAATAAGTCGCCCTGGCCAGATAAAATAAGCAAATAATATTAACAATTAAAATGACGCTTAAATAAAAAGGTCTTCGCCTGGCGCCGAAAAACAAATAACGACGGCGCCAGGCGGACCTCTCTGGGGGCCAGGTGGACCTCTCTGGGGAGATCTCAAACTGCAAAGCCGGGGAAGTCCAGGTTCCCACGGGACACCCTGTCATGCTGCAAAGAAACTAACTGCTGGTCCTCGTTGGGAAGGAAACAGGGTGACTGAGAGATCCCGCCCTCACCCCCCCAAAGCCGCACCTTGGCCTCCTCACAGAGGGGGCTGTCGGGCTCCGAGTCGCTTCCGCTGGCCCCGCTGACGGAGAGGGGGCTGCTGAACGAAGGGGAGCCCGCGTCGGATGGGGGCGGTGTCAGGGCCGCCATCAGCTTGATCCCGTCCGCCGGCTCCTCGGCGTTCCCACCGGAGGGGGCTACCAGGTCCTTCAGGGTCTCTGCAAAACACAGGAAAGTTGCAAGGTGGACCGCGGGGGAGGCACCCGGCGCACTCTCCAAACAGCTTCGGGTTGCCCCGATTTGCGTTCCCACTCTTGATGTTCATTTTCCATGAAATGGAAAAATGCAGAAAAGCGTCAGCCAGCCAACGAGAGCTGAGCAAAGCCACGAGTCCTCACGCGTGCACGAACAGCGCTGGAAAAATGGGACGAGCCATTTTTAAAATGTGCCCTCGTTTTCGGTTTGCACAAAACCAGAGAGGGACATCTGGCCCACCTAAAGCAAGCGCACAGGTGAGGTTTTGCCAGCCTTTTCGGCAAAGCAGCTGTCCTCGCCCCCGGGATCGTGCCTGCACCTGCGTGCACGTTTAGTGAGCCGAAGCGACCACGCATCCCTTCCCCGCACGAGTCGGGAGCCGGCTGGCATGAAGAGCAGGACGAAGGCAAGAGCCGGGCTCCTTTCAAGCAAGTGTCTCTGCCCACGTCCACCGATCGCTGGGCAGCAGCGCAAACGGCCAATCCAGGAAGATCCGGCGCTCGCGCACACCATTTGCCGGGGCCGCGGGCGGAAAGGCTGCGGCCAGGCCCCGCAGCCTCCGAGATCTTCCCTCCCGGCTGGCCCAGCCGCGGGTTCCGGAGCTGAGGGGAGCCAAGGGGCGAGACTCACTGTCCTTCTGGGAAGCCATCTTGAGCGCCAGGTTCTCGGCCTTCAGCTTCTGGTTGGCCTGCTTCAGGAAGCGGATGTGGTCGATGGCCTTCCGCAAGATGGCCGACTTGTTCAGCTGCCAAGAGAGGAGAGCCCACGTTTTGGTTTCGGGGTGCAGAGTGGCGTGCCGGTCCCCACAGCGCCGCTTCCACCCATCCTCACCCACGACAGTCCCGATCCGGGGAAGGTTCTTCCGTGCGAGGCCCCTGGCAAGGAGCAGGGAGGTCTACCCCCTCCGAGCCACCCCGAAAGCGCAGTCCCAGGGGGCGCCAAAATCCGTAGCCTGCAGAGCTTCTCCCCCACACAGAAAATGGGGCAGGCTCCCCATGCAGGCAGGAGGTGGCGGCACAAGCCCCTCCCCTCCAGGACTGAGCCCGGGGCCTCGAGGGCCACGCGCACCTTGGCTTCCGTGCCCACCACCAGGACCTTGAGCTCGGAGATCTTGTCGTTGATGGAGGAGCGGTACCGCTTCTCGATGGCGTTGTGCGCCGTGCGCTTCTCGCCCTTGCTCTGGCTGGCCGGCTGCTTGCTGGCGGCCAGGCGGTTGATGGGCAGTTTGTCGGTGTCCACCATCACCGGCACGGTGGCCAGGAACGTCCCGCTGCTCACCAGTGCCTGCGGGGAGGAGAAGGGAGCGCGCTCGCCGCCACATGCAAAGGGGAAGACAAGCCTGGCCTCGTCCGGGCGCAGGGAGGCATGCGGGTGCCTGCACTCTGGGCGCACATCTGTCTCTGCACGCATAGGGACTAGAAACACGCCTCACCACTCTCCTGAAAGCGTGTCTAGGGAAGAGCAGGGCTTTCAAGTTCACAGTGGAAAAGTGTGCCTGAACATGTGAAACTGGGGCTCAGGGATGAAATTGTGCGCGGAGCAAGAGGCCCGTCCTGGAAGGGGCCAGGCTGGCTGGCTTGGCTGCATCGGGGGCTTTGGCGAGCCCCCACCAGGCACAGGAGCTCAGCAGGAACACAGGCGCTCGCCTCGGGGCACGTCCGGCCGAGCGCCCACTAGCCCAGAGCTGCCTCGCCCAACCGGCAGCGCTCCAGGTCTCCGGCAGAGTCCTTCCCATCGCCGGCCACCGGCTCCCTCCCTGCAGAGCTCAGCCCGGGGCTTTCCAAAGCCAAGCGGCTCCCCGGCAAAGCACCGTCCCCCTTGCATGTCAAGCCATGCAGAAGAAGGCAACAACCCAGTGCAGAGACGGACGATGTTGCCCTGCAGCCCCCCAGCCAGACCGGCCCCCTATCCATGCCCCCAGGCAAAGCCCCAAAGCATAGGCAGCAATGTGGAGCCCTATCATCCAGCCAGTTCTGGCAGTTTTCATCTCCATCAAGAGCCGGTTTTCCATAAAGCTTGTGACTCTCCATCAGAGATGTCAGAGAAACCACAAGAAAACCAGACGGCTTTGAATTTCCAAGACTCTGACCCATGGATCCTGACACTGAACAGCTTTTTCCAACTCGCAGGTCCTTTCTGACATTTTCCATCAGTTTCTGCAAATGCAGTGGCAGAAAACAATGAAAAATAACAGCACGCCGACCAAAAACGTCGATTTCCCCCACAGGGCAAGGCATGACAAGACATGCTTGTGGGGGCTTGTGCATCCGGGGGAATTTGCTCACAAACAGGGTTGCGCAAACTTCGATTTTGATTTGCACAAAATCCGTTGCCCGCTCGAGACTGAGCGAAAGCAGGGGGAGCCAGGCACTGTTGCTCAGAGGAGTCCGTTCACCCGCGGCTGCTGTGGGGATGGCTGCCGAACCAGAACCAGACCCAGACCAGAAGGGCGGGCTGAGGACACGCCTGCTAATGCACTGCGCCAGCGCGGCGTCCCTGCGAGCATCAGTTCCACCTCCACACCACATCCAAGCCGGGGGAGCCCCGGGATGCGCGTCTCCTTCCAGAGAGCTGCTTCCTCGAACGGGGAGAACGAAGCCTTACCGGCACCTGCAGGGGCGCGGACTGGATGGCGGCCGTGGTGGCCAGAGAGGTCTTGGCCCTGGAGACGGTCGTCAGCAGCAGGGAGTCAGCCTTGATGAAGTGAGGCTGGAGCAGCACCTGCGCGGCAGGGACGGGGTGAGCCGAAAGGCCGGCCGGAGACCGGCTCGCCAACCGGCAGGCGCCCACCCGCTGCCCCACTCACCGGCACTTGCTGGATCTGCGGCGGGACGACCTGGGGGGCGCCGGGGGCCAGGAGCTGCGGGGGGGCCAGGTCCCGGACAGGGGCCTGCATCGCCACGGGCTGGGGCACGGCGGCGGGGAGGGCTGGCAGTGGCGGCGGCTGCGCCGCTGGCAGGGGTGCTGAGGGAAAACGGAACACGGAAAGGGCAGCGGCGCTGCATTAGGGCTCTTCGAAGGCCGGGGGCGAGACGGCTCCGGGCCCCTCCCTCAGGGGGGCGGCTGTCTCCCCACCACTGCCACCGGCTCCTCTCATTCCCATCTCTGCTTCCCCGGCAAGCAGACAGCCTGGAGGCCACGGCGTCTCCGGCTCCCCCCTCATCTGCGGGACTGGGGCTGGAGGCATGGAACAAGCAGGTGGATCCCAAAGGCTTCCCGTTCCTGCACCTTTCCCTATTCTACAAAATCCCCTTTTCGGTGCCGTGCCGGGAACTGCACCCAGCCAGGTTCCGTGTGCCACAACCTCCAAAGAAACCAAGCCGACAGGTGCGAAAGCTGGAAACGAACGGGAAGGCACCCAGCGGATGCTCATGGCTCCCCGTCCCTTTTGGGAGCACCTCTTCACTTCACGACACCCGAATAGGTTGCCAATTCCGGGATGGCGGGAGAAGCGAGGCGTTTGAAACCCTCAACAGCCATGCGTGTTGAGGCAGGAAAGAACAGCTTCCCATTCCCAGCATGACCACGTCAACCCAGTCTGAACATCTGTGCCCTCGGCGGGCCGTCCCTGCCACAGAGCCCCGGGCACACCTGTGCTCCCACATGCGCTAACTCTGGCCCCTTCCAGGACCCTGCAGGGCCATTTAAAGGAATCGGCCTTTTCCATTCTCCCAGCAGAGGGAGGCCTGAGAGGGGAGGGACTCTGGGTGCCCCCCAACACCCTCAAAGTGACCCACCCCGGGCGAAATACTTCGCTGCCCTTTGCTATGGATGCGGCTGTCTTCAAAGGAGGACTGCCTTTCCCGGTCACACGCCAAGCCCAATCCATCGCAGTGCCTCACCGGAAATCCCATTCTGACTCGGGAAGCCCACCAACGGCTGTGCTGGGAACGGGCTCTGGGGTGTGGGGACAAAGCTCGGCGTGGTCACTCTGCCCGCGAGGAGCTGGCCTTGAGGCTGGGCGACAGTGCTGGCCGCAGACTCTTCTTCCTTGATGTCCATCGGAGTCGGATTGCTGCTCTGGCTGGCCACCGGCAGGGACTGGAAACTGGGTGCGGGTGGCGCCGGCAGCTGGAACACGCCAGAGGGAGGCGGATTGTTTGCCCCCGGGTAGCCACTGAACAAGCTGGGCCCATGCGGGTTGGGATCCGGGGTGAGGCTGGGGCCAAACGGCGCATCCAGCAGGCTGGGGAAGTCCTGCTCCTCATTGGTGATGAACTGGAGCATATCTGCGGAGACACAACGGAGCGGCGGTGAGCGCCACACGGAGCCCCCGACCCCGTGCACAGGGTGCCGCACCTCGCGCTTCCATCTGGGAGCAGGGAATCCAGATCTGGATCCAGGTCCGGTCCTCCAAGTCTGGAGGGCTCAGAGACCTTCCTGGAAGCGCAGTCAGTCCCGGGGAGGGACAGCTGGCACCTCTTCCCGGGGCCTTGTTGTCGGGACACCTTGTTCCCATCGGCCGATCGATTTCCACACGTGGTCCCCAGAGACCACGTGGCAAGCAGACATTCCGCCGGGCTCAGCCACGCTCACGCCAGCTTCTGCGGGCAGCCTCACTTCCACGGGGCGAGCCAGGCCAGCGATGTGACCCGACATGAGCGGCTTCCTGTGCTCTATGAAACGCTGGCATCAAGCGACGGACAGCAACACGCAGCTTTCGGCATGCTTTGCCCATATCCACTCACCTTCCACTTATTTTATTCATTCATGACATTTCTGTACTACTCAATTTTTTAAAGAAACACAGACAGGAGAAAAGCCAGCCGGGCTCCAAAGCGCGAAAAGCAGAAAACATTTAAAAATTAGACGGATTACAAAAACCAGGAAAATAAAGGTTTCCCACTGGCAGCAAAAGACCACAGAGTAGGCACCTGGCAAGCTTCCTCAACCAGGTGTCCCAACTGGGAAGACCTGTGGTCTGTGGCGGCCCCCAGCTTGGTGGAGCACTCCGAGGAAGAGGTCTGAGGATGTTTCATGGGTGAGCCCGTTATACAGACAAGAAACTTGGTTCCAGAAATGTTGGTGATTCTCAATCTGCGATCTCCACCAGGGTGGCTAGAAATTTCTCCAGAAGAACCCACAAACATCGGTGTGACTCCACAAGGATTTGTGAAGGAGCAAGACTGGAACCCCACACACCATGGATTTGGGCATCTCTCCCAAGGCTGAAAAATATGCATTTTGCAAGGCTCCGTTGTCCAATCTACCCAGGAAATTAATCTAATGTGCCTTCTCTGATTCTCTGGGTATGTCCACGCTGCCCAGATAGAGGTGGTCCTCTGTCATACTGATAAACCAACTGATCTCATCCCTTCTGCACATTCAATTTAGGTTCATGAAGTTTGTGAACTCTGCCAAAAGCCGAATCTTGTTTCACTGCAAACGTGCGAACTTTCAAAACCTGCTGCATTTTGCTCCGACGGAAAGCATTCCCCAGATATTCAAAAACGGAATGCCAGCACAACCCACTGCATTTTCCTTCTCTTCAAAGGTTCCCCAGATCGCTGCCAGCCGCCAACTGAGACAGCATTATTTGGAAAACTCAAACCCCTCTTGCAGAGAGAACGTTAGCCAACCTTGAATTCCAACTGACCCATTCGGATCAAGGCCTTAGCCAGGCCTGGCTGCTTACACCCCTTAAAAATCAAAGGGAGTTCGCAATCGGCACCCTCGGGAGCCGGGGCGGAGGCATTCCCAGGAGGGGCACAGAAAGCAGCCAGGTGGGCTGGGAACTGCCTGTCCGGAAATGAAATTGTGCCCTAATGGGGGGAACCCTCAAGGGTGCGGTCCAAGCCAGGGGCCCAAAGGCGCTGCACCACCAGGGGAACCAGCGCTGGCCCTGGAGGGAGGAGGGCTGGCTGGGGATGGGCGGGCGGCTGGCTGACACTCCTGATGCGGGGAAGGCGCAACTCCAGGCGGGAGGGTGTGTTTTGGCTTTGCTGTTGTTGGTTTTTGCTCCCTCCCGGGCACCCTCCCCACCCCCCTCCCAGCAGTCTGCGGGAAAGAGGGTGGAATTGTGAATCGGGATTTAGCATGAGGTGATCCCGCCCGGCCAATCAGGGCCGGCCCAGCTGCTGCAGCCTCCAAGGTGAATGGCGCCCAGGGTTACTGCCGGGCGTCCGAGTTAACCCCTTCCCCGCGGAGGCGCCGGCGGGGTTACTCTAGGTCAGCCGCGCCATTAACCCGCGCAAAGACGCGGCGCGGTTCCCTCCCTCTGCTCCCTGCTGGCTCGTGGCTCGTGGGTCCGCTTTCCCGATGGCTTCGACACGATGCGCAAGGAGCAGCATCCAGTGCTCCAGGTCATCATCTCATCCTTGGCGCAGAGACATTAGAAGCGCCCGTAAACGGTTCTAGCCCGATTACGAGACGAGAGTTCTCTTCTCGGTGGCAAACCTTCACTTTAGGCTTGCACAAGGGTGCCAAATGATCAGGAAAAAGCCACCCTCGTCTGCTCCTCTGCTTTTAATCTCATTGGCTGATACAATCCTGATGCGAAGTGGACTGGCCCCCACAGGGAGCCAAATAACCGGAAAGAAATTCACCTCTTTGGGGTGATCCCAGCTGAGACTTGGGTTCGGTATTATTTATTTATTAAAACATTTCTATGCCGCCCCATTCGCTGAAGCCTCGGGGCAGCTCACAACATAAAATTAAAATACAAGAAATAACAATATAAAAGGAGGCAGCGGTATTCCCGCTGCCTCCTTCCCAGAACTCTACAGGGGGGTCCAGAACGCGGCAACCTCCGCTGTAGCTCTTCTGTGCTTTCCTTCCCAGGAAAAGAAAAAACCTGGGAAGCTTTCGACGCAAGAGCTGCACCGCTCGCTTGGGTGCTCCAGCCGGACACATCCGGGCAGAAAGAACACCTGGGGCGCTGCAGCCCACCAGCAGCCCCTGCAAGTGAAGGCGCTCTTCAGGGCAGAGGTGCAGGGTGGGTTAAAAAGAGGTGGCAACTCCACCCAGGAACTGCAATCCGCTTGGGAAATCGACCAGCATCACAACATGCGGAGCGGGAAGAACAGACAGCAAACCAGACTTCTGTGTAACCAAAACAGGGCGTAAAAGCATTTGCAGCTTCCAGAAATAAATTGTACTGGTGTGGCACCCAAGACGTTGGATTCGGATGCATCTTGGATTTGGAACGGCGATGCTACACTGGTTCCAACACGCCGTCACAAAGGGCAAAGCAACGCAGCCTTCTCCTCCCATCCGGGGGCCTCCCGATGTGCCGGGCTCCAGCATCCATTGTCCTCCATCCAGCCTGGCTGGGATGATGGGAGGTGTAGTCTGGCCCCTCTGGAGGCTGCCAGGATGGGGGAACAAGGCTAGGCGAATGTGCCACAGTTCCTATGTCCGAGAAGAAACCAAACTGGGAACAAGTTAGACCTGTGGTCATGATTAAGAGTCCACTGTAGACGGGTAAACTGGGGTGGGAAATCTCACCCAGAGGCCGGGCCAGGAGGTGCCGCATTTTCCTGGAGAACTACCCAAAGCTGGGAGAAGGAACGCCTGACTCTCACCCAGCTGAATCATAGAATCGTAGCGTTGGAAGGGGCTTCGAAGGCCCTCTGGTCCAAGCCCTTGCGGTTGCAGGACCCCTGCAATGGTGCAACTTGCATCAGGAAAGAAACAAAACAGTCGGCGGTTTCTAAGGAAGGGAAGGCAAAGAAGACAGAAAACGGCCGCACTGCAAGAGGCAGGCGAACAGGCGACAGGAACACAGGCACAGAAAGGGGCGGGGGCACCCAAACAGCCCAGCCATGTGGCTCCAGGCGCTTCCCATCTTGAGACGCGCCCTCTGCCCATGCCAAAGTCCACGCCTGGGACACGAGCAGGTGACTCCCGGTTACCTTCTTGGGATGACAGTGGTGTGGTGTGCTTCCCCGACCGGCCGTTCGCAACATCCACATGCCAAACCCCAGCGGCCTGCACATGGCCCCCGGCAGCCCCCTCTGCGCCTCCCCAGAGGCACACACCCCCTCGGCGGGAGGCGTGGGTTCAGGCTAAACCCACACGCCGCTGAATGAGGGGAGAGAATCCAGGTGCAGCTTCCTCGGGTCACATGTAGGGTGTGAAAGGACCCCCCCCCAACCCGTGTTCTCCCGCAAGGGGAGGCAGCCATCGCTCAGCCTTCTCCTTCAGGGCCTCGTCCAGTCCCCTTGGTGGGCATCTCTCCTACTCGTGAAAGCGAATCCGCAGTTTCACTCTGCCCCGTGCGAAAGGAGGGGCTGTACGGAACACACACAGTGATTCAGCACCGGCCTTCCCCGCAGGACTGTTGTAAAAATGTCAGAGAGGACGCGTGTGACGCTTTGGCACACCCAACATGTATATAACCATTTTAAAAAAAAAAATTAACAGAGCAAAGCGATTGGTCCGAGGTTGGATGCTTGTATGAAGGTAGCCCACAGAGCTCCGGCACCCCAGCAGGGGCTGCTGGCCCCGATCCTCACACTCCACAGACACCACGCTGGGCGGTTGGGCCTGATTCGCAATGCCCTGAAGACACACCATGTGGGACTGCAGTGGGGAGGCGGAACTGGTGTTAAGAGTCGCCATCAGTGGCCAGGGCTCAGGCACGGAGCAGAGGCCCTCCGGGTGCCTGCGCGGAGCCCGGCAGAGGCTCCCGTCCCCCCAGGCGTCCGTCCCGGCAGCTCTCCAGCCTCATCGCCGAGAAGGGGAGCCCATGCCCCCCCCGGCTGCACGCAGCCTGCCCGCAGCAAGAACTGCAGCAAGGCGGGCAGCTCCTCCACTGGCACCCACAAAAAGCCACTGGTTATTTGGGGCCACTGAATATTTGGGAGAGGTGGGAAGACCCCGGTTGGTTCTCTTGAGGTTTTGTCGACGGGGTTGTTCTCCATTATGTCCGGAAGGCCCCAGGGTGGGGGATCATTCCATCACCACCAGGTCTCCTCCCCCAGATCCTGTCCCTGGGAACTGCTTTCCTGCAGGCTATCTTGCGCTACATGATGAAGCAGAAAACAGCACTCTTTTGGGATGCTGCGCGCCCTAAGACTCCGCGAGCACACTATGAAACCTAACATCGACAGGAAACATGGTGGCACTCGATATCACGAGGCACCAAGGGTCTGGGAGCAGACATGGGTCCTGAAGCGGGGTGGGGGGGTGGGTGAGGCCGAGCCCAGCTCCAGGTCAGGATGCATGTGGGAACAAGCCCTCTAACCCCAGCGGGGGCGGGGGGAGGCTGACCTCCCACGCTGCCAGGCATAAACCTACAGCCCTGGGGACATCGCAACAAGACGCACTCCACCTTCTCCGGCTTTACCAGCTTTGTGGTGCCGGGAAGGACCAGTTTATTCTCACGGTAGCGCCATGGATGAGGCGTCCTCTCCTGCCCCGGTCACCTTGCAGCCCTGACGGCCACTTTGATGGAAGGCAGCACCCTGGGTCTGTGGCCCTTTTCACACTGATGTCATTCGGCTCCCAATATGTCGAGCACTTTCATGGCTTCTGCTGCGTGTTGACGCACACCGCTAGCCAACTGGGAAACCCAAGTTGTAAAGCGGGGTACAAGTCTTGCGCCTCAAAATAAAAGGGTGCACAGGATAAAAAGACATTGGCAGATCTCCTCTGCCTTTTCGACCAGCGGAGAAAGCAGAGCTTGAGACTCGGCCCCTCCAAAAAACAGGTATATTTACCTGAGAGCCAGTGTGGCGTAGTGGTTACGAGCATGGGCCTGGGACTCAGGTGGTCCGGGTTCGAGCCCCCGCTCGGCCATGGGGCCCACTGGGTGACTTTGGGCCAGTCACAGACTCTCAGCCCAACCTACCTCACAGGGTTGTTGTTGTGGGGATAAGATGGAGGAGATGTAAGCTCCGTTGAGCCCTTTGTAGGAGAAAGGCAGGATGTAAATTGGAAATTAACTAAATAAATAAAATTTAAAAGGTGCCAGAGTCCGCCCCGCATGTTCTCCTGAGCATCCTAATAGAAGGAAGATGGAGCGATTCTTTTCTCTAAAGGTGTGTGTGTGTGTGCAGCATTGCCAAACCTGGCTCAAGGGCTGGCAGACGAGGTGCTCCTGAAAGGTTTCGGGCTGCAATTCCACCCAGACAAAGAGATCGGAGTGCTGGCCCAAAATATCTGGAAGCAGCCCGAGTGACATTACAGTCACCAAATTTAGGTGTGCGCAGCTGAAACAAGCCTATTCCCATATCCCCCCCGCCCTCCCTCTGCCATTCCCCACTCCCCCATGTCAAATTTTAGGCTGCCCACCGCTTGGGGAGGGGCTTGCTTTGCACACAGTGGGGGCACTTGGGGCCAAACCCAGCCACTGGCGCTGCCACGGCTGCCTCCTGCACGGGCGGGGCACTGCTGGGGGCCGGACGGCGGCAGGAGGCGAGCAGCACCCCCGCCGGGCGCCGGCGGCACCCCGGGCAGGCCTCCGCGGCTCTGCGTAAGGCAGGCGCTGAACTCCTTTCCGCCGGAGCGAATGACCGACAGTAACCCGACCTGTGACGTCAGCCCCTCTCCCCACATGCACACGCGCATACACACACGCGCACGAAGACCCAGGGAAGGGGTGGGCGGGGCCGGAGCACAGAAGTGGTCCCCGGCCGCTTGCCAGGGCTTCGGGAACACGCCAGATTGTCCTCACAACAACAGCCTCGCTCCAGAACTCGCGCTTCTCCGCCGCCTGCCCCCGAATCACCGCGCGCGCATCCCAAAGTTTTGCGCACTGGCAGCAGGGAAGCACATGGCGGGAGGGGAGGGCGGGAGAAGCCCCCACGGCCCCCTCCGGCGACCCGCAAGCCCCTCGCCTTTGGAGAGAGGGCGCCGCCAGCAGCAGGGCGCCCCGAGACGCGCGGAGAGAGTCGCCACAACTTCCACCTCTCCCGCGAAGCGCGTCCTGCCGCCCGACCCGGTGCTTCCAAAACCTGACCCCGCACCCGTTGCCCGCAGCCCGGGCACGGATATTTCCGCCGCCCCTCCCCGGGCCCAGCCAGGCCCCCGTCCCCAGCGTCTCGGGCCAGTTGCTCCGAGATGACCCCGCTCGCGCGTGGGAAGGAGGCGACTGCCCGTGCTTGGCTGCGCGCACGGACCCCGGCAGCGCGAGAGCCAAGGTGCGTGTGGAAATTAAACGCACACGTGTATGTACACACACACACGTGCACACACGCGCGCGCGGTCTTTATGCGTTGCATCGAGAGTGGCCTCCCGCCCCCCCCCTCGCCCCTGTGACAGCCCACGGCAACTCTCTAAGCCACCCGTTCCCTTCGGCGCAAGGAAGCGCCTTCTTTCCCCCGGGCTCCCTCCCCTGCACCCGCGCCGGGGGAAGCGCCGCGCCGCGCCCCCCCCCCCCCGGCCCCCGGGCACCCACCGTCGATGTCGCTCAGGAGCGCCGAGTCGATTTCGCTGGACTCGTGGAGGCTCAGCGAGAGATCCAGGCTGTCAAGGGACGCCTCTTCGAAGGGCCGGCTGCTCATCGCGCCGGTCCCGCCCGGCCGCCTCGGCGGCGGCGCAGCCCCTCTGGAGACCCCCGACCTGTCGGGCAGGTAACGGCCTGGGGCGGCCGGAGGAAGCGGGCTGCGGGGCGCCCTGTGCGCCGCTGGGCGGGGGCCTTGCAGGCGGCGGCGAGCCGCGGACTCTCGCGGCGAGACTCACGGGCTGGAGGCGCCCCTCCGCGCCCCGGCGCCGGCGCCCATGGCTGGACCAGCGGGGAAAGAGCGGGGCGGCGGGAGCGGCGGCTCAGACCCGCGGCGGAGGATGTGGGAGGGGCGCCGCCCGGCCCTCCCCGGCCGCCTGGATTGGCGGCTCCGCGCCCTCCCGGGGAGGCGAGCCGGATGACAGCCTGGCTGCGTCTCGGCGCAATTGCGCGGCGCGATTGCGGGGCGCGGGGCGCGCCAGGGCCTCCCCTCCGGGGAAGGGGCTCCGCGCGAAGGGCTTGCGGGCCGGCGCTCGAAGCAGGGCAGGCGCTTCCAGGCTGCGGGCGGAAAAGGCAGTCCAACAGGTGAAGCCGGACCCCGGCCGATCGCTGCCTGCCGTGCAAGTCCCGGGCACCGAGCGGCAGAGAAGGCCGGGCAGCCAGGGGTTTCGAGCTGTCCCTGCAGCCTTGGAAGCCTCCAGATTTGCAGCCAAAAGGGGGAATACGCACGGCCTGCCTGTTTTTCCAGGGGCCTTTGGTCTCACCAAAGTCACTGCAGTTACTTTATTTATTTATTAAAACATTTCTGTGCCGCCCCTTGCCAAAGCCTTGGGGCGGCTCACAACACAAAATAAAATACAATAAAATGCAAAAATAACAAGATAAAATTAGCAATATAAAATAAATAACAATATAAAAGAAGTCACCCTGGCCAGATAAATAAGCAAATATCGTTAACAATTAAAATGACGCTTAAATAAAAAGGTCTTCGCCTGGCGCCGAAAATCAAATAACGACGGCGCCAGGCGGACCTCTCTGGGGAGCGCATTCCATAGATTGGGCGCCACTGCAGAGAAAGCCCTCCTCCGAGTACCTACCCTCCTAATGTCCTTCACGGAGGGTTCCTGGAGAAGGGCCTCTCCCGCAGATCTCAAGGGGCGGCCGGGCATATATGGATGCAAGCACTCCTTCAGGTAACCAGGACCCAAGCCGTTTAGGGCTTTATAGGTCATCACCAACACCTTGAATTGAGCCCGGACTTCAATGGGAAGCCAATGAAGCTGACGGAGGACTGGAGTCATGTGAACATAACGCCCCGTCCCTGTCAGCAGCCTGGTAGCTCTATTTTGAACCAATTGAAGTATCCGGACCGTCTTCAAGGGTAGCCCCACATAAAGCGCATTACAGAAGTCAAGGTGGGAAGTCACCAGCGCGTTAAAAAATTACTGTTTTAAAGTAATTAGAACACGCGCACACAGAGCGAGCTGGGCACGGTAGCGGGTCATCCAACAAGACGGCCACGGCCTTCATCTGGTGACCAACACCGAGCATCGTCCCGGTCTCAGAACAGTTTACAGTACAATTTTGGAACAGGCTAATGACACTTCCACGATCATCACACAAGAAAAGAGCACAGTCAACAGCTCCAAAACTCAAAATGCAAAACGACCAGCAGATCAGTGCTCATGGCAGAAGATGAAAACCTTTTAACGCCACGCGGAAATGCACTTCTCTTTCTTGCGATCATCCTTTCGGGGGTGCCAAAAGCCCTCCCACTTGACCACCCGGGTCTCAGTTGCCCGAGAGGGAAGGGATCTGGGTTTACTGGATCACTCCAAAGCTATCCTCTAGCAAACAGGACACCTGCTTGGTTGCAAGAGAAAAATGGGAGGGAAGCAGACGCTAGTGGATGAATGGTTGCTCCTTGCTTTCTGTCTCCTCGTTAACCTGTGCGAGGTGCAAACAACAGGCTCAAACAACGGGAGAAGCAAGAAAAGACTCGGAGGCAACCTGTCATGCAGATAAGATGCAGCCCCCCTCCTGCAGTCACCAAGAAGTGTTTCAAAACAAGCCAAGCAAAACCTGGGGCCTTCCCACCGCTTTTTAAATGGCGATTCCATTGAGCCATGAAGCAGCCAGCGCCAAAGGGCTTATCTTCCTGACTTCACCTTCCACCTATGCAGTCCTTATCAAAGAAAAGTAAATATAAATTATTTTATTTACTGCAACTCTGGTCAACCACATCACGAAGTAAACTGTCTGAATGAGAAAATCAACCGACATCGGGGCCAAGAGCTTTAAACAGGGATGCCTTGCATAAGCATTTATTCAGCATTCCAGCCAGCCTGGCCCTATTCCAAGATACGCCATTCCATACCAGCCATATCCACCAGTCTATTGCCTTCCCCAACTTCCTCCCCTCAGTACTGACACCTTCCAGGGAAGTGCCTATTGCTGGGTAATGGCACATAAGCAGCTGTTGCTTTTTGCTAGCAGAAACCAGGCCAAGCTCCAAGCATTTCTTGAAACTGTGGCTCATGGGCTTCCCCTGATTTGCAATTGACCACAATACCTCCTCACCATTGTTGACATAGTATTTTTCAAGGTCTGACTTGTCTCGTGTTTAAGCGGTGCAGAAGCAGTTTCGAGAAGATAAAAAAGGTGAAATTCCTTCCTCATTTAGCATGCTTAATCCTTGGACTATCTGTCAGTTTATTTCCCAGTCCAGGTCTTATTTTCTAAGCACACTGCAAATCCGAAGACTCCCTCCAGGCCAGCTGACACCATCCTCGCTTGCACATGGGTGGCATTGCTTTAGCTACATGAGGATTGCCCAGGGGGAAGGTTTGCAGTTAGTCTACGGAATGAATCAAACATTCAGAGGCAGTCTCTCTCTGCAAAGTCTTTGCTGAAGACCAAATGCCAGATGGTCACCTGGCATGCAGGTGGGGCCCGATGTGACCAAATCCTGCTCCATACAAAATTATGCCGATAGCAGCAATTGATGATGGTAATAACAGCAACGGCCCTGCACTTAGAAAGGTAGCATCTCAGGAAGAGCTCCCTCCCTGGCTACTTTTCTATATGCAGGGATACTATTTTTCCAGGGGGAAACCTATGTGCACCTGAACGTCTTTTGGCCAGCCTTCCTCTCTCCCTTTCTGAATCATCCACATCCAGTGCACCAACTTGCAGGGACGTTTTGCGGCTGCACAACAGGCCCGCCCACTCCAGGGGCGGGGCCTTCTGAAGAAACGCAGAGCCTCATCTAAGCATGAAGGGGGGAAGGGGTTAATCCTCCTGGGCGGGACCCGGGAGCCGCAGAGCCAATCAGCTGCGGCCAAAGCGGGGATGCCCCCGCGAGGAAGTTTGGTTGAGCAGCGGGGAAACACCGCCCGTAGTACCAGCCGGATCAGCCAATGGGAGCGCGGCTCCGCAGTGGAGTGATTTCGCGTCACCGCTCAGGCTCTAGGATTACATCATGGGGGCGGGGATCTCCAGCCTCCACGTGGAGAGGGAGGCTGATGAAGTCACGTGGAACCACGCACTTCACTTACAGCCGACTCTGGGGGCGGAGCTAGCATTTAAAGGAGCCGCGCGGGTTTGGACGGGGAGCAAGCAGGGCGATTACATGTGAATTTATTATAGCAACATTTCCCCAAAAGACGAGAAAGGCGCAGGAGGGAAAGAAAGAAAACGTGGCTTCGTGGCTTGGAATAGCCCTGCTTCAATGCATGCAAATACAAGGCGGGAGGCAGCGCCTGGGTCTCGGGGCTTCTTATCCACTGCGGCTTTTCTCCTGAGCTTTGCAGGAGCTGCGCATGGTGCAGGAGCTGTGCATGGTCTCCCAGCTTCGACAATATGGAGCTCCTGCAAAACTCGGAATAGGCTTCCCCGAGGATAAGGGGAAGGCAGGGAGGAAGGCGGCCTCAGCGGGGCAGGGGGTCTCCCCCGCCAGTAGGAACGCTGGACAGTTTCCCTGTCTGTGTGTGCGCAGAATCACACCCTTCGTTGCCAGAAGCGCTTGTGCTGGCCGCGCATTCTGCATTCGCTTCCAGGAAGCAGGTAGATAATTCAGAAGAGCATCAGTAAATATTAAAAGAGCATCAGTAAATATTTTAATATTAAAATATTAAAGATAAATATTAAAATTAAATTATTAGAGGCTCCCTTTGAGGCAAGGCTAAGCCCTTTTTTCTCATAAGGCAACCTGCAGGCAGGGTAGGTAGGCAACAGTGCCTCTGAACATGGGCAGAGGGCTTTTTCCTTTGTACACATTTGAGATCCAGGAGCTGAGATTAACAATGCAAACCAGCGCATGTCTGTTGAGAAGTGTCGCACTGGATCCACTGGTGCTGGCTCCCATGGCCAACGCTCAGGAATGTTAGGCGTCACCATCAGGAAAATTTAGAGGAAGTAGTTTGGAAAAAACTACAAGATTTTGCCCAGATGCTTGTGAGGGGAAGCACCCCCTGTTTAAAGCACGGGCTTGCAAGAGGTGCTGAGGAGAGCTAGGCCCGCTCCCCCTTCTGTTTGCCGTGTTAATCCCCCACCCATCCAAACAATGGCACGGGGGCACTTGGTTTTCAGGCCGCCTCAAGGCAGATTTTCAACAGGTGCAGTTTTCCCCATCACAGACGGCTGGAGGCAGGAAGACAAGGCAAAGTTCCTGGATTTCTGGTCAGCCCAGAACCCGGGAGCTTGGTCAGGAAGAAAAATGCCCATGACTGTGTACTTGAAGCAGCGGCCGGTTCTTCCTGCTCACTCCCACCCCGTTCCCCTGCGGTCTCGACGCCAGCCTTCCCCAATCTGGGACTACAGGTCCCTCCACCCCCAGCCAGCCAGGAAATGGGGATGATGGGGACTGCAGTCCGCCACCTCCAGAGGGGCCTGGCTGGGGATGGCTGGCCTAGATGAGGCGGGGGGAGTCCAGGCACTGCCTGCAGGGCAGCCGCTTGGCCCACAGCAGGTTCGGCCGTGGGGGAAACTCGCAAGGGCCAGGCTGGTTTCCTTCCCAAAGTTTTCTGCTCGCTCAGTGCCAGGACCGGCTTCCCTCCCAAACAGAAGCTGGCTCTGTATTTTACTAGAACCGTCCAGCAAACAAAGGCCACGGCACATGATGCGCTGGGGGAACAGCAGTAAACAAGGCTGTGCAGCGGCCCTGCCGGCCACGGTGCCGGCGCTCCTGGGGAGCTGCGCAGCGGCCACCCGGGGGACCCCAGAGCGGCTTTCACCCGGGGGACCTCGAACCAGCGCAGGGCCTGGAGCAAGGCAAGGCACCCCGGCCACAATCGTGCATCCCTGCCAGCTTTGCGGGGGGGGGGGGGAGCAGAGAGAGGCTTGCGCGGCCAGAGCATTTCCTGGGCTTCTGAAAGAGGCGGCTTTGCCCTCACGCCCTGCCCAGGGGCATCCAGCAGGTGCCCGGAGTGCAGAAGCAGCGCCCGGCTGTGGCTCCCATCGCTCCTGGCCAGTGACCGTGCTGGCCGGGGCCGACGGAGTCCAGCAACATCTGGAGGGAACCGGGTCCCCGCCCGTGCCATGGGTCTTTGGCCTGGTCCGGTCACTCCGATGTTGTGCATGAACCTATGGAGTCCGCCACGCTGTTTTCTTACATAATTCCCCGTTGCAGACACTGCAGGGTTGGAAAACAAGCACGCGCGAGCATCAGTGTCCCTGAGCGTACAGGCACTGGGGGCAGAGAAGGGCGGTCTTTAAAAGGCGACCCCAGCAGAGGTGGAAAGACACGTCCTCTGAGGTGCGCCCAGATCCCTGCCTTAACCAGCAGCTGGTCCCAACCTTGGACCTCTGAGCTTGTACGGCGCTGTGAGGTTTGATCCCGACCGGATCTGCCGTGGCCTTACACAGGCAAAGCCGCTCGCCTCCATCCCCGCTTGCCTTCCGGAGGGGCCTCGCTCATCCCCTGCTTCGCCGTGCGTCGCACGGCTTGTTCAGTCCGCCCATGCTCTGGAGAAAAGGCCGTGCCGCCCCGGGAGCTCGCGTTGGGCCACCTGTGCGCCCAGGTGAGTACAAGCGAAGACGTGACCTCATTTGGCTCTCATGCCCTTTCTGGCAGCAATGTGAGACGCACCACAGACCTCAGGCTGTGTAATTATGGAGCCGGTGCCGGGCGCCGTCTCCCAGGAGGCCTGGCAATATCGCGGCTTGGTTGCAGGAGATGAGGCGGGAGGGCTGCGTGAAGGTCTAACAGACACGTGACAGTCGCTAGCATTTGCATCGCTTCTCGTTTGGAAAAAGGCGGCTGAGGGGGCGGCAATGACGGGACAGCGGCTTATGAAATTCTGCTCGGTGTGATGGAGGGAGAGGTTTTTCCCCTTCCTCTCCCCCACTGCAGTTAGAATCAGAGTCATCAAATTAAATTAGCTTCCAGCGCTTTGGAAAATGCCTTATTCTATTTATTTATTATTTAGTTAGTTAGTAAACTTCTGTGCCGCCCCATTCGCCAAAGCCTCGGGGCGGCTTATTCTACTTCATTCTGGTGGTACCAAGTTGCTTCCCTTTTTGCTTGAGTCATCAACATGTCTTCGCAGGATCTGAGAGAAGCCCTGCCGTCATCTTCCAGTTTTAACCGTCCTTGGTCTTCCGTCCTTTTTCTTAGCACAGAAAGGCCGTGAAGAAGGCGGAACTGCTGGAAAATATCTCGAGAGTTCACAGCACAGAGGCTAGCATCCCAAATCACCCCCAGACCCTGCAGCGTGATGTTCAGCTCTTCCCTCTGGCATTGGGGAGCCAGGACTACAACCCTTGCCAGCCTCAGAAACATGGGAGTTGTAGTCCAAAAATACTTCAAAGGCACCCGGTTGGGGAACGCGGTTCTAGAGAGATGGGATGGGCAGCGTGGAACACACAGCGCTGGATGAGGTCAATAATGGGGAACGCATGGATGTGGCTGGAGTGCAAACCCCATCAGCCACAGCCAGTGGGGAGGGAGGGCGGGGTTGCAGTCCAGCCATGCCTGGAGGCCAGAAACTCCATCTCTGGACGAGATGGACAGTGGGTGCCTTCTGATCTTCCGAGTCCTGAGGGCTGAACAGGATATAAGAACTTAGGAAGAGACCGGTGAGACCCGGGGTCCATCTAATCCAGTGTTCTGCTCACACCAGCAGGGAAGGCGCTCAGCAGCTCCCTCCCAGCCGTGCTGCCCGCGATCTTGGACCACCAGAGGCTGTCTTCATGCCCATGGCAAGGAGCTTCTTGGAAGCGCGTCTTGGTTGGAAACAGGACGCTGGCCAATGCAGACCTTTGCCGGTGCCCACGGGCTTTTCCCCTCGAGAAATGGACCAGGTGCCATTCGTAGAGGGATGGAGAACAGAGCTGTGGCCACGATTCGATGCGCACCCAAAGGGCTCAAATTCGCACTGCCACACACACATCTCAGATAACATCCGACCAAAGACCCTGCGCGGGTCCTTCCTTCTCCAAAGATGGCTGAAGAAGCTTGGAAACAGACAAGAGTTTGGCAAGGCCACACCGCCCGGATGGTCAGAGAATCAAATTTTCGGGGAATTTCATGCGAATGAAAAGCTGTCAGAGCACAGCTGTGCTGCAGGCACCTCCTGGTCAGGGAGGGCCGTGGCGCCCAGGAGTCTCCCCATGCCTGCCTGGTCCTGGGTTTGACGGCTGCAGCATCTCCAGGTGGGGCTGCGAAAGCATCCAGCCAAAAGCACTGGGAGCCACAGCCGCCAGGCAGCAGCCACAGCACAGGGCTGGGTGGACTCATGGCCTCCGTGCCAGGCCGCTTCCTGCATTCTTACGTTCACCAGGAGCACCTTTCATAGACGTAAAGGTGGGCACCACCTGAACACCGCAAATAGGCTCCCAGCTTTCAAAGTGCCTCCGGCCCTGCGAAGAAGAATAGTGCTGCTTCTCAAGCCCAAAGGAGAAAGAAAATCGGGCTCAGTTAAAGAGGTGGGGGAAGTCCTTAAAAACGGGGCAGGGAAGGACAGAAATGAGCACTTCAGGATCGCCCAGGTTCAACAACTCTCTCTGCATCAGCAAGAAAACAGCAAATGCATCACCAAAAAAGACAAGAACGGACAACGATTTAGACGACGTTTGCGTATGCTAATTCATCCATACAGGTGACCGGCATAATTTAGCCAGAAACACACCTTGCCGCAGTGCAGGGCCAGCAACCAAGCGGCCTGGCCGCTTGTCTGTTCAGGCCGCCGGAGAAAGCCAGTGGTTCGTAACATCACACCAGAACTGCACTGCAGCCGTCCCACAGAGGACTGTCCTCTAGACAAAAGGGACCCATTGCTCTGTTCTTTCGTTTTCCCTCCCAGCTAATGGTTTCCTATTAAAAGCAGGCCAGGTTGGAGGGTTGTGCCTTCCGTACGAGGGCCTGGAATCCCGGAGCCAAACCGAATCATGGAAGCGAAAAGACTTGCTCTAGCCGTGAATCACGCTGCAGGTTGCACTGATGATATTTTATTGGAGTATTTTCACATGCAAGGACAAAAAAAAATGTACAGAGACACACACACACGCACGCACGCACACGCACATACACACACAGGCAGATGACTTCTGGAATGAGGGTTAAGTGATGGCAGCTTAATTAGTAACATCTTTATGCAAAAACCAGCAGGTTTCAGACACCATCACTACTAAGGAAAGAGAGAAGCCAGGAAAGAGAGAAGACAGTTTTAAAGGCATTTAAGAATTCTTATTTATACATAGCTGTTTTTACATTTTTTAAACAATTCCCTTTCCCTGCCCTCCAACCTTCTCCCCGCAAACGAAAACAAAAACATGAATATTTTCAGTAAATAAATATTATCCACTTTTTATCTGGACACACCTAGACTTTTTAAATACACAGCCGAGGCTGCTATGACACAGGTTACGGTGGGGAGGTGGGGGATGAGTTGCAGTTAGCAGCTGGGGCTGAAAAGGAGCGTGTGCGACTTAAAAACTCACTACGGAAGATGCCTGCAGACACGTCGGCTTCCTACGGAGGAATGGTGGGGGCAGGGGATGGGAGTGGGGCAGACGGCCCAGGACCGCCCGTCCTTCGAAGCGATCCAGACCACCTCGGCTTGCCTCAGCTTCGGAAGCACCGCATGGAACGGGCGGGCGTTTCGAAGCAAGGCGCTTCACGGAGGTCTCAGCTGCTCAGGTGCGTCTGCTCCTGCTGCAGGTGCCGTACCTGGGGAGGCTGCAGGAGGGGCAGCGTCCCGCCGAGGGTGGCAGGGACCGTCCGGTGCCCCTCCAAGCCGGCCTGGGCCAACCCTTCTGGAGCGCGTGAAGCCAGCATTTGGCGGCGCTGCTCTCGGCCGGGGCTTGGCCTGCGGTCTCCCAGGAGAGCCGCACGGAGGCGAACTGCGTGCTGGAGGGTCCCATCGGGCACCTGCGTTCCGCGGTGCTCGGTGGAGACGCGCACGTGCCCGGGCCACTGCAGGGGAACGCGCCCGGCTTGGCCGCCATGGCCCTTTCCTCCCACTGCCCCCTCCCTCGCCCAGGAAAAACCCGCCAGGAGGCGCAGCCTTGGAAGGGCCGGTTGGTCAGGAGACTCAACAGGGAGGGTGTCGCGAGGCATCTCTCCGCATTCAGGGTGTGCAAGTGCTCTTGGTCAGTTAAGGGGCTCTGGGAGAGCCGCTGGCACCAGCAGCAGAGGGGCTTCCTCGCAGTGCGCATCCAGGCAGACGGGGCGGCCATGCGAGCTCAGGAAAGGCTTCCTCTTGCCTGGGACCCGCCGCGTGCCAGCGAGGTGCTGGGCCCCAGCCGGCCTCCTTGGAGCAGGGGAGGCTGGCCTGGCCTCCCCAGCTCCACCACGGTTCCTCCGTCCCCCCTTGCCCAGGCTGGGCACTCGCGCTGCCCCCCGCCCGCCCGGCACAGCGGCGGGGAGGGGCGCGGCTGCCCCGAGACAGCCTGCCCGGTCTGGCGCTCGCCTGGGCCTGGAGGCTGGGGCCGGGAGAAAGGGGCTGTGGCGAGCTGAGGGACAACGGTCTCCCACGCGGGCGCAGACGGGAACGTGGCTGCCCGGCCTGCCCGGGAAGAGGACAGCGCCACTCCTCAACTCTTTGCTCGAGAGCCAACGTCCTTCCCCAGACGGAGAGAGAGACGGAAAAGGACTCCGGAGGCTGCGTGGCCGGGCTCGGCCGGGAGCTGCCCTTCCCACCCTGAGGTGGCCCTCCGGACGTGTGGGGCTCCAACCCCACCGGCCCAGCCAGCACGCGGGGGCGATCTGGCCTGGGGGAAGGCTTGATGGCCCGTGCCATGGACCACCCCCCTTCCTTAGTCATTGCCATATACATTCCAGAGTCTGTGACCTATTTCTCCTGGACAGATCTGTATCCTGCAGATGCTTTAAAATAAGGTAACGGGGATGGGGACACACCTGCCACACGGAATATAGTTTACACGGGGAGCATCGTCTCCCTGTGTGATGCCTCGGCATGCAGACGCATTATCGAAGGGCTGGGGAAAGAAAGGGGGGGTGGAGGCAGTGATGACAGGCCCGATCCAGCAGGAAGGCCTCCCGCACCTGCTCTGAACCAGCGGGGCACCGGAGGACGCCCCCCCACACACACACTTCAGCGGGGGGTCCTGCAGAGAAGCCTTCCCCACTGAGTCGGGACACCAATAAATATTTTCAGCCGCAGCGGAAAGGTCTCCGGAACGGACCCCACCCAGAATTTCGTGCAGCCTTCCCCAGCCTGTCGCCACCGTTGGGGGGGCTGTTTTAGTGTCGCTTAGAGATCATTCACACAGGGGAGACACTTCCTACGGGGATTCCCAGGTCCTCGCGGTTTACGTCTCACCAGCATGAGATGCCCCCTCCCCGCCCCTCGACCCCCCCGGATGATAGCTGACCTCTTTCTCTTTCTCGAAGCGAAGCGCAAGCACAAGCGCAAGCACAAGCCAAGGTAATGGGAGGGCAAGGAAGGGCCGGGAGGCGGGAGGCGGGCCCGCTGGCAAAGGGACAACCGGTCGAGACGCATTTGCAGTTCAGCAGCTGATGCCCGGAAGGAGGCTGGCGAGGAAGCCGTGGGAAGGGCGGCCCTTGAGAGGGGACATGAGGGGAATGTAAAAGGCCCCCGAAAGCACGAGGGAAGGAAAGCTGCAGTTCTAGGCGGAAATATCTGAAGGGCGGCAAGCAGCCCACCCCTGCCCCTGAGGAGGGGCAGAAGCCCAGGGGGACACACTGGACCTCCGACTGGAGGGGTCCCTGCCAGGGGAAGGGTTTCTCTTGCACTGGACCAACAGCGAGGCAGCGAGAGCTGGGTGGGCTCCCTAGGCCACAAGAGCAAAGACAAGCTCGGCTGTTATCCGAGACTCTCCGAGCGTCCGCGTGCTTTGGACCAGCTTGGCGGAGAACGCGGCATCCACCTCAACCAAAGCCCGGATGGGTTTCTTTCTGTATCGGGGCGCAGGGGGAGAGAGCGTCCATGCATTTAAGACAGTACGGAAAAGGAGCATTCCCAGCCTGGGACGTGAAAGTGGAGTGAAGCAGGTGCGAAAGGACAGCCGCCGGAGTGACAGGGCTGGGCAGAAAGAAACTTTCAAAAGGGAGCTGATCGGGGCTGGATCGCTTCCGAGAGAGATGAGAGGCCATCTATGATGCCCAGGAAGGACCGGGGACTCGTTGGAGCCGGAAAGCACGAGGACCGCTCGACTGCACGGCCGTGTCCCTCCACACACGGAGCGCAGCAGGAGGGGCGTTACAGCGCGAAGAGGGCGTCCTCCGAGCGCTCAGGCTTCTTTTTGCTGGGCGGGTTTGTCGTCAGTGGTGTGGGCTCCTCCTGAGGCGGCGAGGGCAGGTTGGGGATCCGTTCAGCAGCTTTGGCGCGTTCTTCTAAGAACTTGTCAAACTCTGAAATTCGAAAAATGTCAAAGAGCGGGTGTTTGGGCTGGAATCTGGGGGTCCCGGCGCTACCTGGGAGGCGCGAGGACTCTCGCAGGCCATTTGCAAGCGCTTTTCTGTGGCTGCCCCATGCTTTGCAGAACCCGGAGCCTCCTCTCTCAGCCCAGGCAGGGAATGGCCACCCCCAAGCCCCTCCCGGCCTCCTTTCCACACAAACCCACCACAGCTGAGGACTTCACAAATTCCGCAAATGCTCCCCGTTTTGCCAAGTGGACTCAGAACGGCCAGCCGTGGGGAGAAGCCAGGAAACAGGCCAGGCGATAAACCCCGACGGAGTGGCAGTCTGATTTAAGCATCGCTCCAGAACCCACCGAGTCGTCTTTGGCCAGAGGCCAGTGCAGGCTAGAGGAGAGGGTGGGGAGCCGGCCGGCCTTTCCGCCAGCCCTGCTTGAACGACCCGAGTTCCCTTCCGCACCTCACCCCTTCTGCTTCCTCGCTGGGCCTGTGAGCCCACAGGCGGGGATGACTTGTTTTAATGACCGCTCCGAGCGGCTTCATGGCTGCGGAGCCGTGTGAAGACGCTTTCAATAAAGCAGCCGGGTCTGGCGAGGGCAGCGCTGCCTCGCTCGGACTCGCAGCCGCTCCCCAGCCCCTCAGAGGAGGCGACCCGCCCTCGTCAGCAGCTCTTCAGGGAAGGTGGCAAGGACGGAACCCGAGGCCCTCTTCGTGCAAACCCAGGCAGCTCCTTTTCCACTTGAGGAGCAGCTCCACGCGGGGTGCAGCCCTCGATCCCTCTTGCCCCAGATCTTGCCCTTGACTGGGAGCCACGGAAGAGGAAGGCCGGGGGTCCCAGGGGGCCGCATTCCCCACCCCGCTGTGGCTCCCTGAACTTCTCCGGCCCGCCCAGCATGTGCAGGGTCTTGCGGTGGCCTTGCAAGGTGGCGCACGTCCTCCGTGCGCGTGTGCTCGCTTACCTTCGCTCGTCACTCCTTCTTCGAGTTCATCTCCTTTCTGTAATTGGAACGAGAAAGGGGTGGGGAAGGAGAAATACCACCATGAGTTCAGAAGTCCTCAGGCTGATCGTGGTACGGGGATGCACCCTGGTCCAACAATTAAACTATCCGGTCACAGCAGTGTAGGATAGCATTAACGCCGGTCAAGGCAGCCCAAATTGCTTGAGGGTTCTCCTCCCTCCAGGGAGAACCAGCCACTCTCCTCTGTGCACCGAAGAGGGAAAGCAAGGCCAAGACTGCCATGCCATGAAGAGGCAGCAGGGTTTCCTGCCTGGGCCTTCCTTGGACAGGACGTTTCCAAACCAAAGGAAACCAGGGTGACAGGTAAAACCGGATGCCCGAGGAACCACTCCAGCACAACCCCTCCAGGAGGAGGAGACGGGAGGGAGTGGGGGCATTTCTTCTGGCATGGGCGAGCCAAGAGGTCACCCCGAGGCCCGCTTGTCACAGAGAAGACTCCCCCTGGATGCAGGGTGGAATCGGATTTGGGGAGAGGGGAAGACACGGTGTGGGAGCAGAGCCACACGGCAGCGCTGCGCCTGGCTTCCCAGCCAAACTGGCGGGAGAACCATGTGTGCTCAGCCGCCAGCCTCGTGTTCTCCCGCTCGTCTGCCAGCCTGGCTTCCCAGCCGCATCCTTTCCGAAGTGCTGCTCATTCCTTTAAGGCACCCCACCCCAAGGGAACTTTAGGGGAGGCAGCACGAAACTCCTTTAGGGTTTTTTTTTGAGGGGGGGGAGTGATATGGCGGGTTGGCAGCCCACCCACATCAAGGCCTGCTTTTCCTTCCCACGCAGAGATAAACTGGGGAGAGGGTTGAGGCTCCAACAGATTTGGGGAGGAAGAGATGGAGCAGGTTACTAAGCCACATCTCCTGTGAAGCACAGGCTGTCTGCTCACACGCAGAAAGGGCTGCGGAGACGGTGACCTGCATCTAAGAAAATGCAGGTGGCGCCTTCAAAACGGGGCTCTCCCTTCCCGAATTACCCCCCACCCCACCCCACAATTAAGTGCACAGAGGTTGGCTGGAGAGTTGGCTGCCCAGAGGCGCCTTCACTGGGCTGGGCTGCCCAGAGGTGCCCAGCCTCCTCAGCATTTCAGGCCACCCGCAACTGCTCTGTGGGCGCGCCTCGTTAGCACCCACACATTAATCAGGGCCATTAATAGGATGTGCAAACCGCCTGGCTATTAGGTAAACACCTTTGCATGTGCTTGACCCGTGTTGGTATTATTGTCATGAGAAAGAAAAGAGTACCTACATAAAATGCCCTGAAGATGCATTGCAATCATTTTCTCTTCAAAACTGGTAGATCCGAGACCTTTGGAACTTGCTGTGAATCTTTCCCTGCATCACTGGCACCCTCCTGCCCAACTCCAGGAGCCAGGCCACACGTTACACAGGTGGACATGGAAAACCCGGGATTCTCCCCTTCAGCTCCCAGGTGTGCCTGTGCAGTGTATGCTTCTTTTTAAATATATATTGTTATATTCGACCCTATATTTAATGTGGAGTTTGCTGTTTCTACAGAAGCTGCTCACTAGACTGACATTTTTATGTACCTGTCCAGCACAAACCCAAGAGCTCTTTCTTGGTCAGTCACTAGCTCAAATCTCAGCAGTTTGCATTTAAAGTTGGGGTACCCCCACCCCGCCCATGTGCATTATTTCACCCTTGTTTACACTGAACTGCATCTGCTCTCTTGATGCCTCTTCTTCCAGTATGGGGAGATTTTCCTGGAATTCCATCCCCTAATTTACCACCTCATTCCGCACTGCTTGGGCCCAGCTTGAAATGGCAAATCAGGCGCAAACAGTTCGGGGAAGAGAAGCCATTTTGAATGCTTTTGTGCTTTAAAAGCAAACGAAGGACAAGAGTCTCCGGGGAAGGAGAGATCTTGCCTGCTGGGGAAGCGGTGTCTGATCGAGCCCTCACAATGCTTGTAAGCTTTGCTCGTGCTGCTCTGCCATTTCTTGCTGTCCGTGCATTTTTAACGCATTCCCAAAACATGACACTCCGTGTGTGTCTGTATTTGGTTCAGGAGTGGGAAACTTGCAGCCCTTGGCCTACAACTCCCATTATCCTTCCCCAGTGGCAATCCTGGCTGGGGCAGATGTGCATTTTAATTAATTTATTTATTTATTTAGAAAATTTTAATGGTACATTCCCCCTTCCACCTCATTCCTGCTCTGATCTTTGTGGCCTAGTACAGACGTGTGGGAGAACGGGCTGGCAGCGAGATGCCAAACAGACCGCACCACTTCACCCTCCAGCTGAGGGACCCTCCTCTTTGAAAAATCTCTCTCCTGCCATCCTGCCCCCCACCCGCAATACACACAAGGACTGCATCATGGACTGGGCCAATGCATGCAGGGAAGGCCATCCACCAGCCTATGCAATGGAGTGTCCTTTGTTCTGGCAATACATGGGAGGCCAACCCCAAGTCTCCTCTCTGCTGGATTTCCGTTCGGCCCCTTCCAACGTTCAGCCACAAAACACGGCCGGCCAGGGTCCCTCCCCGCCGCCCGCCCGCCACTCCCACAGGGCTTCTCTAAAGTGTGGGTGTCTGGTTTGCACTTGCGCAAGCCCTGGCACGCACGGCCTGAACGCAGCGCCAGCTTGTCCTGCGGCACTTGCAGGAGGATGCTGGGTCCGGGGCCCCGAGCGGCAAAGTCCGCGCCAGAGACTCACAGAGCGCCTTCGGCAGGACAAGCACCACCTCCCCCACTGCAGTTTGCAGGATCCTTGCGCACAAAATATATAAAAGAAAACAGAACAAGAGAGGGTCTTACCACGTCTGTACTCAGCCACTCCTCAATGTCATCCATGACAGAGGACTGTGTGACGGGAATCTGGGGGATGCAGCAAGAGACGCAGCAAGCCAGGCAAAAACCAAAACACGTCACAATTACGGCCAAAGAATGAGTGGGAAAGCGAGACACAAAGGAGGGGGAAAAAACATAAAGCCACGTAAGATGGACTGTTGCTGTTGGAGAAGGATTGCAACTGAATAATGCACTCACCAAACAAAACCCCAACAGAAACGCAAACCCAGCACACAAACACAGCAACGCAAAGCAGGAGAACAATAGCGCTGTGACAATTAAATGAAGGGTTGCCGTGAGTGAAATGGCCGAGAGCAAGCACTGGGGTCGATCACCCCCCTTGGGACAAGGGCCAAAATAATGCGTTGGCTTTGGAGAACCTGCATCCCTTAACACTGGAGCTCCCAGCACACAAACAGAGCCAGAAAGGCCATTAAGCCATGAATACCAGCAGGACTTTTGAATGGAGCAAAGGAGCTGGAGGACGGTGGGGGGGCAACCTGACCCAGAGGTGCACGCCTGGCCTGTGGCTCAGGAGCAAACCGAACCCGAGGCTGAGCATTATGGGATGAGCGTGCGCAAGTCCACAGAAGCTGCCGGTCTCCACACCTGCGTGAAGATGGAGGGGGAGGTTCTGTGCTGGCCAATGCAAGGTTTTCCCCATAAGCTAAAGAGGTCTGATGCGTACTGAGCATTAAAAAGTGCTTTTAAAAACTCATCATCTATGTCCTTCAAAGAACACGCTCTCCTTTAGGCAAGCTTCTGTAAATGCAGCATATCTTTCAAGCTGACACGGACGAGCTGCGAGTACATCGCTTAGCAGGTGCGTGGAGAAAGTGCTCCGAGTAACGTGTGTCGATTCTGATCGCCTGGGCTCAGAGAGGATGCACACGCTCCTCCGAGAGGATTCATCCGCAGGGCACAAGAAGGGCCACCTCCGAAGGTGCATTCCTCCGTGCATGCAGAAAGCGCAGAGTGGCTCTCTGGTGGCAAGCACCCTATAGGGAAGACGGACTGTGCAGCGATGGGCGGGTGACTGGGCAGGCCCCTGTGTGACCTTCCTCCGAGGCTGGGACTGGAAGGGAAATGCCCAGCTGCCCAAGCTCCAGGTGGGTGGATCGTCCCCAGAGCCAGGCTTCCTCAGCGAGATGACTCAGCGGAGCACGAGGACGGGGAGGCCCCGGATGAGGGGTGGACAGGAGGACCAGGAACGGCAGCGGGTCCGCCTTTCAGCGTGGGGAGCCCAACGCTCAGGCCTCAGGGCGGCTGGCATGGTTGGGCGACCCGGTGGAAGCAAACAGCAGGCCTGCAGGGACAGGCTGGACGGGATGGCCAAGCCAGCGGATCCGAGGGGCCTGCCTCCACCCAGGGCTGCCCCTTCAGCAACTTCCCCGCCTTTCAAAGCAGCAGCACTGAAGCAGAAGGGAAAGCTCCTTCGGCCCGCACAGCACAGGGCCCTCCGAGCACAGGCTGCCGCAGAGGGACGAGTCAGGCTGTACCCCTACACCCACGCAGCAAGGAGTGGGCCTCACTGAACTGCGTGGGGCTCGCTTGTGCAGAGAGACATGCGGGACCCTGTTGCCAAGCTTGCGGGCACTGGCGTGAAGCCCCCGCTGCCTGTGGCGGAAAAGCAGGGCACGTTTCCAGCCGGAGCCCCACGGGAGGCTGGGCACGGGGCACCTTCTCCAGCCTGCCGTTCAAGGGCCCACATTCAGACCAAGGCAGTCCTGGCCTTGAGGCTTTCTTTGGTCATTAAAGCATCCTTTCAGAAGTGGAGACCCTGCAGCTCTTTGGACCTACAGCTCCCATCACCCCCGCCAGCGTGGCCACTGACTATGCTGGCCGTGGATGGTAGGAGTTGTGGTTCGGCACGCTGGGGTGGATGGTGCTCCTGTTCTTTGCCCTGTAAGCTTCGAAGGATATTTGCAGGCCTGAGCAATCCGCAGGTGAAGCTTTACAACTCAGCACAGTAAAAGGGGAGACATTTCTAAAATGTTCGCCCCGTTACTTGGGCTCAGATGATCGTTACCTCAGCGATGCCCTCTCTCTTTCATGTGTGCACACACAACACACCTCGCTTCCAAGGTTCTCACATGACGGTCTAGCCTAACACGTTCCTTTAGAGGACCTGACTCGTAGAGCCGGGCTCTGTGTTTTTCACTACTGTCCAACAACACAATGTTGGCTTTCCTTGGCAAACAAAGCAGGAAAGTCCCTAGTCCTTAAGGAAGGGCAGATACCACAGAATTGCAAAACTGTTCCTGGCATGGAGAGGTGAGTGTGACACAGGAGAAGCCAGTCGGGACCATGCGAAACCCACTTCTGCTGCAAACTCACCCAACCGGCTTTCTCCAAGCTCAAACCCGCACGAAAAATTATTTGCTCGAAGAAAATGTGGCTGGTGCACTTCCAGGCCCCGTCGACCTGGTGAAGACTGTTATTTCTGCACACAGTCTTGGGCCCGGCAGCAACGGATCAGGAAGCTGTTGCAGGCAGCTGCTCAAGCAGCGCACCAAAGCGTGGCCTGCACAGCCAGAACTGGGAAAGTAAGCCGTGGCTCGCAACTCCAAGCAAACAAGCCCATCATTCTTCAGCGCTCTTGGCGTTTAATCTTCCCTTTGCCAAGCGATCGCCCCTGCCCGCCGGTGTAAGGGACCGCAAGCGAGCACAAGCCACGGTTTGGAAGCTCACTTCCACCCATCGTTGATCATCCCATTTGCCTGAGTTGCAGAGCAGGCTGCGCCAGGTCAGAGTTTGTGTCAAGCTACAGCTAAGCTCCCATTTGGACCGTTTCACAAGAGGGGATTTCAAGCAAGGCCGGTCTGCTTCGGGGGACCCGCAGAGGGACACCCCACTGGCCACCCAGGCCGTTCTGGCCGCCCTGAAAGGGAGTTCCAGCAGATGACATTCTTCGCTGCAGAACCCTTGACACAGGCAATGCTCATGAGCCGGCACCGCCGGTCTTGTTACATGCTCGGTTAATGGACGTGGTTAAGCGCTAACACTAGTTGAGACAGAAACTGAATTACGGATTAGTTGTACTCTAGGGAACGCTGGATACATCCACATTAAAACAAACAAGGGCAGGGAGCTGACAGGGGAAAGGCAGAGGCGACACTGGTCGGGCCGGTCCTCCGCAGCTGCCACCGTGGGCTCATCCATGAGGAAAGCAGTATCCTTTTTCCCAAGCCGGACAAACGCAAGTCCGCAGGAAATGCGGCCTGGGGAGCCTTACATGCTCCGTTTTTTAAGAGCCAATGGGAACCAAATATACTGGGGCTTCTCTGCCACCAAGAAAACCAAAGAGCGCAGACTGAAAGGGTGTCGTGGGAGCTGGAAAACAGCCGAGGGCCTAGGGGGAGAGACGTGGCAGGCCAGAGGCCATCTTCCCCCATCTCGGTGCCTCTGGGCAGCAGAAGAAACAGTCAGCGCACGTCCCCTCGGTATGTCCCCTCGTGCGTATTCCAGGAGAAGAGGGCTGCTTCCCGAGAGCCACAGCGGCGGAAGCTTCTTGAATGCCGGGTCGGGATGACGGCAGGCGGTCCCGCCTCCTGGCTGGCTGGGCTTCACCCCCTAAGCAAGCAAGCCCCAACCTGGTGTCATCCAGGTGTTTTAGACCACGACTCCTGGATTTTGTGGCCACTGGTCACGCTGGCTGGGGGCCGATGGGACTTGAAGTCAGAAACTCTAGGGACACAGAAGCGTGTGGCAGGGAGGAGGCAGGAGCCAAGGCTCCCCCAGTTCAGGTCACCCATGAATGCACCCCGTGTCTCGGCTCACTTCCGGTTCGCGCGCTGACTTGGCCTCCCTTCGCTCCCCGTTTCATGTGACATTCCTTCAGAAGCAGGGGTGCCGCTGAGCCAATTTTGACTTGGGGCTTCGCAGTCTTATGAACCCCTTCACTTCCCTCAGTTAAATTACTGCCTGGGTTCGGACAACACACTAGCCCGGACTGATGGGTTGAGTGAGGGTTATTAAAAATACTGTCTGAACCCAGCTGTGCTAACAGGCCATGGCTTGCTAACCACCCATTTTTTATTGCTGGGTTGTACACTGTGGCTTGTCCACCAAGGTTTCTTATCTCGGTTGGGTTCAGGCAACGTAACCACCCACAGTGCAAGACAAGATACACTCAACCCATACTCAACCTCTGGGGGTGGGCTCTCATGGGGCCTGAACCACGGGCAATGTTTACCATCTGGCTTGCTTCTAAGCCTGCCCTGCTAGAATTTTTGGGGGGGACGGCCTTCCTCCTCGCTACCCAAAGGTCCTGCCCGACGGGCACTGCATTCAGTCGCCACCTCCACCCCACCTGCCAGAACCTTTGCAGTGAGGAAGAGGAAGCACAGTCCAGGATGAGCTGCGCTTCTCACACGCCCGGCTGGGTTGCTCAGTGCCCCAGGACTGGGTGACTGCATTTTAGAAGGGCAAGGAACACACACCTCCCCTCATTCATTAGAGAAGCAGAACTTGTGTTTACCCCGGGGATGGAAAGCGGATACTGCACAGATGTGAAATAAATTGAGACAGTAAAAGGAACGGGAGAGGGTCCATCCTGGTTTTGGAAACAGGTATGCGGATGGACAGGGACGTGTGCGTCCCCCTCCACATCCCGCTGAAGAGCTGTGCCCCACGTCGCCAAGCCTCGGCCAGCCCTGCCTCCCTCACCACGGCCAGGGATCCACCTCCTTGTACTGTCCAATTCGTGGTTGTCCAACAGGTTGAGTGACAGGCAGACAGAGGGTGGTTATGCTATTCCAGGGGGATGAGGGGGAGGACGACAAGGGGGGGGGTCACTCGGCTGGCGAAGTCCTCCTCACCATTCCTTGGGTCATTAGCCACTTGTCTATGGGCTCCATGTCTGAGCTCCCACCTTTACCTCTCCTCTGCGAGTTGAGAACAGAAAGTGCCATTAAGAAACAAGAAACAGTCAGGAATCAAGACAGCGGCAGCAGCGAGGTGACACCGCCCCTCGGGCAAGGGGCGCACACGCGGCCCCCAACTGAGGGCGCTCGGGACAGGTCCCTCCGTCCTGTTCCGCGGACGAGCACCAGGGGTGGCGTTTGCCCGCGGCCGTGAGAATCACCTGCAGGGGGCCAGGCGGAGACGGAGGGCAGAAGCACCGCCAGTCACAGTATGCCAGGGCACCCAGGAGAGCGACATGCTGCATTTGCTGGGCTAATCCATTCCTTTCCCAACCAGCACCACCTCTGTCTTTCGCCCAGTGAGCACAAGGGCACCTGGAAGCACTGCAGGGAGGAGCTGGTTTGCTGGGGGGGGGGGGCACCTTTGGGAAGCAGCACCCCACGGCCTCCCCATATGTCCGCCGGTGGCCCAGGATCCCTTTGCCTGAGGGAGACACTGTTTCAGGCCAAGAAACGGGCTTCTGTGCCAACAGGACGTACCGTGGGAAGCGTCCCTCACACGATGAGCATATATTTTCCCTGCATGCGCACTCCCCCTTTGAACCTGGCGTTAAGGAGGCAACAGTAGCTTATGGCGCAGAAATCAGTAAAGTACCATGCACACAGTAAAAATTACTAGACTGCGAGCGGTGAGATCAGAGACAAAACTACAAGCTCAGCAATACGGTTCCTGAAAACCAGGTACAGCCTCATGAGGGAGAAAAACCCTCTCCAGAGTCCCCCACCCTGTTCCCAAGGCCTGACTCTGCTTTGCTTCCGAGCTCCCACAAGATCTGGGATATCCTGGGAAACAGGGAAAGACTTCCAAGGCAGGCAGAACCCAAGCTGTCCAGGACCTGCAATCCGCACATGGCTACTCAAAAGGAAATCCCACTTAATCATGAGGCTTACTCTCAGGAAGATGGGTAGAGGACTGCAGCCTAAATGTAAGAATTCGACACACAGGCCAAATGCAGCTGAGATGATACAGAAGAAGCTACCACACGCTTCCCTCTTCAAGCTCCACCAGCATCTTCACGGCATTTGTAAGCCTGTTTCAATTACTTTGGGCATGATGATTTTTGGAAACAAGAGGAAATGCTTCTTCTTATACCCACTTCCAAAACAACATGCGACTTAAACTTCCTGTTGCATTCTAAAGAATGCCTATCATGAAAGCCGTTTTGCCCTTCCTATTTTTAGTTGTCGAATTGTGCAATAAACACAGCGTGGCCACGGGCAATTAAGAAAGGGCCACTCGACGCAGCTGCCAACAGCCTCCGGGTTGTGCCAAAGAGCAAAACGCTCCAGTGACATCTCACAGGTGAGCAAAGTCTGAAGAGCAGCACACCTGCCCACACCTTGACCCCTCCGAGAAACTCAGGCAGCCCCTTTGAACTGACAACATTCTCGGGCTGAGAACAGCGGTGTGGACAGGAGAAGCACAAAGAGCTCAGGGGCCGCAGAGGAGGGATTCAATTCAGAAAAGACAGCGGGGACTCCAGGGTCTTTCAGCTTGGCCTTGCCAGCCAAACCCATCCATCCTGGGACGCAGCTCTGGCCCTGCTTTCCCTCCACCACGGTCCTTCGCCAGCTTTCCTTTCTGTCCCCGCCCCCCACAAAAAAATCCCTCCTAAGGCTTCATTACTGGCAATCGGAGCCTTAAGCTAACATAGGCTGGCCTTTGGGGTACATGGGTCATACCCCCCTCTGCTTTTGCTCCCCAGCACCATGGGAACAGAGCCCTGGAAAGTTCTTGGAAGCTAAATCCAGAGAGATTTGAGGCTGGTATCCTAACACGATGCAAACCATTCCCCAGCAACTTCCCCAGGTATTCGGACAGCCCGCCCCTTGCGCCCCCTGCTGCGGGGCGATCAGCCCTACCCGGTTTGCCTGGCCAAAGAACGCTACTGATGCGTCGTGTGGTCAAAGCTCAGAGCAGGGTGGTGACTGGTGCTGAGACACGACTTGGGAGACGGGGATTCGAATCCTCAGTCAACTGGGAGACCTTGGGCCAGTGACAGTCCCGCAGCCAAGCCGACTCGGCAGGTGGTTGCGGGATAAAGTGCGGGGGAGCCCCCAAGCGGTCCGGGGAGGGGCGCCTTGTGCTCCCCGGAGGAAAGGCAGGACAGAACGGTGACGGCAGAAGACTGAGGCAAACGGGCGTTCAAGGCTGCGTCCGAGTGCCTGGCCAGAACACTCTTGGAAGAGCCCAAGCTGGAAAAGCTGGAATTGGGTTGCTGTATTTCTGGACTGCCCGTTCACTGAGATGGCCCATTAGCCGAGCAAGAGGGCCCAGAGCGTGCTGAACTCCTCGGGGACGGGCTGGTGAACACGGGAGGGTTCCCCCGCTTCTCTCCCCATCCCCCTTTCGTTGTATGCCGTGTCTTTTGAACTGCATGCCAGAGCGGAGGAAGCACCCCGCTGACGCCGCTCTGGGAGCCTCTCTGGCTGAGCAGCTGGACAAAACTGCTCCAAGCACATAAGCAGAATTCGCAGGGGAGACTGAGGAGGACGCGGCCTTCATCGCTTCCCTTGGGGTGCCCCTCTCAAGGAAGGGGACCCCTCCCGCACAGCGGCCCACACCGGCTCCCCACTGATCATGCCGTCAAGGGAGGGCATCAGGCAGGCTCCTCGAGCTCCCCCCACCCCAGCTTCTTCTGCTAGGCCAAAGGAAACACCCCTCCACGGCCGGTGGCTCGCTGCGCCTCTACCCACTCCGGGCCACCGCTCCGGCTTCTCCCGCCTCACACAGAAGCTGCGTTCCCCACGGATTGTTCCCCGCCCCTTCCCTCACCCGCCGTGCAGCACGACTTATGGACTTATGACTCCCCGGGGAAGGAAGGCTACGCAGATAAGGGAAGCCTGTAATGGTGGGGGAAGGCGGTGGGGGCGGGGAGGGGAGGGGAGGGAAGGGAAAGGGCAGGGATGTCGGCTCTCTTGCACCCTCAAGAGGACGAAATGCAAAGCCAGAGGGAGGGACTGGGGAACCCACACGCTGCGCTGCTTTCAAAAGCGAACGGGGTGGGAGTTCCAAGAAAAGAAGGGATTTCTCCCCCAAAGGGGAAGAAACTTCCTCTGCCAGGACAAAAGGCGCCTTCATGCGCGAGCTTCCATTCAGCTCCTCGGAAGGAGGCACGCTCGGAAAGTCGCCTACACCCTCGGAGTTACGATTTCGGCATTTCTCCAGAGGTCGCTAACTTACACACTTGATTTCGGATGCAGTTGGCATCCGGACTGCCGCTAAGACAGAGCCCTGGGACGGCAAGCCCTTGGCACTCCTGCAGAAGCGCCACCTAAACACGTTGCTCAGCTCTTCCAGAGATCTGCTTTATGGGTTGGATCCCGGACCCTTTCTGGGAAAGCGAGGCTTCGCCGCGCGGAATGGTGACCCCTGCGCTCTCAGCAAGCCAGGGCACGCTGGGGACGCAGCCGCCAGCACCCAGCGAACCCGAAGGCCGGGCATCTCCTCTGGCGTGCGACTCAACAGAGCAGAGCAGCCGCTTACCCCTCCCGAGTTGTGTTTCCGAACATCCAGGGCGGACGCCAGCCCTCTCACCGCCTGGGGGTCCTCGTACGTCACACTGGGGCAGAGGAGAGAAGATGAGCGTCGTGAATCGGCCAGGCAGCGGCAAATGCCAGCGCGGAGGCACCCGGGCAGCCTGCCCAGCCAGGCAGCCTCAAGGTGTCTGGGGCTCTGGCTCCCTTCCCAGGCAGGCCAGGATGCCGCCTGGGGAAGCCAGGGCGGGGGAGAGGCTGCCCGGTGACAAGGTGAGCGCGTCAGACTGGCAACCTGTGAGATCCGGGCTCGGGCCCCACTTGGCCGCGAAGCTCTCCGGGGGGCTTTGGGCAGCCACAGGCTCTCAGCCCGGACTACATCGCAGGGTTGTGGGCTGAGGATGGAGGATAAGCGAGCTACCTCGGGCTCCTCTCAAAAGGAAAAAAGGTGGGATAAGATGCAATTTGTTGTTAAATTGCATTAGGACCCCCATTTCTCCCTCTTGCAAGGAACCCAGGCAGCTGACAAAGTTCTCCGCCTCTCCATTTGATCCCCACAACAACCACCGCATGAGGGAGGGGAGGCTGAGAGTCCGTGGGCCCCTGAGCCTGGGTCTCCCAAGTCAGGCCAGCCGTCTTCCCCCCCCACAACCCCCCCCCCCCCAGCTCCCTCGTGTGGTGTGACTTGCACGCCGTCTCCTTGGCAGGATTTCCATTCTGAAACAGAGGTTAGCAAACGCTTGAAGTACAATACACGAGCTAGTAAAGGGCTTAATTTATGGATATTAAAATGCGCGTGCTTGCCGTGGGGAGTGGGGCCACACGCAAGTGCTTCCTCGGCTCCCCCCGCCACACACGCACGACGGTTATCCATCTCCCGCGGTCTGCCTTGCGCTGGCGCAGGGAGCTTGACCTTTAATGCGCAACATCCCCACACAATACAGGCGGGGGGGTGAGGGTCTGAAGGGACCCACGAATCAGCCGCTGGGCGGAGCTAAAGGCCTGGAGACGAGAGCTCCGTGCTGCTGCGCCCAAACCTCTCCGGAGATCCAGGGAGGCCCTCGTTCACTCGGCGAGTCTCCGGGGACCCTGCATTGCTCTATTTCAACTGCCTAAGAGGGGGCAGCAGTGGACTAACCAGGCCTTCCAAAGCGATGGGTCGCCGGAGGCAAGGCGCTCCGTACGTTCCGCAAGGAAAAGCAGAAGCCCACAGAGGAGATCCCCTGGCACTGTGCGCCGAAATGCCGGAATCGCCACCCAACGTACGTCCCCCGGCCTTTCATCCCTAGCAAGGGCCGGAACAGGGCGAGGCTTGAGTCCAACGCGATGCAGCTGGGGATTTTGAGAGGCGTCCCCCACCCAGCGTATTCGGCCAGAGAGGCACCAAGGCAGCCGAGGGGCAGCAGGAAGGGAAAGCCTCACGGGACGTCTCCCGGCCCTTGGGATGAGTGGAAGAGGGACGACTGGACGGCTTCACGCCCTGGCCACAGGTCTCCGCAGAAAGACCGGGATGAAAGCGACACAGGAGAGCCCTGGCAGTATCCCTCTCAGTGGCGCTGGCTCGGACCCAGGGCCACCTGCGTGGGAGAACTGACGGGCCGCCGCAGGCCGCAGGAAGCCAGGCGGAAGCAGGGGAAGGAGGCGGCCTCGCTCTGCTCCAGGCCCCGCCAATAAGAGCTGCCACGTTCCACCAGGGAATGGCCTGGTGGAACACGGCCGTCCCCCTTATGGCCGTCCCCCTTTCAGAGGCCACATAATCGATCCGGGGTTTGGACCCTTGGCCCAGACGGGCTGCTGGCCGGGAGACTCAAACGCTCAGCCCAAGCCCGCCACACAGCCTGCTTGCCCGACGTACGTCTTGCGCTGATCCGCCAACGAGCTGCCTCTCGTCTGCGCGAACATGTCGAAGTCATCGCGGGGGTTGGCGGGCTGGAGGGAGCTGAGGGTCCCACTCACGTTGTTTGTGCCCAGATCTGGACAGGTACAGGGAAAGGAAAGTCTGCCGACAGGAACACAGCACCGTGTATCCCCCTTTGGGGCATCCCCCCCGATTCCAAAGGGTGAAATAAATGCCCAAGGACAGATTGCTTTAAGCTGAAACAGGGTGTTTCTTCACCTCATCCCTCTTGCTTTGGTCCTCTGGCTGCAGAAAGAGGTTCTGCTCCAGGACACAGAAGGGTGGATTGTGGTGGCCACAAATCTGCTTGCACAGACTCCCCACAAGGGAAAGGCATGGGGGGCACTTAATCTCTCCTCTGCCACCCACTTTGCTCCTCCAACTCGCCCTCCTTGTGTCTATGCAGAGCTCGAGTTCCACAATTTGCAAAGAAAACAGAGATCTGGCTCATCTCTGAGCCCATTGGGAGAAAGTGCATGCGGGGGCGGGGGGTGCTTGGAAGAGTGTGCGTCTCTCCTGTTTGAAAACAGACCCTGTACCTGAGGATGGAAAAAGACCCTTGCATTCAAGAGCAAGAGCAAGGCAAGGCAAGTGCTGAGGTGGAAGATGGAGGACAAGTAAACACGGCTTGTTCTTCCATCGCTAGACATGGCCCGTCTCCTAAGCTGAATTATAACACCGAATGTATTTGCGTGCCAAAGGCCTCTGGAATAAGCCTTAACAGCAAACATGCCTCGATACAGCCCCACGAGCTTCTTCAGAAACTCTGACAGCTCCAAAGGCTGGCACTGTGGACTAGCCTCATACCACGCCCATCCGCAATGCCCACTTGCTCTTCAGCAAGAGGAGGAGACACAGCAGCAGCAGACGACGATGACGGCGGCACACTCACCTAGCCCGGCGAGTTGGGAGGACAGCGTAGCGGCCGGGGTGGTGCTTCCAACCATGGGGCTGACCACTGCCGGGGAGCCAGGGCCCAAATCTATCAAGTTGTCTTCACTCACCTCGCCCAGGACCTGTCGGGCCACGCAGGATAGCAGGCGCTGTCACACAAGCTCGGAGCCTCCGGTCAACAGAGAACGTGACCACAAACCAAGGGGCTCCCTACAGAGCCCCAGAGGAAACACGTGCTCCTCCCTCAACACCCAGTATGGGATCTGACATCTAGAATTTCTAGTCCTCATGATATAGGCAAGATGCTGCGGAACATGCGCCACTGCCAGCAAAGCCTTGGGAGGCAGGGCCGGCAAGGGCAGCTGTCCTCAGCTTAGTATGCTCGAAGTTTCAGCTAGAGAGACGGAGCGACTTCCTAGCGGTGAGAACTCTGGGGCTGTACGACGGAGAGCCTGGGGAGGTGGGTGGGGCTCTTCGCGAAAGACACTGATGCAGTCGGTCACTTGCCATGATGCCCGCAGCAACTGGAGGACTGATGACCTCCAGGGTCACTCACACTCTCATTTTTAGAACTGAACTTTTATTTATTGACCGCTAGCGTTGTACACACCTTGAGGGAGCTCCTGCCCTGAAAGGCAGCCAAGGAACAGCATGAACAATGGTCTGAGCACAGCCAGCAAGCGGACGGCAGCCCGTCTGATTTACCACGTAGGAAAGCAACTGATTTAAGCCCCCCAGGGTTCTCCACCAATCCTGCCCAGTGCTGGGGAGCAGCGTATTGCAGCCACGCTCCAGAGGACGGAGGCCCGGCGGGAGAACTTACCCCGTTGCTCGCACTCTGTGCAGAGCGGCCCAGCCTGTAGCGTTCAAACCTGTGGCAGACAAAAAGCGGGGGGGGGGTCACAGAGACGGCACGTGGTGACCCCAAAACAGGGGCGCCCTCAGGTAGGATCGGTCTCCAGCCCCCAGCGTGGGTGCCTGGTGCATGCTGCCGGCTGGAGTCCAACATGGCTGGAAAAAACGCGGGAGGGGAAGGCTGAGCCTGAGGCCGACCCACCTCCAGCTCTGAGGCCCCATCGGCATGGCAGCGTCCCCAGCACACCACTCTTAACACGCAACGAGGACTTGCAATAAGCCAACGGCCACAGGAGGTTCTCTGAAGGGCCCCCTAACCTACGGAGTAATTCCTACACTCATGCGCGCCGGGAAAATTCGCTTCTGCTCCGGCAGCTCATTGGGACGACAGCTGAGCAACCGGGGCCTTGCCTTGACGCCGAACCAAGACCAAGCATGCAGCCGGCTGAGCTATTATCCGTGCCGCTGCCCAGCGCATTTACAAGACTCCACGCCGTGGTACCTTCTATTTGTAATCTTCCCCAGGAGACGTCCCGGCCACAAATAATCATTTAACGGCAGAGCTGACCAGCCGTTCATGAGCCTTCTCGACTTGGCCGTCACCAGCTACATGGTTTAAAAATCCCACTTTGTTCTGCAATCCCTCCAGGAAAATCTGCTGCACTGAGCGGAGGGGAAAGCTAGGCGCCAGGGAGGAACGACCGGAGGCGCAGGGCTGAGAGGTTTGCAGGGCAAAGCGCGCTACCTCTCGTATCTGAGGAAGACGTTGTTCAAGTCATCGTTCACGTGGAGCAGCTCTTCCGTCACCTCCTCATTCGACACCCGGGAGATGAGCTCAACGACCCTCTGCTGCATGGAGCGGCAGGTGCGGTTCAGCTCCTGGAGGAAGGAAGGACCAGGCCGTGACGCGCGCAGAAAGCGCCCGTGGCTCGCACCACGGGGACGCCGGCTGCCTTCTCGGCAAAGGCTGAGCCAGCGCAGCCCAGCTGAGGGCCCGCCCAGGCTGCGCAGCACCCGCTGGGCTCTGGCAACACCACACGGCACGACCGGGGTGTACGGACCAAAGCGGACCTTATTCTACGGAGATCTGTCCCCTGCCTCGTGCCGTATGTAGCCAGGGGGAAAGGCAGTGGGGTCGACTGCTAGGTGGCTGCATGACTCTGTGTACCGTGCCCTGATGACAAGGCCTGAGCTGCTCCACAAGGTATCTACAGCAGGGCTATAGGGCAAAGCGAGAGGCAGTCCCTGCCACACTTCAGTGCCCTCAAACGCCACCAAAGAGGTTTACATCAACAGATGATGGACAGATATAGTGCTTCTGTGCATGTGTATGAAAAACATGATGCCCAGCGTGTTATGGAGCACACAAACCATCAGAGCTGGGCTGCTTGCACGTCCAGCTATTACGCAGCCCTAAAAGGCTCACATCCAGCCTGCAAATGAACAAGATTTGATCTCTGCAGTTTTCAGAAAGCCACTTTCCCTCCATATTTCCTTAGAGTTATTTTTTCAGGAGCCTGCAGCCTGGAAAGGAGGGCTGCACGGCCCCCGATCTCCTGAGGTTGCCCACGTCTGACGTTCAGCCAGGGCGGTGCAGAGTCTATATCAAGTCAGGATGCAGCTCTGTGCAGAGAGGTCCCTTCATGTCCACCGGTCAATTCTTGTTCTATATGGACCAGAAGGGAGGAGCACGTGGATCAGCACAAGCGCAGCCCCTCAGACACACTCGTTCGCATGCCGTCTCCTCTGGTCAAACAGATCTTGCAGGTTTTTGCACCAAAAGCAAGGCGTGAGGTCGTGTACTCACACCGGGGGAAGTGAAAACACTTTTGCATGACCAGCACCTTCCGCTATGGAAGTGATATGGATAAGAGTCAGCAAAGCCAGGGCAGGAGGGAAAAGGAGCAGAAGCGCCCCGCGTCACGAGCTGGGAACAGCGGAGTTCAAGGGACTTACCTGCAGTAACTCAAGGTCCGAGGGATCCTCCTGTCCTGGGACCATTTCTGTGAGCATCTCAGACATCACCTTCGTGTTCCCACGGACGACATCCAACTCGCTGCGCAGCCGGGCGATCTATCAGGGTGGGGAGGGGTGCGTTTCAAACAATACTCATGGATTGCTCAAAGACCTTTCTAAGCAGTGGACCTCCCCCTCCAACCGGCTCCCCAAAAATCTTTGCACGGAGGATAAAATTGCGTTCCTTGCAATGGCTGTTGTAAAAGGTAAGTTTTCAAGAGGTATCGAAGCCCCAGCAGGGCCGGCAGCTGCCTGGTTTGGGGAGGTGGGCACTGCAGCAGGAGGCCCCTGTCACGAAAGGGTCTCTTCTGGGCCATGAGGGACCAGACCTCCAAAATCTTGAGCATCGCCAGGAGGCGCTCAGCCAATGAAGGGGCCAGCGGGGAACTGGGCGATCTCTGAAGCATCCTTCTCCTGAGGAGTTCAGCGCTTCGCAAGCGTGTACCAAGCCGTGCCCGAGCCCCGCGGCCTCGGGCGGCAAACACGATGCCAGCAGCACAGGTGCGACCTGCTGCTACCAACTTCGCCTCTGGAAGAAGCCGGAAGCCGAGCAGCCCCGTTTGGCCCTGCGCAGGCGAATACCTGCTCCGTATTTGCTGTGATGGGGCCAGTCATGTTCAGGGCCGGGGCCTGCGGAGTCACAAAGGCCGTTGGAGAAGGAGCCGAGTACGAGCCGGAGCTCATCCTTTGCTGCGACTGGGACCTGGGCATGTTGGCCGCGGGATCGACCTCGGGGACGCTCTGGAAGGGACCAAACGCAGGCATGCTCAGAGGAGACACCGCGCCCCGGCAGCCCCCCGTGCTCCCCAGCTGGCCCTGCCCTCTTCCCCCAGCCACTGGCCTTTCGGCGTTTCCCAGCTTTCGTTCAGTTCCTCCCCAGTCATGGCCCCCAAGAGCTTCCCCAGAAGAGAAGCGGACCTCTCAAGTTCAGGGGGTTCAACACCCCCAGCGCAGGCCAAGGTGCGCAGCGAGACACAGGGCGTGTGATCACTAGCCCCCCCCGCCCCTCTGCCGGCCCCTAGTATCCAGTGGTAGGCGACCTGGGACCATGAAGGACCTGCTTAGCAGTCCCAAGCAGCAGAAGTGGGGGGGTTTCTCCTCCATTAGGTGGGCCACCCCTTTCTAAACGCACCGAAGGTGCTGGCTCCACACACACCTGTCCTACTTCGCTTCAAGATCACGGGAGTTTGTAGCATGGCCAGACGCTTTGGGATTTTGCTCCTCGGACAAACTGAGAAAAATGGCTTTCCCTTGTTTCCATCCAAACACACGCCTCATTTCTGTCCCTTTTAAAATTCATTCCCTAACTCAGAGAGGCTCGCGAGAGTCAGTAAGTCCTTCCTTCTTCCCCTCCTTTAACACCAGGGCAGGGTGGTCAGAAATCTGAGCTCCAGGGGTTTCGGACTTCAACTCCCAGCATTCCCAAGCGGTGGACATGCCGGGAGAGATCCCAAGGAACGGGAGTCGCAAACGGCTGCTGCTCTGCCTCCACCCGCCTCCGCGCTGACACAGATGCCGTGGCCTACTTACCCTCTGCGGCGTGTGGATTGGAGACAGCGCATCCAGATCAGCCATGGGGAATTCAACACCTTTCCTTTTGAGTTCTTCATAAATGTGCACCACCCCAGTCAGGTCGGGGCTGCTCCGGAACGCGTCCGCCCAGGCCTGCAAAGCAGACAGGCAGGGGATGACGGGGCTGCCGCGCAGCCGGGTTTCCTTCCGTCGTGAGAGGGGGCTCTGTGGAGGCTGGTTCTGGGTGGGCGCAGCGTGGCTCCGGCTCCGGCTGGGATCCACAAGCAAAGCCCCAAGCAGGCCAGCCTTCCCCAACTGGGGCTCCCTCCAGCCCTCAGTGGCAGGCGATCACAGCCTGGAGCGCCACTCTGCGAGCCTCGTGCCAGAAAGCTCTCCTGGAGGCCACTGGCCACAGCCAGAGCGGGACTGCAGGCTGGCGGAGGAGGAATGAAATGTCTGAACAGAGGCCAAGAAACGTCCACCCTCCACTGCCCCTCTGCACCCAGCACAGACAAGTAGAGGGCAGCCGGGTGGACGGCAGGAGGGCAGACGGACAGGCACCCTCTGTTCTCCCTCCGGCCTGTCAGGCCCCGGGCATTCTTGCGGCTACTCGCATCTGAAGCTGAACAATGTTCATCCGAAAGCCTCCATTACACACCGCCCTCTCTTCTGGCCCTTTGAGTCAAACGGCAACCCTCGATTTGGCAAATGGAGACGATCTTGAAGACTACCTGGTAGCCCCTGGAAAGCGGCATGCACGGTGTTTCTGCTGTTTATTTATTTATGCAATTTATTTACTTCTCATTCTAATAACCCCAAAGCAACAGGCAACCGCCAAACGAAATAGGATTGCACAGTGTCAACAAACAGGAGAAGAGCAGCACGGATAAACAGCTTAGACGATGCAATGAAACAAAAATATCGCCAGTGCCGCGGCGAAGCAGAGGGTCGGCACTGCAGCAGGGGAGCTGCTGTAAGGGAAGAAGGGTGGCAGGAACCTGCCCAAGAGGCAGGGGCCATGGCACCAAAAACCCACTTAAAAAGCAGTCATTAACAGCCCTGCATGCATCTAGCTCAGACACGTGGGCAAACAGCAACTCCCAGAACAATGGGCCTAAACGAGAGAAAGAAATTTAAAGAACCAGCCCCACAAGCGAAAACCACAAAGCAGGTGACATTTCTGCCATCTCAAACAAGTTCCACCGACAGATTCCCCCTCAGTGCTCACTTGAAAGCTATTCCAGCGACCCTGGAAGCCAAAATTCCGACCGCCTCATTCTCACAAAAGCAGCAACGGTAGAGTTAGTCAATCCACTTTCTCTCCTGCACCACCTGCCCCTCTCTCCCACCCTTCTCTCTCTCTCTCTCTCTCTCTCACACACACACAAAGTAAAACAAATTTAAAGGACAGGAAATAACAATCGCAATCAAAAGTTTACATGATCAAACTCACTTCTGCCCAAGAGGCGTACAAAGCAAGCCTTGCCGTGCATCTTCCACAGCCGGAGCTGAATGCACCTTTTCTTGTGTGCTAACGGCTCCATCTCCCAATAATGTTATTAAGTGCATTGATCCTGAATTGCAAAGGAGTTTTGGCCAATCCCACTGGAGTGGAAGCAGTCTGAGCTCTGCCTGGCAAGATTCTTGTGGGATCTAAAGAGATCCACATCCCAGGAAACTTCCTTTGTGGGAACAGAAGCATCTCTGTTGCGGAACTGACCCCTGCTTCTCGCAAAACACCCAGGCATTTGTTCTTAGCAAAAGAGAGGCCACAAAACCCCACTTGCACAGAACAGCAATTTAGACTTTGAGAGAGGCCACTCCGGCAGAGGGCTGATTTCTATTTAGCCGCTTCGCGGGAGAAGCGGCAGCGCGGTGACACTGTCCAAAAGGCCCTCATGTGGAGGCCGGGGTGGAGAATGGGCGCCGAACTGAAAGCTTTGCAACAGACCTGAATCAGCGCCAGAACCTTGTCCTGGACGATGGTGGGAGGGTTGCTCTTGGGAGAGAGGATCTTCACCAACACGCCATCGATGAAGTCACGGTTCGCCACGAGGACGTGGAAGCGGTGGCCACAATTCTTCACACAGGTCTCCAGCACCTGCGCCCAGAAAACACAAACACACGAGCGCATCACCGGTGGAGCGAAAAAGACGGCGCGTGCACACAGAGCACTCACCCACGCTGTGCGCTGCGGGACCCCTGGCCGCTGCGTCGTGGTATCAGTGCAGCGGTGCCACCACACCCCCGTCTGCTGATTACCAACAATCCAGACAAGGGAGCAACTGGCTGGTTGCTGGGCTGTCAGCTCTAAGCGGTTTAAGCCACGGGCTGCCAGAGCTTGTTCTCGCTTCTCACCGTTAGAGCCAGCATCACCTCTCTGTAGTTCTTGTTTCCATTCAGCCTCTTCTTCAGGGCTCGGATGGCATCCTTGGGCCTGGTGGGGAGAACAAAGGAAAAGGATTTCGTTTAAGAGGCAGGAAAAGGTTCTACATGCCTCATTATACGGGTGACCGGCAGCAACTCCCTGGGGTTTCAGGCAGGTGAGTCCTACCTGCTGAGACCGGCCCCGGGGGCTTTGGCAGGCGCCTGTGCGCTCTATAACCCCGAGCACCAGCATCCCCCTAATGAACGGAGACGCCCACCTGGCCATGCAGCCACAAGAGCACCTCTCCACCGCACAGTGCGAGCGCGTGCGCAGACACACACATACCCTTCTTCTGTCTCGTTGATGATGTCACATATTTCCATGTTAAGCGTCCAGTCTTCACTCTGCAGGGAGCCGTCTGTGGCCTTCTCTGAAAAAAGGAAAGAGAAAGAAAGAATCAGAGGCAGGCGGAAGAAGAATGGCAAAATCTACTGAGTTGTCACATCTTTACTCGCACAAGGCGAAGCTCACCAAGAGCGCGCAAGTTTCAAGGATGCTGCTGTGCCAGGCAACGCGCAACAGGAAGGGGGACTGGAGCGAGGGGAGCTGCATGCTTGGCATCGTGTGCTCAGGGGAACAGGCGCTCCTCCACCCCGAGGGCTGAATGCCATCTTGGAGAAGCCCTCGGAGCCACATTCCAGCCGTGGCGATAACGGGGCTAAAGGCAAAAGGCGCCCCTGCCAACCCCATCACGGCACTTTAGCTCCAAGAACCTACTGCCAGGTAGGAGAACCCGGACAGGCTTGATCCTGGGCCTGAGGTTCTAAGGAGTGGACGCAGTGGGGCACCAAGGGTCACCGGGCACAAGAAAACAGCTCTTCCATCTGGAAGATACAATGTCCAGCCATGAAGCGGGTTTTACTAAAGGGACAGCTGTGAGTTAACGCCCTCCCAAGCAGCAATGTTCTGTCTTCCCAAGCCAATTTCAACGTGGTTCACAGAGTATTCTCAAGAACACACTGAACCGAGAACGCGGAGGCTGGGAACGATGTGCCAGCCATGACCCAGCAGGCAAGACACGTTCAATGCAAGCGGGATTAACCAGGGTGTACAGTGGAAGTCTAGCAAGCATAACAAATACAGGTGGGACCCAACAAACTACATGGACTGGGCCCCCGTCTCCTTTTGATTCAGAAGGGGAAGAAGAGGTGGAGTCGGAATTCACAGCTGGAATGCCAGGGCCAACGGACCCAGGGATAAGCTCGGTGGTTGCTCAGAACCAGACAGTTCTGAGTTCAGTGGGAAATTCGAGCAAGCAAGCTGAGAGGTGCGGAGTCGGACTTGCAGAGAAGCAGCGGTTGTAACCTGAAATTGCGACCTTGACATGCTACGAGGCCCAAGCAAGTGGGAAGATGACAGTGGAGGCTGTGTTATGATAAACAAAGAACCGCTTGGACGAGGAGTGACTTTTGTACGCATTTATGAACCACTTCAAATTTAAAAAAAAAAGTTTTTCAGAAGATAAAGGAGAAGACAGCAATTTAAAGAAGCAGAAATTGTAACCAGAGATTTTAATGGGGGTGCGCAACCCAAGATTAGGTAGATCTTCCCTTAATCAGGTAGCTCACTTCCTGAAGTATTTGACTAGGGCTGGGTAAGTCCCGCTTGAAAGTCCCGCTTGGTTAGGAAGCTCTGGGCCAGTCACTGACACGCAGCCTAACAACACCGCACCCTGCCTCACACGGTTGTTAAAAGCATACAATGGAGCTTGGCGGGCTGCTCTAGGTTGCCCTGGACTCCTTGAAAGCGGAAAACCCAGGGCAGATATGTGATATATATGTTTCTACCGCAAAAGTCAATTTTAGGAACAATTCTTACAAAGCTGGCCACACTGACAGAAATGGCAATATCCGAGAAGGGAAATGCACAAGCGTTTTACTGGACAATCCTACAAGCAGATGCCACATTTCCTGCCAGGTTGTGCTGCACATACATTTCTCCCTTCGCCGGAGCACATGGTTCCTCCCTGGAGAAGCATCTTCCACCTCTTGAGGAGCAAAGGGGCAGCTCTCACAAAGCACAGGAGTCCCCCGCTCGAGAAACTTAACTTTGCAGGCCAAACCCTTGACACCAGCCCTGGAGGCATCGGAATATCAGCTGGCAAGGCTTTCAGAGGTATGATTGGGAAAAATCACGCCCAATTGCACGGAAATTGTCACGTGGGCAACTTCAAGTGAATGCTGCTGACCACTGATAAGGGCCTTCGCACCATTGTTCAGCCGGCTCCCTCCTTTTCAGAAATCCTACAAGGTCCTTCCTGTTCCCAATCTTGCTAGAACTGGAACTTGTCCCTGCTGGTTGGGTATGTAGAGGTGGCGATTATATAATAAATTAAGCACTTTCTAATTTTATAGAATTTGTATTGCTTTTGATGGTGAGACACTGCAAGCATCTGTGTTATTCAGAGGGGTACGAAATATTATAAAAACAAATGACTCGCACACTTCAGCTCTTCTCAAAGGTTTCTCTGCAAGGGTTGTGCAGGCCTCACTTTCACCTAAAGCCACTGCGTACTTCCAATTAATTTTTTATGTGAACCAGCGCCATTTCCTGGCAGAGACAGAACAACGCTGATGGGCTTACAGCTATATGTACGTAATAATTTGCATGAGGAGGGCCATCGGGTCTTGGCTGCAGGGATCTGAACTGAGAACAATGCAGCATGCTGAAATGGAACCGTTCTCTCTATTTTACAGCATAAAAAGGATAAAAAACTGCCATCAATGAATGCAACTGGCAAATAATGGCATCTTGCACGCTCAGCTGGGCCGAGCCATGGAAACACTGGACAAGCGAAGCACTGCGAAGCAAGGCAGGCTTTAGCCAAGGCTTTGCTCCAGAGAGAGACACCTGGCGATCGGCGGGGAGGGACTCCTTTCTCTGAAGTCTCCTGCCTAAACACTTCCACTCCCCCAGCCGCCTGGAATGAGGATGCCGTTCTTATAAGGTGCAACTCTTCTTCTACGGCTCTTTGTGCCTCTGGCCCTGGAAATGACCCTTCAACGTGTTTCATGGAAGTCTCTGAAAATGCCATTGATCCAGCGAGCTCACGGTGGACCAGCTGGACGCATTGGCTGCCTGCAGCTCATGAAGAGCGAAAGTGGGGGCATATTTGCAGTTGTTTGCCTGCTGCAAGGAAAGCGGAGCTGGAGGATGACATTCCACGAACGTCTAAGACTCCGGTCTTAACAACAATGGATCCAAACTAAGACTGAGCACTTGCTTCATCTGAGTCACTAAGTTTTATGTGACGCAATGACCGAAGTGACGGTTCTGAACATTCTTCAGAGGTCATGCTGGTTGGATTGTCCTGGCCTCCCCCTTTGGCTACCAGACTGAAACACCTTTGGTCCCGTAGGAGAAAGGCAGGATCACCAGCATGACACAAGAAACCGGCCTGTCCGAACCTGACTTCCTCCAGATGTATTGGACCATGATTTCCATCAACCCCAGTGGCATGCCATGTCTGGGGATGATGGGAACTGCAGCCCAACACATCTGGAGGGGACTGGGTTGGAAGGAGGCTGCAATAAACACACGGGGTCAACGCGTGCCTGCACCGTCCCCAGTGGCCGGGCAGCTCCCAGCTGGAGCGTGTCAGAGGGACAGCGCAAGCCACACATCCAGCAGGAGACACTTCCAGGAGCCTCTCGGAAGGATTTGGTGCAGCAACTGACTGCAGGAAGGATGGATGCGAAGCGTCTGTAAAGGCAAAATTCCTTTATGTGCCGCTTCAAAATGTATCAACCTGTTTGACCCCAGATCTTATCCTCTTTTACACTTATATTTTTTAAGTGGGAGGGTGCAGAACGAAGAGGGATGACTCGCCTTCCATAGTGTCACAGCATTCCTTTCAAACACGCTGAAGAAGGGGAAACACATAATTTGAATGCGGTCACAGCAAAGCAGATGACAAACAAGAGGATGAAATTATAGGTTCAGAGATCAAGGCCAAAATAATCTTTCACTTCCAGGTTCCTGTTAGAAATAGACATGGGTTTATATTTCTCTTCCTAATCACATCCTGCCTGAGTTACGATGGCCACAGGAAGCCTACCTGCTAACTCCATCTTTAAGGCTCTGCTGCCAGTTTGACAGCTGTTTACAAGCTGTGCGTGTTCCACTCCAAAGACAGAGCAGCAATACAGTTTGTGGATTTGGTCAGAACCATTACAGTTGAATAGAGAAGTCTGTGACAATGCAGTGCTTTCTAAACTGTGATTCTAGAAACTCTGGAGTTTTTTGAAATATCAGTTACTGTCCTTTTTCCCATCAGGAAGCACCCATAGACTGGCAGGGCCCAAGACAAAGTCTTTTCAGTGGTGGCTCCTCTGAAACTCAATTCCCAGGAATGACATGCCAGGATCAGTGTTTAATGAGAATGCTGAAGACATTCCAGCCTGCCTTTGAAAGGATTTTAAGCTGCTCCTTTTAATTAATGGCTTTGAAGTTGCAAGTTGCTGTCATTATGGGTGGGTATTTATGTTGTTAAGAACACTGCAGGCATTTCAAAATGTTTTTCTATAAGCTGCCTTATGTACCTTGCAAGCCATAAGCAAGAGGCTGCGCGTCAGTTGCACAACGCCTGCTTTACAAGCACAAGGTTCCAGCTTCAATCTCAACATCTCCAAGCAGGGCTGGGAAAGAATCTTGCCTGGAACCCCAGAGAGCCACTGCCAGCCCTGCCTCAGCCCTGGGTCAGACTGGGTATGAGACAGCCTGCAACGCTCTGAAAGGCAGGCCAGAAATCCGATTTTTTAAAAAGCTCATCAGGGGCTCCTCTGAATGAGACAATCATGACAACATGACTCGGGAGATGACTTGCACAATCACTGCTGTGAAATGGCACAGCTGGGCACCATCTGCGACACGCAGCTGTAAGCGAAAACGTGGCAGGCTCTGGGGCAGAGGAGGGCAGATGCAAAGCCTCCAAGGCCTAGCAGTTTTTGGAAGTGCCTACACCTGAGGTTCTCCGGATGTTTTAGCCTACTGCTCCACTGACTCTGCTGGTTAGCTCTGGTAGGAGCTGCAGACCCCATCCCTGGAGGACTAACATTGCCCCTGGGGAACCACAGCCAGGTGCCAAATAATGCTTTTGAGACATGCACACTCCCCCCCCCCCCCGGAATTAAGGGGCAGGAGGCATCTCAACATCTGCCCAGTGCATACGTTATTTTCAACACCAAAAGCAAGGCTGCAATTCTTACAAAAATCCATTCCATGTTTTCTCCCTGCAAGCTTTCTTAATTAGAGCAGCCTAATTTAGAAAGAAGCAGGGAAAAGCCTTTTAGCTGCTGCTGCTGTTGCTAAACCGCTGGGAGCCGGAAACCCTCGTGGACCTGGAACAAATCATCCAGAGTACATCCTAATCTACTTTCGGCCTGCTTTGCTGCAGGACATGCTTGTACTTCACACGGGTTTACAGAGACCTGCCAGCTCTGGCCGGCCACCCAGAACCAGCACCGTGCTTCCCTGCCACACGGAGGAGCTCCCGAGGACCGTTCCATGTGGAAAGGCTTCGTGGAAGGCGGAGAGTTTTATTTACTTAATTTCGAGCCTGCATACTTTACTTTTCTCTAAGCTTGGCACTCTGCAGAGATTGTTTTGTTCTCTGCTCATAACCAAAGAGGCCCTGAGATGTTCAGCTGAGTACAGAATTCCCTGCACCTTGTAACAGTTCCTGCACTGTCAGAAGACTCCTCGCAGCCATGAGAATCTCTCTGCTGAAATAAACAGACACTGAGACTCTTATTCAAGGCCAGCACGACAGCCAAACCATGAACATCATTTCTCCAACTCTCCCTGTGGTCCTTCCTTGCCCCATGCTGGACACCGGGCTTCCTGCTGCACAATGGCTGCCCAAAGCCTGGCAAACAGAGGAAGAGGCACACCTCAGGAACAGCCCCCCCCCCCCCAGTCAAAATTCAGCTGCAGAGCACCTCCACCATATTAATGACAGAACCAAGAGATGCATGCATGAGAAATGTGGCTGATTCTTCTGGTGCAGAAGAAAGGGAACGCACGAGGGGACAAGCCAGCCTTCTCGAGCCAGGCACCCTCCGGATGCGCTGCTTATCTGGGCCTGATGGGAGCTGCATTCCAACACCCCTAAAGGGTGTCAAGGTGGGGAAAGGCTGATAAAGATGAGCAAAGCAGCTCCCATCTTTAGGCTCCTGGGAACTACAGAAGCTGGTAGGGACCCATCCTGCTGAAAAACAGGGGCTGCTGCCTCCTTACCCTCTTTTTAATCAAGACGCACGCCCCTTTCCGATAAGCAAGGGCCAACACAGGCCTCACTGTGTTCTGCCCTTGCTCTCCAGTCCGCACCAGCACCCCCTCCCAGTTGTGCCCCTGCATACACAACTCTGCACACACCCCTCTCTCCCCCTGTAGCCCCTAGCCTTGCTTCCATCTCCAAGTTCTGTCCACCCCCGCCTTTCCCTTGCCCACCCCAACACTGTGCGCCACAGGGTGGCTCAGGGGTGCTGAGGGACAGCCGGCACCTTTGACCAGACTGTTATCCCAGCCCATCATCCGCAGCCACCCTGCTGCAGCGCTCTCCCCGAGCACGCAGCAGCTGCCGCCTTGCATCCGACGAAGGTCCACGTGGGCTCTGCCCAGCTCAGCATCCTCCATGCGTTTCCCCTCTTTCCCAGCAGCCACAGCCTTGCAGAGTCATGCGCTAGGCTGGCCCATGTAGTCCAGCATCCTGTCTGCAGGAATAGCCGGCCGGATACTTCCAGGAAATCCACAACCCTTCCCTGCTGTTTGCTTTGCAGTTCTAGAAATCGAATGTAAATCACCCAAAGAAAGATGAAAGAACGAACGGACAATGAACCAGAGGTATGCAGGTCTCCAAATATACCAAGGTCCAGAGTGACTAGAAGCCATTAGCCAGCAAGGCGACCCACCACGGTCTGCTGAGTCCTCTGGTGCTTGAAAGGAACCTCTCCATTACTAGTACTCGCCCCACCTTATGACAGCACCTGCAAGTTACGTTATTTATTATAGGGAGCTCTGTTACCTTTTCTGGCAAAGGGAGGTCAAGCATACTTTGCAAACCGATGTCACCAGGTTCTCACATTTTGACGGAAGCCTTCTGTAAGGCAATCACAGTTTTCCACTCTTACTTAGTCATTGCTTTTCAAAGCCCCGAAAACCATGACCTTTGCCTTCATCAGGAAGTGTGCTCACGACACACCCTTTTGTGAGGCAAATGCCCAAGAGGCTGTTTCTGAGATGATGGGGAACAAGAACTGCACACCCCAAACCCCTGTCAGGTTCACCCCATTCCCAGGTTGGCTCCATGCCAGAGGTCCTGCTACCAGATTTGTCTCTCACATCTAACACTCAGGGCTCCCTATTTCTTCTCCACCAAACCCACAGCCAGGCCCTGCCTCCCCTCTTCCTTAAACTGTGCCTCCTGCCGCCCATAACTTCAACATTTTGGGGGCAAAGAACAAGACCTGCTTGTAACATCACTATTCCCACCCCAATTATTACTCCCTATTATCTCACTATTACACAAGGAGGAAAGTTAGTATCCTCTAGACGTTTGGGACTTACAGCTCCCACCAATCTCCACCAGTAATCAAGGATAATGGGGCTTGGAATCCATCACATCAGCAGGGCACCAGGCTGGGGAAGGTTGCAGATCATTTGCTCTCTGCTACATTCATTTCCTCAACAACATGACTCCTTAACTTTTTTTTAAACCGTGCACGCAAGAAAGGAGGTGCTACTTCAGACTGCTCTCCCGTATCCACTTAGCTGACAGTAAAGCCCTTTGAACTGACTGATACTTGCTTGTGAGTAGCTATGCCTAGGACTGCACTGTAAGTTACAGATCTCCTAAAAAAACCCTAAGTCATGCTGTGATCTGTTTACAACCATTCAAAACAAGCCTCAACAGTGGGAGGGAACAGAATGACAAGCTATGCATGGCATGCCACAAGTTCCGGATGGGGCACATTAATTTACATGGAGACGCAGAAGGCAAACCCTCCATTTCAAACATATATACCTCAGGGGAAGAGGAGTGCTGAACTCCAGAAACTCCTGATTACAACATTTTGACAAGACATCCGCAAAGGCAAAACAAACACAGGGCCAAAATCTAGAAATGAGGGACTGCTATCACGTAACCACCAGTCCATATGCAGCACTGTATAATCCAGCCTTCCCCAGCCAAGCACCATCCAGGATGTGCTGGGTTGCAACTCATACTGGTCCTGACTGGGTAGGGAGGGACCTGCAGTCCAACACCAGCGGAGGGAGCAAAGCTAGGGAAAGCTGCCGTTATCGGTGAAGCAACTCCAGCTGGCCGGCGAAGCAACCAGTTGGAACAGGCTGGCATCCCCAGAAAGAAAACCGGATGGCACAACCCCATGGAGGTGGAGGTTGGCTCCGGCTCCCGCTCAGACAAACCCCGCGGATTCGTCTTCCGTCAAAGCCGCAGGGCCCCGAAATGCGACAGGTGAGGCCTCCACCCTGCGGAAGCTAAGCAGGCCCGGCCGGCCAGAGCTTGCGGGGGGGGGGACCCCTGGGCGCCGCAGGGAGCCCCCTTGAGTTCCACAACAGGAGGAAGGTTAATTTATATCGCTCATTTATATTATTTTATGGAAGTTTATTTATGGATGTGAGCCGCCCAGAGGCTTCGGCGAATGGGGCGGCACAGAAGTCCCCTAAATAAATAAATAAATAAATAAATAAAAGGTGGGATACCATATAACCGACCGACCGACCGAGGCGGTCCATCGCAACAGATCTAAGCCCTGGCCGGCGCGGCGACCGCCTCGGCTTCGGCAGAGCCGCACGTCCGTCCACCTTTGCATTTCGGCGCCAGGCCAAGCCCGTGCTCCAGGCTCGGCCCTCCGGCGCTGCGCGAGGGGGCTGCGCTCACTGCCGCCCGGGGGCTGGTGCGGCGGGACGGAGGAGCGGCTCGCGACGCGGCCTGCGCAAGTGTCTCGAGGACATCGCTTCTCCGAGGAGGCGGCGGGGATGCCCGAAGGCGCCCCGGCCGGGCCCTCGACTGGGACCCAAGGCGAGCCGGGGCGGAGAGGGCGGCGCTCCCCCGCTGGGGCCGAGCGGCGCCCCGCTGCCCCCCCTCCGCCCCCGGGTGCCCCGCGCTCACCGAGGCTCTGCCCCACCGGGGTGCTGAACGGGTTCCCCAGCAGGAACTCCATCTTGGTCCGCTGACAGCCCGCCTCCCGCCCGGCCTCGCCGCCGCCGCCGGCGCGTCTCCTATCTCGGCCACCGTCGCCCCGCCTCCTGCTCCTCACCGACAGCGGCGCGAGCCAACCGGAACGCAGTCCGTCCCCCAGCGTCTCTGGGGGCGCTTGCTCACTGGCCGTCGTGCGTGGCAATCGCGGCCGCGCCAGGCTGCCCCACCTCCTCTCTGACGGGCGTCGGAGCGCAGGAGGGAGGGGAGGAGGGCAAGGCGGCCTGAGCCCGCCTCCCGAGCCGAGCGATTGGATAAGGCCTCAACCAGACCCTGCCGCCGATGGGATAATACTTGCAGAGCGTTCGGAGAAGGCGTGTGCCGAGGAACCAATCCAGGTGAGGAACGGCTGTTTATGCGACTTCCCATTGGCGGCTCGGCGCCGATCGGAGCAGGAACGTGATTGCCCGCAGGCGTGCTCCGTGACAGCTCGCGTGATGACGCAAGCGAAAGGGAGGGGCTCGGATCATGTGACCCGGCTTAGCAACAGCTTTCCTGGCAACGGCGCTCGGAGGGTCGTTCGTCCGCCCGGCGCTGCGAGGGGAGCGCCCGGCGGGGAAAGGCGGCGGCGCGCTGGGTTCGACTCCCTTGGCCGCCGAGACGGGCACCTGACGCGAACAGACCGGTGGAGTGTGGCTGGCCCACGGAGCGCACGGCGCTGGGTGTTGTTTGCGCGACAGGCAGACATTCAACTGGTACAGCTGCTCAAGTTCGGCCGTCGGGAGCTCCGCGTCGGTTTTAGCTCATCCAGGTCGGCCTCTGGATCCAGCTCAGCAGTGCTGGCTCCCAGCTGGGGGTGGGGGCTAGAAAAGATGCCTTCACCCCCCCCCGCTTTCTTACCTCTTACCCCCTGCTATGCAAACTTGGACTGGGCAGATTAAAAAGTGGGGGTGCAGCAGGTTCTTCTCCCACCCCCACTAGGGTGGCTATGTACGAACTGCCCAAAGAGCATCACTAAAAAAGAGAAGACAGAAAGGAGATGTGAATTGCAGAACATTTGTATTTGCTAAGGTATAGGTATATATTTGTTTTTAATTATTCATTTTCTGTGCTTCTCAATAGCTGACATTCTCTGGACAGTTCACAGCCTTGCACATCACAATATAAGATAATAATATTACATATAGTATATTTAATTTTTAGATATTTATACCATGCACAATTTAAACCAGTCTAAAGTATAATCCTCCGCAGGGCTGGATGGGGATATAGTGTGTGTTGTAAGCCTTTTTCTGTGTAAACATGCGTTGGATTATGCCTTTAAACAGCTAACACATTTACAATAAGATACTGGCCTTGACAGAAACAGGTGCAAGTTTAGAAGTAATTATTACATACATAAAAATACAGGGCATTGCACCCTAGTAGAGAGGGCTGTGGCCAGGTAAACTGAGTGCTTGCTGTCCAGGTGTTCTTGGCGTGTCAACAGTTCCTGTGGTTCAAAAAACCAGAATTGCACAGCAGAGGTTTCCAAACGGAGCTCTGCGAAAGAGGATGCCTGGCCACCTTCGTGTGGGCTTGGCAGGTCTTTGCACTAATGCTGCCTTTGAAACGCAGAAGGGGGGCTGACGCATTAGCTTTCTCTCTTTCCTTGCCCCCAGTGCTATTCAGAGCTTGGTTTCCATGTCCCCAAAATTAACCATCTAAGCCATTTCCAGGCAAGGACAAGGAAGCAGCCTAAATGGTGGATAATTACATGGTCTGCCTGTGATGTGGACAGATAGTCCTTATGCCAGTTGTGCTGTGCGGGGTCTCTGGGTGCCTTCTGCCTTTGAATGAGATAGCATCCCTGGCTATTACGTGTCATTCCATTTCAGTGCATGCAACGGGGCAGAGGAACCAGTTTGATTTCTAATCCCGAGGGCGCTTTTCCTGCTAAAGATGAGTCGGTTGTATGATAGCATAGAGCCCAACGTAATCGATGAAGAGATGCTGCAGAGAGCTGTCGAAGAGCAAGGACCTCGGGAAGAAGCTGGATTGTTGGCCAAAAAAGAAGGGATTAATTTCAGAGATGTGAAAGAGCTGCAACTTGATTTTAGAAGTAAGGATTGTAGGATGAAATAGGGCCTTATCTCTGAAATAAATAAATAAATAATGGGCCCTTTTATTACAAAACCCTTATTACACTGAGATTTCCCTTGTGGCAGTCTGTGATGAACAACTGTGCTTTGGCAGTATGGTGAAAATGGCTGCATTAACAGAAAAAGGATGTTGTAAATGCATTCTACTGTTTGTGCCAAGTCTGGAGGATGTCTGAGAAGCAGAATAGAAAGTCTTTTTAATCTGAACCAAAGAATCTATAGCATGTCTCCAAAGAAAGCCTGCATGTTTTATCCCCTATTTGAGGCTCCATCCACACAAATGGATGGAGCCCAGCTCGATACAAGACATTCATCCAGCCGAGCGATCGATTTGCATCCTGGGTCCCGTCTCCCATTTCCTCCTCTTGTCTCCTTTGCATAACAAATTTTAAGAGCTCTGTCCCCTCAGGGTGGGGCCTGTCCATTTGTATTTCGTAAAGTGCCATGGTTGTTGGTAGTTTCGTAGCAATGATTACTATTAATCATCGGTAATCATAGTGCAGTTTTAAAGCCGGTCGTATCTAAATTCAGGAGCCATTTGTTTTCTCCCGTGGTTTCAGATATCCTGAAGATTGACAACCTTTGGCAGTTTGTGAACCTGACAAAACTGCAGCTGGACAACAACATCATTGAGAAGATCGAGTCGCTGGAGTGCCTGGTTAATCTGGTCTGGCTGGGTAAGCGGCGTGCATTTCGGGCCGTGTGGAGTGCTGTGAAATGCCGCCGCGGAGAGCCCCACAGAGACTGTGTGGATCGGTGCGTGCGCCCCTTCGCGCCTCTGCCCCAGCTGCTGATAGCACACGTGTGCAGTTTGGAAGGGATTCCCCTGCATGAGTTGTATAAGGGGAGAAGCGATCCCAGGATGCCTTGCCCCCCCCCCACCCTCCCCTCCCAGCTTGACGTGAGGATCAGTAAGAAGTTCCACTTTGCTCTTTACCAGGATTTATGCTGCCTGCACAAGACCGAGATTGCTGCCATGATCTCTGAACACAAGCCCTCTGTCCCCACCATCAAATGGCGACCAGGGGGAGCAGGGCGCTTGACATTCCTCGGAGGACGCTCCGTGACTTAGGCCATTATGCTGATGTGCCTGATGAGAGGACGCTCTTGTTCCAGCCAAACTGACCCCCACTTTGCTCCTGCCTCGGCCTCTTTAAGAGGCCGAATGACCTCACAAGGGTGGCGGTCACTTGTTCAGAGAAGGCCGTGTGCCTCGGAGAATAGGCAGCCTTGAGAGCACGGGGTGTTGTGGGATTCTTTTTCTGTCTAAACATCCATAGGGTGGGTTGGACGTTCTCCTTGCTGGATCTCATGCCTTCTCCATTCTTCTTCTGTTTCCCAGATTTGTCTTTCAACAACATTGAGATCATCGAAGGCTTAGACACTCTGGTTAAATTGCAGGACCTTAGCTTGTTCAACAACAGGATCTCCAAAATTGAGAATCTGGATGCACTGCAAGAACTGCAGGTCTTCTCTATAGGAAATAATGCTATCCAGACCCTGGAAAACGTAAGGATTTAAGGATTACACCTTACCTACACTGGCTAAGGTCCTATGTACTGTCCTATGCAGTAAATCCCTCTGCATGCAGTGAGGCCTTCTTCAGACTAGACCCGCCACTGCTGCTACTCTTCCTGCTCTCCTGCGCAGACCTCTGGCAGATGCGGTGATTTCCATATTGCAGGTGGGGAACCGAAGTTGAGAGGCAGGGACATGCCTGCTCAGTAAGCCACTGCCTGGACGTGACTTTCAGTTGGGGACAAGCACTCATTTATCAGTGATACCTAACACAGCCCCATATATAGGCTGGCATTACGATTGCGAGTTCTCCCACAGGGGAGGCATTCCAGGTGCAGCTGCATAGCCATCTGCTGGGATGCGTTAACGTAGAGCCCTGCATTGAGCATGGGCCGGACCTGATGGCTTTGTTGTCCTCTTTCAGCTCTAACTCTTCTAAGATGGCAGCATTGCAGGTGGGGAAAGGTGGGAGAGCCGTGTTTTAAATAAGCAGAAGTATCTTGCTCGGTGCGCTGAGAATGGCCCCTTAAGCAAACCCATCACGTTGGTACATAAGGAGGGAGGGAAGGCCAGGGCAAGGCATACAAGCTGCCCTTTAGGCACTTACCTGCCAGTCAAAGGCCCGTTCATCCTCTCAGGCCTTTTAATCCTTTGTATATCATGCTGTGTTTTAACTTTGCACTTTTAAGTCTTCTGACACGTGCATCTGGCTCCCCGGATTGTGTATTGGGCTGTTTCTGCCTTTTTAACATAGCCTTTGGATTTTTTTCCTTCATTTTTCCTGTATTTTGTCTTGAGTTCTTTTAACTATAGGAAGCCTTCACAAATGTTTGAATTACATACAAATCTGCCATGAGTAAGGTTCCACTCAAACGTTTCCAAAACAACTTTGGTTTGAAAACCACTGACCTCATGAATCAATTCAATGGCAGCAGAAGTTACAGCGGTTTAGTCAAGATGGTGTTCTGCTCCATCTGTCTTCGTGCCAGTGAGACACGCTTGTCCTAGCCATACTATAAAGAAGCAAAGAGGAGAAAGTAGGAAAAGAGCAGGGCCGAGACCTGAGGAGTACTGCCCTTCAATAAATAGCGACCAGGGGAGTTGGAACGGGCTTCAGGGAGGGAAGGCTTTGTGTGAAGTGCTCTCTTTTAAGCTTCCCCCTTCTTTGTTTATTCTTCACCTTCACTGTGCACAGTAACTTCATTCAAGAGTTTCATGCGTCTCAACACAGGTTGTTTCAACATTCAAGAATGTAGTTTGGCCGCATTTGTTTTTGGAAAACAAGAGCTGCCAGCTACAGGAGAGATCACCACAGAACCTCACCTCAAGCTTGTAAGGCCCGTGAGGTGCGACATTTGCAAAACAGAAACTAGTTCAGCCAAAAGACCACCACACCCCCTTTTAAAAAGTGTTTCTGTGAATATTCGATATGGTGATTTGGTTCTTTTCCCTCCTTCGGCACAGATGATCTATCTCAGAAAGTTCAAAAACTTGCGCACATTGAATCTTGCTGGAAATCCGGTGTGTGAGAACGAAGTGTATGCCATGTTCATTGCTGCCCACCTGCCAGATCTCGTATACCTGGATTTTAGACTGGTGGAGGACAACATGGTAAGAGCTACTTTAGCTTTCCTCTGTATTCAAGAAAGCTAAAAATTTCTCTGAATCAATGACCAAACAACCTTTTGTCCTTGCTTTACTGTCAGTAATATTTATCCCATCTTTCTATGAATGGCAACCAGAGCAATGCATGAGTTGCAGCAAAGGAATACAAAATAATAAAATGACGTATAAAAAGGCACAAAGATAAAGGGGCAACGCATAAAGAGAGGTGTGTCAGGGCATCAAAGTCAAGCCATTCCCCCAGATTCCCCAGGGACCCAGTCTTAAGCCTGTTCTCCGAATCCCTCGGTTGGCTGACCCCCACAGCACCCCGCGTTGTGCGATGAGAGCTGTTGATCCTAAGCCATACGTCTTCCTTGGTTTTCCCCAGCGAGAGATGGCCTTGATAAAGTACCAGTATGCCATTGAGGAGATGAGGCAGGGCGAAACGCTGGCTCTGGTCAAGCAGGAAGCCCTGGAAGCCAGGGAAAAAGAGGTGGAGTATCATAAGGTACGTGCCTTTTGACTGGTTGTGTGTCGTGGGACTGTAGGGAGAACCCAATAGGTCCCGAGCCTCTTTTTAACCCCCCTGCTGCCATGCCCTGACCGGAGGAGCCCTCCTCAGAGGAGGCTGAGCTTCCAGAGGTCAAGAGCACTCAGGAACGGCCCATGCCAGAGAAACGGGAGTCCAAGCATGCAGCTGGTGGTGGCAGGTCCATCCTTGCAAGGGGCACGGATTCTGCCCCTGGGGCAGAGGCTGAGCCTTCCCCGGGCCCCAGGAGCACCATCATCTCCAGGGGCAAACCAGTACGCTCCTCTGAGGAGGAGCGCTTGATTACAAAGCAGGGCTCCCCCTGCTCAGAAAAGGAGATGACCTCTCATGAGCAGGAGACTTGCCAAGGGGGGTATAAGGAACTAGAAGCTGGGCCCGGCGTGGGAGGGGCTGCAGCTATTCTCTCCTGAGTTGGATGCTCCACCGAAGAGGTCCAGGGTCCACAGTCCAGCTCGTTCACTGCCTGGTCACAGTATTCGGAGGACGCCTGAGCTGTGGAGGGGTGCTTCATATTTTGGGGATATCTGGGTTTTCCTGTGCTTTGAAACAGCAGGTGGTTCCTTCTGCAGCCGCCGACAGCAGACAGTTCTCTGTTAGGACAGTCAGCGTGCTGTTTTGATGTCGGGGACAATTCTGGTCTGAGCTTTCCTCAGACTTATAAAAAAAATTAAGGCACAAACCCCACGCGCTTCATTATCTTCCCTTCTACCACACTGCTTCTTTCTCAAGTCGGCTTACGTGGAGTACCTGAATGGGCCCTTCCTGTTTGACAGCATGTACACCGAAGATTCTGAAGCATCCAAGCTGCTGTACCTCCCTGGAGTGCCGGAGCTGCTAGAGATATATCCTCCCTGGCCTGGGCAGACCTGCCGATAACCTCTGAGAGCGAGGGCGTTCACCGAGGGGGTTCTCTGCTGGCACAGGGAGGATAGATGGCACCCCAAAAAGCGGCTTCCCACTGTGCCTTCTGCACTGAGGGTCCTGAGAAAAATGAATAGGCTCAGGTGGGGGAAAAGCTACCTTCTCGCAGAACAGGCTGTCTGTTGATGTGGGGCACTGCTTATCTTCGGGAAAGGTTCTTCTCATCCGTAACTATTTCGCCCCCGTACACTGGTAGCTGGAGAACTGGGGTGGGGGGGTGCTGATCCACTCCCGCCCTGCTTGGGGGCTCCCCCCAGGCAGCTGCTTGGCCACTGGGTGCACAGAGTGAGGGAGCGGGTGGGCCCTGAGCCTGATCCAGCCTCAGGGCTCTTTGGTCGCACGAGGTCAGGAACTCATGAAGTCGCTCTAACACACGAACACGGCTTTTCTTCTCACATACAACCTGGTTCTGTCCTTGACTCCGGTCTCACATACAAGACCAAGTTCGTTGCCATTTGCCAGAACCTGTTCGAGTACGGTCTGAAGCAGCACGAGAAGCGAGAGGCCGAAGTTACACTCTTCTATGAGTGTCTTCACGAAGCCCTGGCAGAAAACCAAGAGCAGGGCACCAAAATCATGCAGGCCTTCGAAGAGAAGAATGAGGGGGTACGTGAAGGACAGTTTCCCTGGCATTTGCCGAGACGCTACCGAGAGCTTCTTCGGAAGTTCGAGGAGAGAATCGGTTCTGTGAATAAATGCGTTAATTCGCTCCCTGTTGAGCTGGTGTGGGACTGTCACTTCCTTAAAGAGCTTCTGGTTCCGTAGAACATAGTTTGAAAGACCCTGTAGGTGTTTGTGAGGACTCCGCAGGCCCGCATGTAACCAGTGCGTGGGGTTCCTTCTCCACTGGCGGCAGCTGCTCATCGCAGGCTTTCACGGCTCCCACAGGTGCTCGACAAGATTCAGAGCATCAGCGACACCATGGTGGCAGAGGTCAAGCTGACCGAATACAACGAGGATATCGCCAAGCTCACAGAGACGCTGATGACCCTGGAGATGCAGCTGGTGGAGCAGCTAGAGGTAAAGCGAGACCCATTCTGGAGAATCTTCCTAGGGAGGCGTTTTGTCAGGAACAGGCAGCGGGTGGTCTGTTGGGGGAATACGGGGAATTCCTGAGGAGCCATCGGGGGCTGACTCACAGCCTCGGCCACAGCGCTGGGCCCGGTTACTGGACAACCGGTTTTTCTCAGAGAATGCCTCTTAAGGGGAACCTGTGTGCTGGGGGCCTAGTCCGGCCTTCCCGAGAGGCCCAGAGAGCCATGCCCCTCCACCAGGCCTCATCCCCTTTGCCCCAACCACTGGCCACAGTGTGCAGCTTGTCTTCCCTCCAAGCGATTTGAAAGGCTTTGCTGCTGGCGCAAAGAGCCTTAAGTTGCAACGTGCCTGTACCATTTGCATCTGGCTGCCGTGCCTTTGGTGTCTGAACCCCCCGCTGAAAGACTTGAGGCAGTGAGGAGCGGGGAGGCTCTGCCCGAGACCTCTGGCACACTTTGCTCCTTCCCTGCTCTCCGGTACCTTTCACCGAGGAGACCGTGAATACGAGGCAACTGATAACGGGAGACAGAGATTAGTCTGCATGGTTATAGGCCAGTTCTGAGTTTACAAGTTGCAGCATACTTCTGAGTTGAACTCGCCCTCTCCTCCTCCCGGTGCCCCCTGCCTTTTCTTTTCTTGTTAAGGAAATCATCAAGGATTTCGAAAGGAACATCTTGGACCTGGTGTCAATTTTCATAGAAAACGAACAAGGACTATATCCTTTGGGGTGCCTGTTGCCAGCCCAGAAGTGTAAATTGCAGCAGGCGGTGTACGTGGGGTTGCGAATGTTGGCTCACATGCTGCCCCGTGTCACGTGGAAGTCCTGGATCCCTTTCAGGTTCAGTTCCCTAAAATGCAGGCCTTCTCTCTGCTCTTCGTTCCCAGTTCTGTCTGAGGCCTTTCTGGGACGTAACACTGTGAAACAATAGCACTTCTGTCCACGACCTGGTCCTGGAGGCCCACTTTGAAAAGCAAAGATGAGGGGAATGAGTGGTCTCTGGCCGCGTCTTCCCAACCCTGGCCGGGGGACTGTGGGAACTGCAACCCACACATCTGGAAAGTGCCGACCCTGCAAAGGCTGTGCTCTCTGTACCCCCCTAAGGCAAGCTCTGTTGCCAGGCTACCACGTCTGCCAATCAAAATGCAAGGAGCTTGGAAGTGGGGCTGGAGGCCAGCAGCATCCTGGCGTGGATTTTGGCTAAGGACTTCCGGGTGCTGATCTACAATGCTTTTGTTGCCACAGTGCTTACAAATCCTGTTTGCAGGATGCCCCTTTTGATTGGACACGGCCCAACATGGGAAGAAACCTGGCAGTTTGAAAGCACTTATTTGAATATTTTCCCCTGCACTCTTGCAAAACAGCAGGGGCTTTACATATCTTACGGGTGGGGGGGGCGCAAATTGGATAACCCGGGCAGGGTCCTGCCAAGGCCTTTATGACAGTTCTCCTGGCTGTGGGGAAGGGAGCAAGAGCCAGTTCCCCTGCCTTGATTTTGGCCGCGGTGAGTCAGTGGGTGAGGCCTGTCTGACTAGTCCTTCAGTTGTTTGCACATTTCGGAGGATGTTCCCTACTAGTGCGCAGGAGCACATGCCATGAGGCCAAGCCCTCCAGGAGTAGGTTCTGTGGTCCTGTTCTTTGTTTCTGAACCATCTCCAATACGATGGCCCAATGCCGGGATCTGGAGAACTACCACCACGAGAAGCTACTGGAAATAGCCATCAGCACCCTGGAGAAAATAGTGAAGAGCGAGTTTGATGAAGAGATGCCGGACGACGTCCGGATGGTAAGGGCCCCCTCCGTCCACGCTGAGGCTCGGTAGGCAAAGCATTCTTGGTCTGAAGCACTTTCCGTTCTGGGAACAGGACCACCGTGGCGGATCAGGTATCACTTTGCCCTTGCTTGCATGGCCCGTTTGACGCCCGTTCTGCCGATTTGGAGAGATCCGTTCGGAACTCCTCACACCCGTTTGTTTTTACCCATTCTGATGCATGCGGTGTCATCAGCCACTCTACCAGGGGCTTGGCTGAGCTCACCCAAACCTTGGCATTTCGGTAGGCAGTTCCTGCCTCTCCTCTTCTGGCGCGCCTTCAGGGCTTGCGCTCTCTGGCCTGGGACGCCGCACTTTGGGAGAAGCGGGCGCAATCCCGACATTTGCACTAGACCGACGGGCTCTGCTTCTACCCCGAGGCTTCGTTTCTTTGAGAGGCCTGCCATCACCGCAGCCTCAAGCTGCAGCGACACATAAGTGACCGTGGCCCGCACGTGCCATGGTCAGTCACACCGTCTGAGGATGAGAAAGCAGCCTCCGAGAGGGAGCCCTTGGCCTGGGCTCCTCTGGGGAATTGGGCCCTGGAGAGATGGAAGCCTTGTGGCTGCTTCCAGGCCTGACTCCTCTCTGAGCCTCCTCGGAGGCAGAGCTGGGATCCACTGAGGATGTGCGCTGGTGATCCCAACCACGATCCCTTGCACCGTCCGTCTTCCTTCCTAGCTTTTCGTGGACAAAGACACCATCGTCAATGCCGTCAATGCGTCACATGACATCCATCTGCTGAAGATCGACAACCGAGAAGACGAGATCATAACCAAAGCCAACGGCTGGGCCTCCGCACTGATTGAGAAGGTAGGAGCAGCCGCCTCGGCCACTGCCAAAGGCTGGCCCAGAAGGCAGCGCTGGCACCATGGGCCATAAAACGGGTGTGTGTCACTCTTAATTCAACGTGGGTGGCCACCAGGAAGGATCCAGAAGAGGACAAGCACCTTCCGGGCCTGCTCCCCTCTCCTTGGGCCCCCATGCTTTCCTCCAATCTCTGCAGGTTCACAAGGATGAAATCCACAGGAACCGCAGCCGCGTGATGGAAATCAATCAGTATGTTGACCACCTCCACAGCGAGACGGACAGCCTGGATATTCTCGAGCAGTAATGGGCCTCGGGCAGAGCTGTGCCCACCCCACAGCTTGAGCTTGGCTTTAGAGTCGCTGCCTGGGAAGTGAATCCACCTGGCGGTCTCCTTCCCACTGACAAACAGCCCCGTAAATAGCCCTAACAAGGACATACCCCCATCAGGGGGAATGCTCTGCTCCGAAACATTTTACGGTGAAAATAAAACGGACGATTCTGCTATTGAAAAAAGAGATGTGTTAGCTTAAACCGAACCTCCATTTTCAGAAGCAGCCTATAAATCCCAAAGCCCGGAGAATCGTTTCAGCATGGTTTACCTGGAGGGGAACAAAATAGGTGAGGGCTGAAGAGGCTACGTCGGCCTGCAGGTGGCAGGCTGGATGCTCCTACCTTGCCACTCACCTGTAAGATGGGATGCCCGCCCCCGCCCGAAAATAGCTGGAGTAGAGACCCATGCAAACTGTGGGGCAGGGCGATGGGGGGTGCTGATTGCCTGCAGGGGCGTGGCCATTGATAGAAATGTGGAACTGCCTTCACCAGCACATTCCGCCATTGCCTTCTGGGCCACCCACACCATTTCTGAGAACTCGGAATTGGTCTACACAGAAGGCCCCTCCTTTTGAACTTCGGTTGCTGAGATCTGAACCTGAAACGAATGCAGACCATCTGCTTGACCACGGAGCTGCAGAGGTCTGAAACGAACAAGACTAGACGGCACACACCGGTTCCAAACAAGAGCATTTAATCAGGGAGAGCAAAAGAGAAGAACACATTTCCTGTGTCAGTGGGACGAGCAGCAGAATGCTTGTCAGGCCTGCCAGAAACCCCAGAGCTGACCTCTGTGAAAGAGTGGAAAGCGTTGTATAAATGCCTCCGTCGCAGCAGGACCAAAGAACGGATCGCCCCCCGTGCCAGGTTCGGAGCCCCGGGTGCTACGCCACAGAGATGCCCAAGTGAACTCCACTTTCACTCCAACCCATAAAAAATGAGCACTGGTGCTTTTCAGATGTGTTGGAATGGGGCTTCCATCAATCCCCAACTAGCAAGGATGATGGGAAATGCAGTCAGCACAGCTGGATGGGGGCCTGGCTGGGGAGGGCTGTTTGCAGATCATGCCAGTTACGTCTGCACAGGGTTACCCCTTTGATTCCTAACAGGCCGCTGCAGGCCCAGACTGTCTGAGAACAGCTCCCACCACGGAGCTTCTCCCATTTCCAGTGGGGGAGCATTTCCCGAGGAAGTCACATTCAAGCAGGAACCCTGCAGAACTTCGCCTGTGCTGGTGCCGGTCGGTGTGAGGAATTCAAAGAGGAATCGGGGGGCTACAGAAAGCTGCCGCTACACAAACACCCATAGCGGGTGGTTGCCTGTCACTTCCAAGAACTCGTGCAAACTCTGAGCACCCAGGTGCTGAAGAAGCAAAACGAGTGACACAGGGAAGCCCGGTCCGAGGCAGCAAGCCAAGGTTTCGGTGGAGCAGAAGGACACCGGTCCAGAAGATCCTCTCCCCGCTCGGAGGCCACTGGGCAGACCCGCCGCACCCGCAGCCCGCATGTCTCCCAGCATCACCCACAGTCCCCATGAGGCACGCAGGCTCAGCCCTTCGACATCATGCCAGGCTCGGGAGGGGGGTGGAGCATCAGCCGCAGCTCTTCTCGGCCAGCCGTATCACTGCCTCCTTCACCCGAGGCCCTCAGTCCTGCAGCAGCTTGTGCTTGACGGCAGAACTCTCCGAGCAGAGATGAGCGAACAGGGTGGCAGCGGCGGTCCGGGCACGCAGGTCGTACACGTCATAGTCATGGGCCCACTCCACGTTCCCCCACTTCCTGATCTGGAGAGACGGCACGAGAAAGACGCTTCAGAGCCCCCTCGGAATGGGACCCTAGCCATCTTCCCCCTGGGACAGCAGTATGGATTGTGGCCCTCGCCACGCTGGGGACAATCGGTGACCTGATGGGTATCTCCATCCCTGGGGAGCAGCTGCTCACCCACCCTAGCTTCACTCAGGGGTTTTGCCTGCTGTTAAACCAATGTGGGATTCCCACATTTCAGGTAAGACAAGATGTCTTCCATGCTTGCACTTCTTCAAATCAGTGCAAGATATTTTTGCAATCCAGCAAAAGGCATTGCTTATCCATGTTTCTTTCTCCCTTCACAAATAAGAAGCAGAGTATGGGAATCGGTCTCATTTTTACATGGAAAAAAATGCTTTACATGACGGGAGCAAACGCTTGCCCTGCTTTACTCTTGTCAGGCTTAAGCACTGCCTTTCCCCATTTGAGAAAAATGAAAGAGGAGGCCGACACATTTTCCAAGGGGAATTGCACAATTCTGACAACCAGGAGCTGGTGCCCACCCATCGGATCTTGCATAAGGGCAGGCCCACACAGAGAACATTCAGTGATGATCCTGGCAGGTAACCGGCCCCAGGGAACCTGCCCCAAACTCCAGGCCTGTGCTGTGGCAAGGCTCACCTGGTATTCCTCCTCCAGGCGAGACAGGAGGACAGCTTGCTCAACCGTGAGGTGCCTGTCAAGCAGAGCCATGGAGAGGATCAGAGACTTCAGCTGAGTGATCATGTACTCAATGCCTGGAAAGAGGGACATCCTGGTCAGGCAGAAAGGAACGGGGCAAGCAAATGACTTGCACACCAAGACTCCCCCAAGCAAAGGGGAGGCAGTGTCTCAGGATCCCCAGTCATCCGTGGGGCACCATCGCAGGCCCTGGAGTGAATGTGCCAGCTGTGCCCTGTGAGCCCACCCACTGTGTGGCCCTCACCTTGCAGGGCCCAGCTGTTATACGAAGCCAGGTGGCTAATGAAGGTGTCCTTCGTCCTTTGCGGGATGTTGGGGCCCAGGATGCTTGTGGATGAGCCGATCTCAACATCATACCTGGTGGGAGAGCAGAGATTAGGCCTTGCTTCATCGCAAACGTTGCTTTTCTGGGTGCTGGGTCAACTGTGGCTAACACTGTTGCAAGATGCACGCAAGGGGGAAGGGGACATATGTAAAAACACAACCCTGTTAGTGGCTGCTTTCTGCTTTTATGTAGTATTCAGTGCCCAAAAGTACGTGCTGCAAGAGGAACTGTTGAAATAACAAGGAATTAGCCATCTTGTTTTTATATCTTTTCCTGGTTATCTACCAGTTCTTTTCTTTGAGGTTTCCCACACCATCTTTGCATGCATTCCCTGGCTGGGGAGCAGTGGGGGCTCAGCAACAGGGGAAAGACAATTGCCGGGAGAGCTCCCCTTCCTGCTTTTGGTCCCCTGGTGTGGCTGAGCAGAAGAGGGTTTGGCTTTCATGCCCCGAGCCATCTCCAGGACTGGGGCGGGGGGGGGGTGCATTTCAACAGTCCCGCTTCCCTGGCACGGCTGCTTCCACTTACCTTTTCTCAGCCCACTCAATTACAGGATCCCACTCGTTCTTCTGCAGCTCCACCAGGGCTGGTGGCTCCTCCACCCGGTAGCTACGGTTCCCCAGAAACAGCGCAAAAAACACAGTCAGGGCACAAACCTTTGTCTGACCACAGAGGCTGAAGTGCGGAAAGAGGGAGAGGAGGCCGGGATACCACCTGGAGCCCTCAGCCCCAGCCTCCTCGTCTCCTCTGGCAATGCTGGGGGCGGGGCTACAGGATTGTGCCCTCAGAGAACCAGATTTGAACTCACAACTAGCACCCCCAAGCTTTCACAGGCTCTCCAAATCCCCCTTTGATAACTCCCAACAAAAACAGAGCGTCCAGTTTTTGTCCAGGGGACTACCTTGCCCCCACTGTCGGAACATAGGTTCTCTCCCCTCCCCCCTTCTAGCTGGAGAATGTTTTAAGTCTGACCTCATTTCTCCTTGACATGCATTGCAAAATCCAAAGCATCCTCCTACCAAATGGTATCCGTTTCCAGGAACTTCACAGCTGCCCTGATTAGCTGTTCTTTGCTTCGCTGGGATGGGTTGTCTAAAGCCGTGTTGCACAAGGTAGTCTGAAAGGCAGGAAACTCGTTACAGCAGTCCAGAGCTTTTCCTATGTAAAAGTACAAACAAGTAGGGAAAGAAGCCTTTCTTGCCAGTAGGAAAAAGCACAATATGGAACAATTTGACATTGCCTGGCATGTGAGTCGTCTTCTTTTTATAATGTATAATGAGTAGGAAGTGTTCAAAAAGAGTATCTCTCACTTTCAACCTGCATTAGTACAGCTCAAACCTCTATCACTTCATTCTACAGCTTGTTCAGGCCCAACCAACTTTGATTGCTGTGGTGCTGAACCTCTCTCAACTCTAGAGGCAAGCACAATTTCAGAAATGTTCTTAGGAGCCACATTTCAGTGGTGAGCAGGACAAAAAGGGAAAGGGGTACCAGGAATACCAGCCTATTCTTGCTCCAAGTGATTCCTACCAGAAACCAAGACTTCGCAGAAGCATTTCAACTTTCAGAGCAGGGGAAAGGGTGAAAAAGCCAGAAAATGATTAAATAATGAGTGATCGGGGACATCAGACTCACCAGGTGCATGGCATAGGACTTGATGGTGTCCTGCTGAGACTCCCATTCGCATGCCACTGCCAGAGCTAGTGTCTTGCTGGGCACAGTGAAGAGCTTGGCCTGGGGAGTCTTCAGCTTGCGATGGTCCAAGTTGATCTCAAAGCCCTCTGGAGAACAAAGGTTAAAAACTGCAGGAATTATATGCCAGGCTTTGACGGGCCGGGGGGCGGGGGGGGGGCTGTTCCACCTGTAGCGCGACATTCAAGGAGCCACTTTCATGTCAGTGGGCAGCAAGTTTTGCAAGTGCATGGGGTTACCAGAATAGCTCTTCCATGCTATCATGCCTAATGGCCACTGGTGCATCAGATTCATGAATACGTGCAATTGCCTTTTAAAGCCAACTGTGCCACAAGGCACAGTAACACAAATTGCTCGCCATTCCTTCTGCTTGTCGTAGGAGTGACACAGAACAACAAACTCCTGAAACCTGAAGTTTGAGATTCTGCCACATGTCACCTGCTCATTCGGTGGTCATGCTTAGCAGCCTTAAGGCACAATCCTATGCAACTTTATATAGAAAGAAGGCTTATACCTCCCTTAAGGCTCAGATACCATTGGAGTTTTTGTTGCACCTTCAGGGGCCAGGGACTGGTCAAGCACATTTTTATTTGCTTGACAGGAAAGCAGCGTTCCTGTACATGTTACAGTGATGGACATAATATTGCCCTACTTATACACAGAAACCAGTAGGAGGCTGGAAGGTCTTCAAACACCTCTTCCACCACAAAGCTCACTTGGAGAAGCTACCAGCTGTCACCCTAATCTTTTCTAAGCATTTATATGACATACATAAAATAGAATAAATAAAGATACTTACTTTCACCTTGAGAGATGTTAACATTCTGGTAAAAACGCTTCCTTTCTGCAAGCCAAATATATATATTCAACTAATAAACCAGCACGATCTGGAAAAATTCCTAGGTTCATTGACATGAAAGTGATGTCTCTCTAAATTGTATTCACTTCCTTTCTCATCTCCCCAGTTCTTAACGTATATTATCTACTTCAACGATTTACAATAGCCAGGCTGAAATGCATGTCCTCATTCTATGACAGCTTCCAGCTACCTGGGTTGCTCTTGCTATGATCAGTGAGCCTTCCCTGCCTTTGCTGCTTAAGTGTTCACATATGAATTTGCCTGTGCCAATGTATTTTGAGGAGAGACACTCCACCATTACCAAATATAAAGGAAAAGAACAGCACAGTGCAGAAGGCTAAAGAACCACCAACATAAAAACAAGTATTCAGAATGTGCTTCTGGGTTAGACAGTGGAAATGGCCATCCTATTTACATACAGTACAGTATCTAGAATGGAATGGAGTCAACTGTTCTGGGTCAGCTGCCATAACTGACTTCTTTCCCCAGTAGCTTTCAGCATTCCGGTCTTCTAAGTAACATGGATGATATTAAAGATATTGCCCAGCCCACTTCCTCAGTTAACTACAGCTCCCACAATACAGTGGCCACAGATGATAGATACCAGATATCTACTTTAAAGAGCTCCCCCTGGCCGCAGAAAAAAGGGGGAACCACTACATTTCAGAGCACAGACAGCAATCTCTTATTTCTGCTTTGTGGAAATAATGCTGAGTTTAAGATTAGTAAGTTTGTAGAAGTCTTCATTTATTCAGAGATAATATCATTTCCAACCTTGCACTCTTTTTCTTACCTGATTGCAACGAATATGGATGCCTCAAAGCCACTGGGAAAAATCCTGGACCACAAGCCAGGAAGGTTGGACAGAGGCCCCGGGTCACATGGGAATGGCCAGAAAGCAGGTGCCGTAAAGGGGGGCGCCACATTCTGGCAATGGGGGAGAGAACACGAGCAGGGAAAAGCACTGGGGGTCTCGCCACCCTTCCGAATCACCCTTCCACTTGATTAGCGACTGCCATTTTTTCCGGCTGCACCATCAGCAGCTTTTACCCAGGCGAGCAGAAAGTGACAGTCTTTTAAATAAACGGCAAATGAAGCTAATAAATGAGACAATAAGAAGCACTCTCGGTTTTCCCCGCCTGCGCCACTTTCAGTGTTACAAGATTGACTCCAAGGTCTCGGTGCCCTCACCCGTGGGACAATCTCGCAGAGACCACGAAGCCTGCGTCCTTCCCCTCAGGGAAAACCTTCCAGGCCCTTGCCCGGAGGAATCGCCCCCGCAAAAGCCCCGAACCACAAGCCCTGCCCGCCTTGCCTAGCAATCACTCCTCCTGGGCGCCGCCATTTTGCTGCGGCCGGGGGAGGGGCCAGGCGGAGCGCGGCCAATCGGCGTCACAAACGCGTTTTGTCCCATCCGCCGCGCCGTCTTCGCGCGACGCGGCAGGCAACGTAACCTCGGAAGGGAGGGGGAAGCGGGGGGGAGTGAAAGCTGGCGGCGTCTCGCCGTCATTTTTTCCCCGTTCCCTCCCTCCGGCTCCCACCCACTCTCTCGCACGTGACTCCGGGCAGCCAATAACGACCGGCCTGCCCACGGCGGCGGGCCAATCATGAGCCGCCGGAGGAAGCGGCGGAGGCGGCGACGCTGAGGGAGGTTCTGAGGGGGAAAACAGACGCGAGGCCGAGTCGGGCCGCGCCGCGCCAGGCAAGCGGGCCGGCGAGCGAGCGCGGAGCGGCGGCGGCGGCGCGGGAGCAGGAAGAGGGTCGCCTCTGGCCCGGCCCGGCCCGGCCGGCCGCGCCGCGCTGGCGCCGG